CCCACCACCACCACCACACACGTGGGGAAACGTGTACATAGTGCAGATCTGCTCTTAATGCCCAGCTGTCATTGTCCAGATGATAGAAATAGAATTATAATATGGGCTGATCAATAAAAATCTGTACAGCTACACCAGAGGACACACTGCAGAAATGGGATCCTGTCAAGTAAAATTATCTTAAATATAGTCAGTATATCCAATATTTCTCCTGTTGAGATTGTTATAAGCTTAATTTCAGATTATTTACCTTATTTCTAGACATGTTTTACTTGTTTTAAGTGATTTTATTGAGTAAATTTATCTGCCAGTATAGCAAAATAATTTTACTTAATAAAACAAGCAAATAATGTCTAGAAATAAGATGGATAATCTTATAATCAGTGCACAACCATCTCAAAATGGGAAATATTAGATATATTGACTAGATTTAAGGTCATTTTACTTGACAAGATACTGTTTTTTGTGGCTGTTCGTTGGGTGACAGCTGTTTCTATGGTTATATATATATATATATATATATATATATATATATATATATATATCACATAATTATATTATATAACACCCCTGTTTCCATGGTTAAAGTGCACCCATTCTGTGTTTTTTGTACACCAATTTTGTTTTGTTAAACTGCATCTATTTTCATTCTTATGCTTTGACATTTTCCACTGTTACACTGCATCTCTTACACCAGTTTCCATGGTTACTCTACACCCATTTCCTTGTTCACACCATTTTTCATCCATTTCCATGGTTACACCCAATGATATGGTTAAAGTGCACCCATTCCATGTTTAATTGTACACCAGTTTTTTTTTCCATTCTTACACTGTGTCATTTTCGACTGTTAAACTGCATCTGTTACACCAGTTTCCAAGGTTACTCTACACCCATTTCCTTGTTTACACCAGTTCCCATCTGTTTCCATGCTTACACCACATACGTTTCCATGGTTACACCCATTTCCATGGTTCAGCTACACCCATTCCATGTTTTATTGTACACCAAAGTTTATTGTTGAACTACATCCACTTCCTTTCTTACGCTTTACCATTTTGCACTGTTAGACTGCATCTGTTTCCATGGTTACTCTACACCAATTTTCATGCTGATGCTACAGCCATTTCCACATTTGTGCTACACTCATTTCCATGGTAAGGCTGGGAGAAGATGCTGTTACTGGCTGACTGTAATTACAGTGAAATACAGAGCAGAAAGAGAGGACAGGAGCTGTGAGTGACCTGATGAGAGGACAGTCCATTCTGTCAGCACTGACCTCAACAACCGTACAGTTTTCTAGCTGTTCATTCACAGTTTAATAACTTTAATAACTTCATTGAGCCCTCCCAGCCCGGAGTGGACGGACACGGAGAGGCGGCAGGATATCGGATGGACCCGAAGGGGGAGAGGAATGCAAACAAAGCAGTCCATTCACACACCAGAGAAGGAGACGACGGATGGACCGAGCGAAGGAGGAGAAGAAAAGACGAGTTTGTTTTGCTATTTTGGGGCCTCTCAGCTGTCTCTCAGAAACACGCAGCACCTCGTCGGCCCCTCAGGAACTCCTCCAGACGCACACACACACACTTCTCCTTCACGCGGGCCGTCTTCACGCCCTCTACAGCTGCAGACCACTCGCCCACACCAGCCCACACAAACAGGAGGAAAACAGAGGGAGAAAAAGGAGAGAGAGCAGCACTTACACAGCTGCAGCACTGCAGATCAGCTTACACTGATTAGAGAGAGAGAGAGAGAGAGGGAGAGGGGAAGAGAGAGAGTGAGAGGAGAAAGAGAGAGAGAGAGAGAGAGAGAGTGAGAGGAGAAAGATAGAGAGGGAGAGGGGAAGAGAGAGAGTGAGAGGAGAAAGAGAGAGGGAGAGAGAGAGAGAGGAGAAAGAGAGAGAGGGAGAGAGAGAGAGAGGAGAAAGAGAGAGAGGGAGAGAAAGAGAGAGAGAGGGAGGGAGAGAAGAGGGAGTGTGTCTATGAATATGGACTTGGCTGTGGGGGGGCTGTGGATCATTGGTCATCTCCATAATGGGAAGGGTATTAAAACCTATTTTTGATTGGAGCCGACAGCAGAAGTGAATGCAGAGCATTAAAGGGACCAAACTGAAGATCACAGCTCTGCGCCTGCAGCGCCTTAATGCTGCACAGCGCAGTGCTTCACCTGCTCAATCACACCTGGTCCAACTCAGGAGTTACTGAGTTTATGAACATGGAAATGTGCAAAACACAAAATACAAATATGTGCAGACAAAACAGAAAAAATGTGCAGACAAAACAGAAAAAATGTGCAGACAAAACAGAAAAAATGTGCAGACAAAATGCAAAACGGTGCAGGCAAAACACACAAAAAACAAAAAACGTGCAGCGGTTTAGCTCCACCCGGTCAATCTACAGCAGTTTAGCCCCGCCCATTCATCCTACAGCAGTTTAGCCCCACCCATTCAGCCTACAGCAGTTTAGCCCCGCCCATTCAGCCTAGTGCAATTTAGCTCTAACCATTCAGCCTACAGCAGTTTAGCCCCACCCATTCAGCCTACAGCAGTTTAGCCCCACCCATTCAGCCTACAGCAGTTTTTAGCCCACCCATTCAGCCTACAACAGTTTAGCCCCACCCATCCAGCCTATAGCAGTTTAGCTCCACCCATTCCCGCTGAAGTGATGTGGAGTGTTGTTCCTGCAGACAGTCTGTAGCAGTTACTGGAGCAGACGTTGTGATGAAATGATTAAACGTTGTGCTGTTCCTGTCTTTCAGTCAGCAAAGCGACCACAGCAGATTCCAAAGGATCCACACATCCGAAAGGAGCGGATAAAGTTTCTTTCCCCCCACGTCCAGCCCAGAAGATTTCAGTTTCTTTTGAACAGTTTGTTACACATTTAACCTGGACTGATTTTTGAGCCAACATAGCCAATCAAAACAGAGCTCATTTACATATATTGGTCTTAAAGGCGCAGTAACAAAAAACAGTTCGCTTTTTCCGAGCCATAAAGAGAGGTTACAAAATGGTCATGTACAAATGAATTAGGACTGTTTTGGTACACAAAACCACCCAGATGCTAAGTGAGAAAAATAAAAAGAAGAAAATGTGAAAAAAGGGTCTTTTTAATGCTGATGCTTATGATCGAATGAGAAATATGTATTAGTCATAAATGCTACTTGCTCAAAAAAAAACAAAACAAAACAAACTCAACCAGTAATGAAAAGCATGAGTGAGAGGAAAGACTGGAGGTAAAACAGAATGATTTGGAAAAGGAACCTCAAAATGATGTATTATGTATTTTAAGGTAAGTTATTTTATTTAAAAAGCAAAAAAAAAAAGCTTTTAAAATGTAAAAATATAGAAAAAGTGTTTAACATATTTAGTCAAAGTGTTTTTCCTTATAATGTCACTAATTATTCTCTGTGCCAGTTTGGATGTAGTTAAAAAGTAATATATTATTATATATTTTGTTTATATTTTGGAATCTACTGACAACACATACATTTTTTCTTTGGGGGGGGAAAGCTCTGACTTCCTGAAAAATTTCACGTGGTAATATTTTAAGGTATATTTGGGATGTTTTGTATAATGTGACTTTTGCTTTTTGTATTAAAGTATTTTAATTTCTTTCTTCATTAAGCCTCATCACTATCTCATATCCTACCTGTCAAAAGTTTGGGGACACCATGTCTTTTCAATTATTGCACTGTTACTGTTCAACAAAGTAAGAAAAATGTATTTAAAAATGTATTAAAAATACATTTAAATTATTAACATAAACTGCCACCGATATTGACGTGTGATATTGTTTTCATCTAAATAGACCTGCTTAGTAGAAGACAGTAGAAAATGAAACACAGTATTAAATTACCTGTCAAGATGTCCATTAAGTACAATTTATTAATTTTTTGTTTCAGGGAGAAAAAGCAAATAAATAAAAAATTAACAGAAAATCACACAGAAGCCTCAGCTCAGCGAGTCACTCTCTCCCTTTATTCCAGCTTCCATTCTTCTCAGGAGACTCACTTTCAGCTCCTCAAAGAATCTGCAGACACACCTCCAAAGTTCAGTCTTAGAAGCTGGTTGATCATTTTCTGAAGTAATCAAACACATTCAGTGGTGTTGAGGTCTGGACTCTGGGGTGGTCAGTCCATCGTTCAGCTTCTTTGTTTGATGTGTCCGTCTCCTTTTCTCAGTGAGGTTCTTCTTGATCAGCTACACATCCTTTCAGACCCACAGCGCTGAGTCGTCTTCTCACAGTGGAAGGATGGACAGAAACACCTGTGGATGTTTTCAGATCTGAAGCAGCTTGATTTTCTCCTCTCTCTCAGAGATGAAAGCTTTAAGTGCTGTTTATCTGATGGGGGCAGTTTTGGGGTCGACCAGCTCTTCCAGGTGGTTGTTAGGAGCCACGTTTTCTCTGGAGCTTTTAATCAGTTTTTGGCCTCTAGTTTGGGAAACTCCTGTTCTTCCTCAGAAATATCTCCTGAATAATGAATGACTGTAATGATACTGTATGTTGGTATATATTCCATGTGGAGTGTGCAGTGGTGAGTATGTGAATGTACAGATATACGGAGGTCAGACGCTGTACGTCGGCCTTTCGGGGGTAAAAATATAAACCCGTATCCATCCGATGCCGAGGACATAAAACGTGCCATTAAAAGGTAAAGCGCACATCATAACCCCAAAATATAGGTTCCACCAATATGGCCTAGCGCAAAGCGATGGAGAGATGAAGGAACGGATTAGGGAGGGGGTCAGTAAGGGTCAGCGAGCGGATTGTGTGGACAGTTACCCAACTTGTTATGTCCATATTAGTCCACGTGGGACTGTCACAACACCTCCAGAGTATCAGATTCACTCCCATTCCAAGACACGCGGCTATTTCAGAGCGGCCGTAAGGCGATAGCGTCCCTCCGTCTGTCCCTTCATCACCCCCCCCGAATCCCTCTCTCCCCATCCATTCCTTCCATCTTTCTGCCTCTCGGTGTCTGTCATTTTCCCCAAGCCAAACTTAAGGCTGCTGCTATAATTAGCGCCGGGTGGGAGGTATATAAGCCCCCGGGGAAGGAGCCAAGCCGCGGCTTCACTCACTCTTCTCTTCTTCGAGCTTCTTACACTTCACACATACCGTCTCAGCATGGTGAGTAGCAGCCTTACCTGACCGGGCCCTACCTGACGGCCAGGTGTGCACCTAGCACTGAGCCGAAGGGACGGTGGCGCTTATCTGAAGCTTTGGTGCTTTCAGAACGGTTAACGTTTCTGCCGTCTTGGATTATTTGCGGATGGTCTGTTCTTATCTTCGGACGTCCTTCGCCGGGATATAGTCAAATTGCCAACAGTCAGATTTCTTCAGAGAATTTTTCGGGAGTTATGCTGACTTTAAACAGATCCGAACAAGATTAATCTGATGAAATTGAGCGATTTGGGGGAGCGAACTCAAAATTTTGTAATGTTTATGCTATAAAATTAGCTCTAATCTAATCTAGTTCACATAAAATCTTATAAAAGGTGATGAGAGATTACTCGGTATAGCAAAGAACTCATTTCCGGTACGTTGTGGATGCCTGAGCAAATGAACGCTGGCATAATGTTCCGCTCTTTCTCGAGAGAGAGCTTCATTTGACTCAAAACAATATTTGGCAACCGGAAAATGCTTCCCACAAGTGCCTCATCTGTTCCTACTGGCTATGCCCCGGAGGAAATGAGTAGACAGCATCTGTGTGCAGCTAGGAAACTGGACGTGATGCTGTCAGTGACTTACAGTGAATGTGTTGTGCTAACTGCGCTAACTGTGCCAACTGTGCTGACCCGCAGGCACCCAAGAAGGCCAAGAGGAGGGCAGGCGGAGGAGAGGGATCCAACGTCTTCTCCATGTTTGAGCAGAGCCAGATTCAGGAGTACAAAGAGGTGATGATCACTAGCACCCACACACCAGCAGCACCAGAGTCCACTCCAAATACTACAGCTTTTAGTGCTGACCACGCAGTCTGGGCTCTACTCATGTAGTTATACCGCATAACGGCACCAATCCTGTATCCCTCCGCGGAGAAAAATGGACGCAGCCTATTAGACAAGATGACAGCTGTTCGCAGCCCATAAGCTGGTTTCAGATGAAGAGCGTGACATTGATGGGTCAAATATCAAACCTGTCGTCGCTCCTTTTAACCACTGAAAAGGCAAACTTATTATTCAGTTATTATCCTGTTGCACATTAGCCGTTCAGTACTATTCAATATCAATAATACACGTTATTCAGGAACCTCTATGAATTATCCAGCACCTACTATAAATTATTCAGAATCTGCTATGAGTTATTCAGTATGTATTATGAATTAAGGATAAAAGATGAGACCATTTTAATAGATAACTATGAATTATTCAGTATCTGCTATGAATTATTCATAATCTGCTATGAATTATTCAGTATGTGCTACAAATTATTCAGTATCTGCTATGAATTATTCAGTATGTGCTACAAATTATTCAGTATCTGCTATGAATTATTCAGTATCTACTATGAATTATTCAGTATCTACTATGAGTGTGTAAGTTATGAGAGTGATAGTTTGGCATGAGGACCCTTATACCCTGGTGTTGGTTTCCTGGACATGAATTAAGCTTAATTTTAGACTGAAGTGCACTGTATACTCTTTTTCCGTCTAGACTAGTCTTAATCTTGGTCTGGGAAACTGACCCCAGAGGTCAAAATGTGTGATTTTGTCCATTTTTACCTGAAGAAAAGTCAGTTGGCCATCCAGTAGATGGATTTCTGGCAGCTGAAGTTTAGGTTGAGTAGTTTATCCACGACTTTATTCCTTTAGTGGCAGGTCTTTAGGTCAACTGACCAATCCGAGCTCCACACATGAATGCTTTCTTTGGATCTGCAGGACATAAAACTATATTTAACGCCCAGTTTCGATTAGTTTGGTTTTAAACTGAAATCTGAATATGAAATCATATTGTTGGCCACAACTGAGCTGTTCAGTTTCTCATTGGGGTAAAAGTGACTTTTACCAACACTCTGTCAAGTCTGATGGAGTTAGCGCCAGGTGGGCGGGGCTTGGACAGGTTAATTATCCAGCAGTCAGTTTGAGCTCCCTCCAAAAGGAAAGGAAAGCCACGTCTATCTTTAGCGGCTTTAGGGGGGCATTAATATGGAAGGAATTATGGTGGGGCGCACATACGCTCAGCTGAGTCAACAGGAATGATCCCCCTCTCTCACTCTCTCTCACTCTCTCTCACTCTCTCTCGTGCGGTAATAAAAAACAGGAATGTCATTAGTGGAGCATCTGAAATGTCTCTCACCCTCTCCAGCACTCATCTGTTCATTCACTCCTTCACTTCTACACTGTCTAATCCCACCAGAGCAGCAGCTGAGGGGCTTTAGTGCCTTACAGAGAGAGAAATTAGCGATGGATAGGAAGTGAGGTACCGAAGAAGGACGAGAGAGAGAGAGAAAGAGAGAGAAAGAGACTAAAAGAGTGACATTGTAACCTAATTAAGCCAACATGTTTGGTGAAATGAGAGCTGAGCTGGTCAGAAGAGTGAATGTTTAAAGGCCTTGAGCCACAATCGAAGAGCAAGTAATGTGAAGTACATTATTTATTAAGTACATTATTATTATTATTATTATTATATGTATATTAGTATTCATATATACACATGTATATGTATATTATTATTCATATATAAGTGAAAGAGTGCTCAAATGGGTGATATCATTTTTATGATATCAAAATACTCCGCATAGAACTGCATGGATCATAAACAAAGACACTTTCAGATCAATTATAGAGAGCCTGTAAATACCAACAACCACTAGTGGCATAAAATACATAGTAACAATTTAGCTGATAGATGCTAGTATCTTATTTTATTGAATATAATTGATTTTTTCATCAATTTTTGGTTTATTTATCTTCCTCATCCTCCTTTAATTTTGCAATCAATTAAAAAAAATACATGCTCATATGTTTTTAAAGCAAAAAATTGTGAAGAATATCATGCAACACTATAAAAGTCTTGGTATCTTCCACCCTCAAAGCAGAATCATATAATGGTTAACAGGTTAACATCTTTTTTTAACAATTTTTTTCTTCATTCTTTAAAGATATTAGAGGTGGAGCGGAATATTTCTCCATACAGCAAAAATAAAAAAAAATGTGCCTCATATTAAGATGTTATATTTCTATTTTTTGTTTATTTTGTGCATTTTACATTGTAAAAGTACAATATATAAAAGAAGCCACTTTATAGGGTCCAGACAGGGCTGCCCAAAGTGTGACCCGCATGACAAAGCTGGCCTGTGAGGATGTTTAAATTGGCCTAAAATAACCTCTTCCCATATTTTTGTACAATATATAACGTATTAGAGTCTTAATTTGCTCTTTACATTGAATTTATAAGTGTTTTAGTAACATAATATTATGTAAGAGCATAAAATACATGTTTAGAAACTTAGATATGATACAATGCATACATACATAAATACATACATACATCATCCAAACCGCTTATCCTTCTGGGTCGCGGTGGGGTGCTGGAGCCTATCCCAGCTGTCATTGGGCGGAAGGCAGGATACACCCTGGACAGGTCGCCAGTCCATCGCAGGGCATGATACAATGCAATACAACATAATATATGATACAACATGATACAACGATATCATACAATACGATACATCATCTCTAATAAGTTGCCGCTGTCAGAACAAAACCTTGTGTCTCCATTTTTGTCGTTTTTCAGTTTTTGACATGATTTGAAAATGCCTGTCGTCCTAAACACTGTGGGTAAATTTCATGATGAACGGACCAAAAGAAACGGCCCAAAATGGCTTGGAAAGACGTCCGGTTCCATTGACTTACATTAAAAGTAAAGCATGTTTTTTCCTTCTCCTGTAAAGTTACCATTTGGAGATACAAGGTTTCGTTCCAACAACAACGAAATTGACGCAGTTGGTCAGTCGTGCGGTTGTGGTGTGAACAGCCTGAGAGGACAGTAAAGCTCAGCTAACCAGAGAAGGAAGGACAGATGATAGATAATAAGAGGGACAGTGTGTGTTGGGCTTTAGAGAGTTATGTGGCCGCGGACTCGGCCAGGGTGTGTGTGAGCTAAGTTGGGACTCTGAGACGTCCAGGAGGAGCATGTGTGTGTAAGCGATACAGCCCTTAAGGAGACTAGTGGCATTACAGTCTGGACTGATTGGTCATACTGGGCTGATGGAGAGATGGAGGGGAGGGTGGGTGAGTGAGTGTGAAGGAGATGAAGGAAGGCGGTGCAACTGTCTTCATGAGTTCAAGTGCGAAGGGTCATCTTGGGTTTCATGAGAGCGTAAAAAGGGGGAAGGAGAAGGAGGCTGCCAGGAGAACGGCGACCACTTCTGATTTAAAAGCGACAGATGACTCAGACGGACGTCTACAGTTTAAAAAATATATATATTTATTATTATTTATACAATATCTACCCTCCATCCATCATTTCTCTCTTTAATGCCACTTTTATTCAAAGTTCTGTTGATCCAACCATCCATCTCTTCCATTAACCTTCATATGAACATTATAGAGGCTTTTTAAATGAAACAGTAGAAGCCACGTCGCCCCCTATACTTCCTGTAGTGTATTACAGTCTGTCAGAGTGACTGTGTGGATCATATGAACGTTACAGATCACTAGTAAACAACACATCAATTTTTGTCCACTCCCCATGTTATTGATGAATAATTGGTTTTGCAGCCCTAATAATGATGAAGTGTTGTTCTGTGAGAGGAGTTAACGAAGGCTGCCTATAACAGTCTCTCTCTCAAACCCGCAGGCTTTCACAATCATTGACCAGAACAGAGACGGTATCATCAGCAAGGATGACCTGAGGGACGTTTTGGCCTCAATGGGTACGATATTTAACACTCTGATCACTACATGCTGGACAGAGCTGTGAGCTTCAACCTCACTGTTTACACTTAAAACCCACTTCATTAGAAACACCTGCCTTCTGCTTCCACTCACTGGCCACTTTATTAGAAACACCTACCTTGTGCTTTAACTCACTGGCCACTTTATTAGAAATACCAACCTTGTGCTTCCACTCACTGGCCACTTTATTAGAAACACCTGCCTTGTGCTTCCGTTCACTGGCCACTTTATTAAAAACACTTACCTTGTGCTTTAACTCACTGGCCACTTTATTAGAAACACCTACCTTGTGCTTCCGTTCACTGGCCACTTTATTAGAAACACCTACCTTGTGCTTCCGCTCACTGGCCACTTTATTAGAAACACCTACCTTATGCTTCCATTCACTGGCCACTTTATTAGAAACACCTACCTCGTGCTTCCGCTAACTGGCCACTTTATTAGAAACATCTACCTTATAGCTCCACTATGTAGGTGTACAGTTACAGACTGTAGTCCCTCTGTTTCTCCACAGTTTATAAGCTACTTCATTCATCATTGGTCAGTTTGTGAGCACAGGACCGCCATTCTGAAGATATTATTTGGGGTTATAACATACGTCAGTTTACATTAATCTTAACTTAATCTTATATTAATTAAACTCTCTCTTTTTCTCTCTCTCTCTTTCATTTTCTCTCGGCCTGAAGGTCAGCTGAATGTGAAGAATGAGGAGCTGGAGGCCATGATCAAGGAGGCCAGTGGCCCAATCAACTTCACCGTCTTCCTCACCATGTTCGGAGAGAAGCTGAAGGGTACCATTTCAGTTTTGTCTACACATACTCCAGTAAAATCATGAACATAAACAGGGCTTTCGGTGTAATTCAGCATCCTTCTGTCCCGTCCAGGTGCTGACCCCGAGGACGTTATCCTGGCCGCTTTCAAGGTGCTGGACCCCGAGGGCACAGGCACCATTAAGAAGGCTTTGTGAGTAGAGCGTCTCCTTCAGTTCCCCTTTTCCATTCTGATGTGTTAGTCATGTTCATGATGTTGTAACTCCTCTTTCGTTCCTCCACAGCCTGGAGGAGCTCCTGACCACTCAGTGCGACAGGTTCTCACAAGAGGAGGTGAGCTCAAAGGGGCCGTTACGTTATTTTGGGCAAGCTAGTCAGTTGTAAAGTAATACTTTGGTGAAAAATAACATTTAGACCGTTCTCCCCTCTGTGCTCCAAAACGTGGTCGATCAGTCAAGGCGTGTTTGGTGTTGTAACTTTCATTCTGTTTAACACCGAAACACTGGAGCTATAAGGCTAAAGCAGCTAATGTTAGCAGGCAAAATCAGACAGAAGCACAGTGTGGTATAACCAGACAGTACATTAGTATAACCAGAGAAGTTTGTAGAGATTAGAACTGTCATTCTGTGATTTTCTTTTGGGTTTCTTAAACGCTAGAGGGCGCTCCCGAGCGAGTCCAAAACACATAAAAATACTTTTAACGTAAAAGAATACATTCATTTCCTGAACACAGAACAGCAGAAATATTTTTATTTTATTTTAATTATTATTGTATTTTTAAGAGCTTTTAAACTCGAGTTATAGGAGTTAGCACCATGTTAATGACACACAAACTTCCTTTACTTGTTAAGAGCACAGTATTCCGTACACTTCAATATTCCATACACTTGTGACTTTTTCCTATTTGTGTAATCATACAATTTCTTGTCATTTATCAACCATACATCTGAGACATTGTCATATATCCCTGTTTCCATCAAAACAGTTAGCAGACCATCTGAGCTGGGTTTGGACATCAAATCTGTGCGAATAGTGACCGACTGCCCACAGTGCGACACGAAAATGGCGGGTGGGGAAAACCCATGCGAATGTGAATGGGGTGGGGAAACGTTCACGGCCAGTTAAAATGAATTTTAGCCCGTTTAAACATCACATTTAACATTTAAACGAATCTTAAACAGCCATCATCACCATGAAACAGAGTGTGTTTAGTACTGAGCTGTTAAAGTTCACACCGTCAGCTAAGTCACATTAGCAGCTTCACCACACAGTCTCACTTCACTAGGCCTTTTTCCATGATACCCTCATTCACTGCACATATTGTTTATATTGATTCAATTGTATAATCGGTATAATCAGTTAATGTCTATTTTTATGCCATTAGATTTCATAAAACTTCAAATAAAATGCATGGAAAACCGCTCCCTCTGTGGAAGCTGGTGTACGGAATACTGACGGCACAAACCGATGACACAGATGAGGTTTTTTTCTTATTTCTTTAAAAGTTTTGGGCCAAATATGACCAATCAGAATGCATTTTGGTTGCTAGGCAGATTTTGCAGAGTCCGACCAATCGTTACATCCTAGAAGACTTCGAGTATTTCCACAATAGCTACTGAAACGCGGAAAAGTGCCGATGTACCGTACGGAATACTGCACTCTTACGGCACATTAGCTGCAGCAAAAGATTCTAACCTAAGTCTCCTTCCGTCCCTCAGATTAAGAACCTGTGGACCGCCTTCCCCCCAGATGTGGCTGGCAATGTTGACTACAAGAACATCTGCTACGTCATCACACACGGAGAGGAGAAGGAGGAGTAAGGAAAGAGAAACAGCTCGGAGAAAAGAAAGAAGAAGCGATGACTCTGCGTTCCTCACTGCTCTGCCCCCCCCTCAGTCTGTCCTTCTGTCCTCCTTTTCCGTGCTTTCCTTCCTTTCCTCCTTCCTTTTGCTACCCTCCAGCACTTGTTCCCTCTTCAAACATTCATCCAAAGCAAGCAAAGACTCGTCTCCTAGAGACTCCAACCCGGAAGAGGCTAAAATCTGTGGTGTCCTTCGGTGGGGAAACGGGATTGTTTTCAATAAAATGACCTTATAACATCATCTCCATCTCTCCTTCTCTCTCTCTCTCTCTCTTTTACTCATTCCTGTTCCTTCCTCTCTGTCCTACCTCTCTGACCGCTCTGTCGTTTAACACCACCAGCCACGTGCTACGTTAGCATGCGCGAGAGCTAGGGCTAGCCTTGCCAATGTACACAGTTAGCCTAGCCTAGCCCCGCTTTAGGCGGCTCTTTGCTGTCTTAGCTGCAACAGCTGATTAGTTTGATCGGAAAGAGCTGAAGTCGCCCACTCTGGGGGGCTAAAACGCTAACGGTGGGATCTCTTTCTACAATAGAGGAACGTGGACCCGCCGCTTCGTTTTCCGACCCTTCACGAGTAGGAAAAATGGTGAGAAGGGGGGAAAAGAAGGAAAGGCGCGATGAGAAGGCCTGGTCTCCTAAAAGCGATGGCTGGCTTGTCACCGAGGGAGAGAGGAAGAGAGGCGGTCCGAAGAGGAGCGGGGAGCGGCGATGGAAAGAAACCATTTCCTTCTTCTCTCCCTCTCCCCCCTCCTCCGTGTCCTGTGTCTTGTGTTAATCCATCCACTCCTTTTCTATCCTCATCCTGGGCTTTGCTTTGCTCTGTCACCCACTCTTCTGTAACCAATAAAAAGAGAGAAACTGTGAATAAAGCAAACCTATCTTTCGTACCTCTGCGTCTGTCCGTACATGCTAGACCGAACAGCAGCATAAAGACGAAGAAGAAGCTGTTGGGGAGGAGAACTTTCTCCTGAGGCTCCCTAATGAACAGGTGACAAAAGGGAAAGAAGTGCAGGTGCTTCCAGACAGGTGTGCCCCATGACACAGTTAAGCAATTAACATCCTACCGTGCTCTGAGGCCTAGCTGACCTCAATTTTGGACCAAAACGGCAAGATGTAAAGATTTAAGGCTGTGTTTGAACAGTACAGTGTACTGTATACTGCATACTACATCAGTGTATACTGCTCTACATAGTAGTATTCAGTACAGTATCCAGTATGGGACAAAAGCCATGAGCTGTGAAGTGGCGTGACTAGATGTAACCTTCCCAAAATACTAGGCTAATATATAATATATAATTCCCCCAATCCAGATCTTTACAAAGGCTATAAAATGACTGGGCACATATTCAGGAGACCACAAACTACGCAGCATAACATACAGTTTATTTACACCACCCCAAACCCAGACACTAGAGCTCACTTAAATAGCCCAGGGTAAAACAGGGTGCTGGGGAAAACGGATAAAACGCATATATTTCCCAGAGGCCTTCCTGAAACCTCACAAACCCATTACACACTTGTGCGCCTAGCTTTACACTGCAGCCAGTGAGCACTACAAACCTTTTTATTTGGAAGAAATATTCACACTTTCCTTTCACATCAGCCTCCCATCAGAACAGGCGGTGAACAACATCCATTGTCTTACCTTCCCAGTTAACCCACAAAGCCCCAAACATAACAAAGACATACCCCAATTTAAAATGATAACAGGGCACTGACTCCGCCCCTCTGACCTCCTGCTGTTCACTCACCCCGTCCCTTCCCATAGACCACTGTAGTCGTGCGTCATTCTGTAGTCCTCGTTATGCCCATATTAGGAACTCCGGGTCAGAGCTCCATTTCTCTATGGCGAGAATGAATAGGGTTTTCGAAAAATCGCCCTGTGTTAAATACAAATGTTCAGAGCCTGTGAACATTTTTCTCCCAAATACCACTGGATCCTCTGAATTATGAGGTCGTTAAAGAGCTATAATACTAATATTGCTACATGCGAGCTAAAGCTACTGCGCATCAATTTGATGTCACTAAGCTACACTAAACTAAGGTGGGCTGTGGCGCTGCTCTGACAAGCTGTGCTACCCTTATCGAAATGTTCTACTGTAGCACAAAATTACAGTTATTACCCGTAAATAAAACCTCTAGGTGGGATATTTTGATAGACTAAAACTCCTCATCAAAAATACTACCAGCATTAAAACTACGAGGCTGAATTTAGCTTCTTTTTTCACAGCTTCCTGTTTGAATGTTCCCGTTCCACCTTAAATGGTGCAGCAGCTGTGACTAGCTATCACGAACATTAGCAAACGAGACAAAATACTGACCTGTCTTGTCTGTGAAGCAGCAGAAATAAGTTAATGTCTCTCAGCTGTTAAGCAGAAATAGAGAAACCTCCTCATATCAGGCCTTTCAACCCTCCATGAAGCTGAACTCAGCTTCTTTTTCTCGGCTGCTTTTTCGACTTTTCCCGTTCCACCTTAAATGGCACAGCAGTTCAGAACGTGACTGCTGCACCACTTAAGGTGGAACGGGAAAAGTCTAACAAAAAGCTGGCGATTGTCCTCAGGAAAATGTCCTCAGAAAAATGTTACCAGCATTAAAATAAAAATTATGATATTCTGAGAGCTGAAATCAGTTTATCAAGGGGGTGAAAACCTGATTAAGGAGGCTGCCAGTCTAATGACGTGAATTGTGCGCAGTAGCTTTAGCTCACATGTATGGAGGACCAGATTTGCCAAATTGAAAAATAAACAAAATAAAAAAAAATAAATGGCTCAGTAAATTGATCAATAAATAAAAAAACTAAATAAAGTACATATTGCTTATTGTGATTGTAATTATACACATATTTCCTTTTTCTGCAGTTATATTTCTCATTTCATTTATTTCTGTATTATTTATTGTTTTATTAAAGCCATTTTTATATATTTTTTCCATATCTATATTTTTAACAATTGTTCGCTTTATTAATTGATTCATGTGTTAATTCATTTATTTATTTATTCATTAATTGAATTGTTTATTTTTTCATTAATTCATTTATTTATTTCTGTATTTCTTTGCTCATATGATAATGAGGGGGCGTGTTTTTCACGTTCAGGCTTAGCAATCAAGCCCAGGAGGAGAAGAGCTGATTAAACTGCTCTTTCACTCCATAAAGAGCTGCAGAGTCACAAACAGACAGACCTGCTGATGAGTAACTCTCGATGGCTCCACAGGCCGAGTGTGAGACGGGCGTCCAAATGTCTGAGTTTGATCTGAATTTTGCAGAAAAAGATGCTGAGCCGCCTCCTCCAAAGGTCTGAACACTACAGGTCAACCTCTGGATCAGCAGAGGCCACAAAATGGACCAAACTGTCCCCACAGCCTCCAACGGGAGAGTCAATAATCCAGACCGGCATTTTCAGCCAGACCAGCCGAGACTCTCAGATCTCTGACTGAAGCCGTTACTGTACTGTCTGGTCCTTAGTTACCACTGATAGAACAAGACATGAACAATCGATCTACAGAGTCTGACATCGATCAACCAATAGGAATATTAAGATGCTGTGACATCATTGACTGACAGCCCCTTTATTAGCATAAGGACAAGGAAATACAGAAATAAATAGAGAAATAAATAAATATAGAAATGAATAGTTATGGAAATAAATTAATAAAATAAATGAATAGAAAAACAGAAAAAGTGTTAATAAAGAAACATAAAAATAAATACAAAAATTAGTGAGAAGGGGAAATTACTAAATGGACATATTCATTTATATAAGATTTTATTTTTTAACATATTAATTGTTATGTTTTTTTTTTTAATTTATCATCATTATTGTTTGCAATTCTGCTTCATATATTAATTTACTAAGTCATTTATTTTTAATTTTATTTATTTTTCATTTTGGCAAATCTGGTCCTCCATACACATGTAGCAATATTCATATTTCAGCTCTTTAACGACCTCGTAATTCAGAGGATCCAGTGATATTCAGGAGAAGAATGTTCACAGGACAAAACGTGTCGGGTTCTGGGCATGTTTATTTAACACAGGGGGCGCTAGAGGTGATTTTTCAAAAACCCTATTCATTCTGGCCATAGAGAAATGGAGCGCAGACCCGGAATTCCTAATATGGGCATAAGAGCGGACTACAAAATGACGACACGGCTACTGTGGTATTCGACCCCCCCCCCTACACACACACACACACACACACACACACCCCCCAAAAAAACCCAAAATATTAAACAAACAAACGAATAAATAAATCCAGAACGAAATGTTTCCCAAAGCTTTGTCCGCCTTTAAACTGTTATTATACAGATTTTTTGTATTAATCCCGAACCCATGACATTTATTCGAATTTTAAACAGACTGCGATTTGTTTCACTCTCAGCTACCTGGTGAATGTCCTGTGATGACATATCCCCCGAATATTTACAATAAGCGCGTGAAAATCCTGTGTAAATAAAAAGAAAAGCTGTGCGATTCCGAAGTACTGACATTGCGCTTTAACTCAGCTGCCACTGGGTGGCGGTATTTCACCTCTAATCGCTTTAGATGCTGGTATTTAGAAATCAGGTGCTCCATTTGTTCAGCAGAGTAAAGCTGTGTTTTCAGGATAAACGGATCGGCGGTGCGTCTTAAAGCGGGGTTTGTCAGTAAAGCTGAATAACTTAAACCTAAAGTGAGAAACGTCCGTCTGACCGGTCCTCGCGTCATTTCTGAAAATGATCTGAGGTGAAACGCTGCCACCCAGTGGCGGTTGAGTGGAAGCGTTAAGTTGTCAGCGCTGCAGGAGGCAGTAACGCCAAAAACCTTCATGGAAACTGATGGAGAACTACTTAAAATAAGTTATTTCTCTCTATATATTTTTTTTAGAAGATTAAGATACAGAAATAGCAAGGGTACAAATATAAAACTCATCAGAATATTTGCAACAAAGTCAAAAAATGAATGAAAATAAAATAGTGTGGAGCCCAATGGGTGATATGGTGATTATTTTTAATAAGGCATGGCCACGAAGTACTTTACCGGGGTCACAATTTACTATATTGTGGCCACAATTGACTAAATCTTTCCATTTTCATTTTTTGTACCATTATACCATATTGAAGCTACAACTTACAATAATAAGGCCACAGATTACTATATTGAGGTCACAAATTTAGTTACTGAAGCCATAAATTACTAAATTGAGGCCACAAATTACTATATCGAGGCTACAAATGTATATACTGAGGCCACAAGTTATGAGAAACATAACTTGGCCATGAATTGCTGTACACTTGAGGCCACAATTCACTAGATTAAGGCTACGAATTACTATATCGAGGCCACAAATGACTATATCGAGGCTACAGATGTATATACTGAGGCCACGAGTTATGAGAAACTTAACTTGTAGCCCCAGTGTATTAGTTCGTGACCAGGCCTTATTAAAATAATCGCCACATCGCCTCAGTGAACAAAATAAAAGTGGCGGGTTGTGACGGTGAGTGCGCGGTGTCTCCAGCAGGCGGCGCTGTGTGCAGTTTGCCTCAGTAAAAGTGGGCGGCGTTTCCGTCCCCAGTTGAATGGCGCAGAGGGAAAACACGACAGCGCCGTAAGAAGGTAAACAGCGCGTTTTCTGCGCCACAGAAATGAAATTAAGCTCGGGTTTTGTCTGTCAGACTTTCGCCGAGCTCGTATCATGGTGTCTGGAACTTTGTGGTGTTTTTGTAGAGTAAATAAGCGCTGAAGCTGCGCGGCGAGGCGTTCAGCAGTGCAGCGGGAGTGTAGCTTAGCACAGCCGGCTAACGGCTCAGACTGCATACCGTTATTATTGAACTTAACCGGGCTTAACGTCGCTAATATCAGCCCTGCTTATGAAGAGACGGCCTTCTTAATGCCATTTCACACTCTTAACAAAGATGCCTCTTCATATTCGCCAGCTTGTTGTATTTCGATTTTTCCCGTTACTTGTTGGAATTCACCCGTTCCACCTTAAATAGTGCAGCGCCAGAGTGCAACTACTGCCCTATTTAAGGTGGAACGGGTGAATTCCAACAAGTAAACTATCTTCGAGACTGGACTCCGTCTCTCGGCTCCAAACGACTGAAACCACCCCAAATCCTTGGCAGTAAAAGTTGTGATAATTCGTTTCAGAGTTGGGTGGAAGCTCTGCTGCCTGCTCGATGGTCCTCTGGTTGGCAGCAAGTACAACCTGTAGGAAAACGGGTGGAAACATTTCGTGTTTCTAAAATAGTTTAATGTGACACAACTTATAGCATGTAGTGTGGCTCTGATCTGTCCAGGTCCCTTTTCCCCTGGCGTGCAGACCGCAGGTCACACAGCAGCACAGAGAGTCTGGCCTGGCTCGTAGCTGCGAAGAGGCAAAGAGAGAGATTTAAGACGAACGTTTGGAGACGAATGGACTTATTCGCATATATAAGCAGCGCGGTCGGTTTCCTGGAACGTCAAACCTGCAAAGAGAGGCTGTCACACACTAAAAAGTTGCGGAGATCGCGGAAGTCGAATTTTCCCGATCCACCTTAAATGGTGCCGTATTTACACTCTGGCGCCTCAGTAAGAATTTAAGGTGGAACGGAAAACATCGAACAAGAAGCTGGCGAATGAGAAGCAACTTAGCCTCGTAAAACAGTCGAACGCTGAGAGACGTTTTACAAGAAATTGATCTACTTTTGAAAAGTTTCCTGCTGGAGATGTGAGAAAAGCAGCTATAGCTGAGCTGAAGCTTAAATCAGAGCAGAGTAGGTCTGTGTTTTTGTTTATACTGTTTAGTCTATACTAGAACATCATCACACACTGAGACATACTGGACATTAAATGTTGTGGCTCCCAAGGTGGTTTGGTTTTTGTTGAAAGGACAAAATGGCTCTTCTTATCATTTGTGTTGTGACTCCTGACCTAACCTGGCTTTAATGCCGAGGAAGCCGGTCGGATTTCTCGCTCATCCAGTAGTGTTTTTGTTATGTGCCGCTGCAGACTGTCCGGGCGCTGCGCTTCCAAATTCCGCCAACGTTACGTTATCAATTAAATATTCAGAAAATCGATTTTCAACATTTGTGAATCGATTCAGAATCGTTCACGTCCGCATCACGATGCATCTAAGAATCGATCCCCCCCCCACACCTCTAGTGTTTAGTGTCTCTGGTCAGTCTGGTTGTTACTAAACAGCTTAGATTGCTGCCTTAGATTTTCTCAACTCTTTGACAAAGTTTTCTTTGACATTTCATCTTGTGATCATCACAGTTATGTTGGTGTGAAAGTGAAAGTTGGCTACTTGAACTTTCCTGAACAGTATAGGTTGTCAGATGTTTCACACTTAAAGAAGAGGGTTCTTCAAGGGTTCTTTAGTAAAGAAAACAATTCTGTATAGAACCATGAATGCTCAAAGGACCCCTTGCATGATGAAATGGTTCTTTGCATCATGAAAGTGTTCTTCAGATTGATGGAGAATGTGCTGTAGGCCTTTTTGAAGCGGGTTCTATATAGCACCAAAAAGGGTTCCTCTATTGCAACAACCATGACATCATAACAGTAGAAGAACCCTTTTGGGTGCCATTAAGAACCCTTTCCAAAAACATTCTCCAACAATCTGAAGAACACTTTTGCAATGCAAAGAACTTTTTAATCATGCAAACGGTTCTTTGAGTGTTCAGGGTTCTATATAGAATGTTCTTTACTAAAGAACCCTTGAAGAACCATTTTTTAAGAGTGTGTATTTATACTTTTTTAAACGTAAAGTTTGAAAGCTTTTAACTCGGCCTCGACCAGGTCACCTCGATTAGCTTGAGTAAACTGATCAGGGTTTACAGTGCAGCTCATCGGCTGATACACAGTTTGTGTTTGTTATACTTCACAGAAACCCATTTCAACACCTGTTTACTCACCGTAACCTGCTAATGCAAACAGATGACACATAAATGTGAAAAATAGGTGGAAGAAAAGTGAGGAGCGGTGCAAAAAGTGAAATGAAAATCTGTTTTAAGTCCAAAGAGGCCATGAGGTAGTATATATCTTGAGATCACCACTTGACTATCTCATTTGCACAGCAGATAAAAGTGGCCCAAATCTGATTTTCTCACCAAATAAAATTTGTTGTTTGGCTGTTCACAGTATCTTTTAAATGTGATCTCAGTCTGAACAGATCAGCTCCTAATCTGACCTGCATGCGCAGAAGAACAGAGCTTCACGCTGCTTCACAGCTCATCCAGAGGTAAACAATCACGACTGCCAGTCGCTTCAGCTTCATCTTCACCAGCATCACAGGAGCCACCATGAAGCCTCACTGACTGACAGCTGGGCTCATCACCCAGAATGTGTTCAGCTCGCCGTAAAAAGGGCACGGTCACTTCTTTGGTTCGCGTCCTCGGATTCTTTAAACTGCTTTCAGACTTTTATCTGCTCTTTGTCGCTGCAGCCTCGTTCTCCTGCGGCCGCGTTCGGACACTTCTACCTAAACCTCTTCAAACACGGAGCGGCTGCGATGAGTCTCTTCTGAGTTTGGTACAGAAACATCACCCTAAATGTTTTGAGTCTCAGCAGCCTGAAATTATGACGAGTGTGGAGTTGGATTGTGTAAAAGTCGCATGAATTCCGATCTACCTGTTCAGACAGAGCTGCACTGCCGCAGATCGGACATATGAAAGCTGTGTCATCTGTGTCACATATGAAGAAAAATATCAGATTTGGGCCACTTTTACTTGCTGTGTGAACAAAACCTAAGTCACATCTTGCGGATAGGGCTGCCCACCGCTCCGGGCAAGCGTGCTCACTGCCCCCTAGTGTGTGTGTTCACTAGGGTGCATGTGGGTGTTTTCGCAGCACGGAGGGGTTAAAATGCAGAGTCCCCCCATTTTGGGTAACAACAAAAGAAATCAATCCAGAACAATCCAGAAATTTATACCCACAGCTCATGGCCTCTCTGGACATCCATAGTTTTATGACGTTTCCTGAGGTGTCAGTCAGGAGGCTCATGTTGTTCTTTGTCTTCTAGAATGTCGAAAAGAAAAGTCACGTTTTGAAGATGGAGATGGGGAGTTTAATTTGGATGACGATCTCCCAAAGAAGAAGGTGAGCTGTTTATTCTCATTTATCGACCTGCACTGTTAGAAATAAAGGTACATTTTTCCTTCATCAAGGTCCAAACAGTGTAAATGTTCCCTCAAAGCTCCAACAGTGGTTTTAAGGTCTGATTGTGAACCTTAAATAAGTTTCTCCAGGTGAAAAGTTCGTATTTGTACCTTTTCATAACCGAATGTTTTAAACAGAACAGTAAAATAAAAGCCTGGAGACGAGACGGGGTGTGTGGAGTCAGTACAGCTTAGAACATATCATTTCAGTGGATTATGGTTCAGTTATATTCCCTGACTAAAGGTACTGAGATGGAGCCTTGAGGGAACCACCCCAGTGACAGTTTAGTACCTTTATTTCTGGAACACTGAGCTGATTGTTTACGATTTCAGTGTTATTCTGAGGCACAGCAGGACCTAAACTGTGAGATAACATGGATGTTGTTTGAATAATAAAAGCAGCTTATAAATACACCACTGTTTAATACATAAATTAATTTTCTATTAGTATTAATTACAGTCAGCAGTTCAGCTGGTCAGTGTAGCAGTGTAGTCGTATTACCAGTAGGCCTGTCTAGCTAAGCTGCATAAGTTTTTAATAACTTGTTGCATAAATACAGAATTGAGTTGATGTAAACAACATCATTTGCTCTTAAATGGGTCAAAGTGATGTCAAAAATTAAATGTCTTGAATCAGTTACAGAACTGGAAGGAGGAAACTGGCTGTTCAGCGCAAGGTGGGCGTAATGGCAAAAGTATAATATCGCGATACCTCAAGAAATCACATAAAATGAAATTACATAAAATGTAAATGATCTCTCTTCTGATTGGCTGCCCTGTATTGTGCCTCATTCAAAATACAGTTCAGGCTGAATAGGCAAATTTTTGAATGCTGCTGCTAAACTTGCACCAAAATGTTATAGTATAATTACACGTAGGGCTGGGCGATATGACAATATATATGTTTATTGTGATACATTATGTCACAACACAATATGCTTTTCTGAGCATATCGTGTTTATCATCAGGGCTTGTTGACACTGACCAAGTGCATGTTTCATTACAAAGAGAGCAAAATTAGTCCTGATTAACTGGATTTAGTGCCAAATGTAAAATAAAAATCACTGTGTTCACAGTTTTTAAAAGTGTTTTTAAAAATGTAGCGCTGCTGGCTTTTTCTTCTCTGTTTCAACTCATCAGATGTCTGAAAAAATAATAAATACTGTGGAACTTCATGATATCGACTGTGGAGAGTGAATGGGAGTGAAAGAAACTCCGTGCTTACATACGACATCAAACTCTTTTATTCCTAAACAAAGCAAGGAAAAAACATGTTTTCCATGCTATCCGCCCTTTAATGTGTTGCTGTGTCTGTGTTTTTCCGCAGATGTATGACGCGGTGAGCGGTCCAGGCTCCAGGTTTAAGGAGAAACACTCTTTAGACAGTGATGAGGAAGACGAGGAAGAGGATGGAGAGAACAGCAGCAAATATAACATACTCGCCAGCGATGATGTTGAAGGTGCCTGCCTGTGCACGTTCACTGCCCCACACAGTGAAAGAAGAAGAAATGATCTCTCTTTGATCTGTGTTCTTTGATGTTGTGGTGACATAGAGGACAAATGTTTCCTAATCGTATTCGCAGGGCTCCCATCATCCTTAAAAAATATTATAGAGGTTTAGAATAGATATGTACAAATTTAAAAGCCTAAAGTGTCGCAAAAATGTATTGTTTTTACTTTTAGTTGTGTTTATTTTGAGCATATTTTAATGTATCAGCTCTCAGCAAAAATAATCTATTTTGCTGTCATAAAGGAGCCATAAACAGACATTAACCATAACCTGCAGCACGAGGAATGCTTTCAGATGACAGATAGACAGACAGCAAGACCTATAAGGCAGAAATAAAAATAGAAATAGACATAAATTAGGCAGAAATAAACTAGCAGTAGCAGTGATGCCCACCAGTCAGCGCTCAGTAACAGTAAAGCTAATCAATCAGTCCTCAGTAGCAGTGATGCCGACCAATCAGCGCTCAGTAGCAGTGATACCAACCAATCAACGCTCAGTAGCAGTAATGCCCACCAATCAGCGCTCAGTAGCAGTGATGCCCACCAATCAGCGCTCAGTAGCGGTAATGCCCACCAATCAGCGCTCAGTAGCAGTGATGCCGCCCAATCAGTCCTCAGTAGCAGTGATGCCGACCAATCAGCGCTTAGTAGCAGTAATGCCCACCAATCAGCGCTCAGTAGCAGTGATGCCGCCCAATCAGTCCTCAGTAGCAGTGATGCCGACCAGTCAGTGCTCAGTAGCAGTAATGCCCACCAATCAGCGCTCAGTAGCAGTGATGCCGCCCAATCAGTCCTCAGTAGCAGTGATGCCGACCAGTCAGCGCTCAGTAGCAGTAATGCCCACCAATCAGCGCTCAGTAGCAGTGATGCCCACCAATCAGCGCTCAGTAGCAGTAATGCCCACCAATCAGCGCTCAGTAGCAGTGATGCCGGCCAGTCAGTGCTCAGTAGCAGTAATGCCCACCAATCAGCGCTCAGTAGCAGTGATGCCGCCCAATCAGTCCTCAGTAGCAGTGATGCCGACCAGTCAGCGCTCAGTAGCAGTGATGCCGACCAGTCAGCGCTCAGTAGCAGTGATGCCCACCAATCAGTCCTCAGTAGCAGTGATGCCGGCCAGTCAGCGCTCAGTAGCAGTGATGCCGGCCAGTCAGCGCTCAGTAGTAGCCAGGCTTCCATTAAACCAGCTCTACTATCAAACTATCAGCTGGATCAGAAATTGACCTCTAATGAGGGACTAGAGGACGAAGTGTTTCTATAAAACAGCAAAATAAAACAATATGATTAAAGGCAAAAATGTTTATAACAATTTAATTTGTTGTAAACAATAAGTGCAGCAAACAGTTTTGACAAGCAGGGCAGTTCAGTGTAGTCTTATAAACTGTTGGCTGTGTATGTGCAAATTTTTTGCCTTAATACAGAGCTCAGTTGATGTATTTGCTCATGTGCAGAGTTACTTCGTATTTATGGACTATTAAGTTGTCATTCTGTCTTCTGTGCATATGATAATAATCAATAAGGTGAAATAATGTCTTATATGATCATGTCTGTGTTTTTATAGGGCAGGAAATGGCGACGATTGACTGCGATGAAGGAGTGCCCATCACTCCCTTCAATCTGAACGAAGAAATGGAGGAGGGGCACTTTGACTCGGAGGGGAATTACTTTATCAAAAAGGAAAAGGACATCAGGGACAACTGGCTGGACAACATCGACTGGGTAGGTTGTGCATTTAATGTTGTTTAAGTTGTTTTAAAATTAAAAGTGCTATGGTAATTCACAAGATCAATAAAATGGTGAATTATATGTAGAAGAATTTTTTCTTTTGGCTTCCAGTTAGGTTTTTGGCCCAGTGAGTACTGAATTTAAGTTTTAGTTTCAGTAAAGAGTTTTCATTTCGGTGGATCACAAACTCAAATTAACCAAAAAGAGTTTTTTTTTTCTTTGTTGTGCTGTCTACTTGTTCTCTCCTAGTTTTCCCAACATTCAGGCCCGTATTCACACATACTGCGTCTGCGTGGCGTGAGCGACGCGAAAAGTCTTGCTTTTCATTTTGGTGCCCATGTTAACTGGTCAGCATTTCACATCACTGAAGTGCCACAGTGTTTAGAGAATAGACCCAACGCCATTTTTTTCCGCGCATCACACAGCAAAATACACTGAAATAAACCATGAAAATCAGGGAAAATTAAATAGAAAACTGTACAAACTTAAAAACGCAATTTTTAAAAATTTAAAAAAATTCCCGGTTGGTCTGTCAGGTTTTAAACTTTTGCCCAATTACAAGTCAGAATACTGTTGAGGATAAACAAATATATCGTGCACTTCCATAAATTAGATTTTTGTTGAGCAGCGTGACTGTGACCATCTATCTGTCTGGAAAAAGGAATGTCTGTATAACTTTCTCGCTGCTTTGCAGCTCAAACGCTGTATGTACACTGTTAGACATAAAGGTTCTGTTCAGGTACATTTTTCCTTCATCAAGGTACAAACAGTGTAAACTTTCCCTCAAAGGTCCAACAGTGGTTTTAAGGTCTGATTGTGATCCTTAAATCAGTTTTTCCAGGTGAAAAGTTCGTATTTGTACCTTTTCATAACCGAATGCTTTAAACAGAACAGTAAAATAAAAGCCTGGAGACGAGACGGGGTGTGTGGAGTCAGTACAGCTTAGAACATATCATTTCAGTGGATTATGGTTCAGTTATGTTCCCTGACTAAAGGTACCGAGATGGAGCCTTGAGGGTTCCACCCCAGTGACAAGAGGGGAACTTCGGTACGGCTGGTGCGGCCGATCCCTGGTGTTTCTAAATGTGTCCGTTCTCATTAGTGTAGGTAGTAAACCTCTGTCTGTCTTACAGGTGAAAATCAAAGAGCAGCCGATAAAGAAGAAAAAGAAGGGCCTCTCTGCTAAACGGAGACGAAGAGCAGGAGACGAGGACGAGGCGGAGGAAGAGCGACTGCGGGAAGAACAGCAGGGAGAAGAGGAGGAAGATGAGGAAGAGGAGGAGAAAGAGCCAGAGGAAGATCCATTAGCCAAGTACAATCTCTATCAACTGACAGAAGCTGTGGTCGGCCTGCTGCTGCCCGGAGAGACCGTTTCCGCTGCCCTCCGCAGGTTGGGGGGGCTCGGGGCACGGAAAAAGAAAAGCCGGCTGAGGGACGGAGCGGAGGAAGAGAAAGACGAGACGACGAACAGAGACACTGAGAAGCTGGAGAAGCTGACGGCTCTGGCGGACAGACTGGTGGGTTTGGGCGAATATGAGATCTATCAGCAGACGTATGAAAAACTGGCCTACAAGCTGAAGAACTTGCAGCAGGGAGCGGCCGCACAGCAGCCAGGAGAAAACGAGGAGGAGGAGGACGAGCTGGACATGTTCGCTGATAAGTTTGACGAGCGGCATGGTGCGGAGAAAGAGAAGAAGGAGAAGGATAACGGCAGAGGTGAAGGATAGGGGAGTGAATGTGGTGACTGTAATGTTCAAACTGAATCAATAATCTATTCTCTGTGAATCCGTTTCACTAAAGAGCACAGTGTGTTTACAGATTCGGTTGGGAATAATTAATATTTTCTAGTATTGTGTTAATCTTAGAGGTTTACACAGAAACATTCAGTAAGACATTTAAAAGAAATGCGTATATACTTCGAATGCCAGTTGAAGAGCTTATAGATTTTCAGCAAATGCTGGGAAAATGAAAATGAAACTAAAACTCCGATACATCAGATCTGCTCTATGGTAGAGAGTCAAAAGGATGAGCTTGTCCAGAAGAAGGTCCAGGACGTCTGTTTGGCAGTATGTTTGTTTCCAAACAAACGTGCAGGAGCGCTGGATGTTAACACTGAGTTCACATGTATTTAATAATCTGAGCAGAAAATCATATTTTGTCAGTAATCCGATCAACACGTTACATGCACTTGAGTAATCCGATAAAGGGGAAACTCTGTCTCTACATGAGTCAGACGGTAATCAGATTTCTGCTTTACCACCACCCAGTAAACTCACAGAAGGAGACGTGACGTACAACTCAAACTTCATGCCACAACTTTTTTTTAAAACACTGTGCCGCTTTACCTGAAAATATGAGCATACATCATCTAGAAGATGAAGAATATTTAAATCCTTAATTTCGTCAAGCATGTATTTGGTGTCAGCGTCGCTCCAAAATCAGAGTAAGAGTTTAAATACACTGAGAAATCAGATTACTGAAATCCAGCCTCTTTATCGGATTTCTAGACCCTGCTCCCGTCTAAGAAATCGGCGTGCGCTGTTTACACAACCATTTGAATGATCGGGTTATTCAGTGCATGTAAACTCACTCAATGAGTGCGTTTATATGCTCTTAATAATTTGATAACTGCAGTGAGCAATATGGTGATCGTGTTTACATGCTATTGGGTAATCAGATAATGGGGTCACATGAGTCAGGCAGTAATCAGATTTCTGCTTTACAACCAGCCAATAAGCTCACAGAAGAAGACGTGATGTAAACGTAACGAAAAACTTCATGCTGCAGCTTTTTTTTTAATTACCTGAAAACATACATCATCTATAGAAGATGAAAAATATTTAATTCCTTAATTTCGTCAAGCATGTATTTGGTTTCAGCATCACTTTAAAAGTGTTGTGTTGCATCTCGCGGGTGCTGCGTTGAACATTGCTCTGGTTTTGCGCATGCGCAGACTGAGAGAAATGAAAGAAATCAGAGTAAGAGTTCACATGCACTGAGAAATCTTACTTGGCTAAAATCCAGCCTCTTTATCAGGTTTCTTCATCAAATTTCTAGACCTTACTCTGATCTAAGAAATCAGAGTGTGCTGTTCACACAACTACTTGAATAATCAGATAACTGCAGAAATCCGATAACGATCAGATTATTAAGCACATGTAAAACTCAGTATTACGTGCCGCCTGTATGTCGTTATACGGAGTAGCTAAATTTAGCTACAAAACAAAAGTCTAATGTCCTTGTGCAAAATGGTGATCTAAAAACAGTTCAGCTGAGCTATAAACAATACAAAGTGATATTGGACACACCCAGTTTTGATCATTGGCCGAGGTTTCCACGAAAGACGGTAAATTGGACACACTTGGAAGAAAGTGAGGGTCAAAGCGGTGAAATGTTTTACTTTTACTAATGCTACAGCTTTAGCAAATAATGTGAAGTTTATTGTATTTTTTACAGTTAAATATATAGTGTATGAAGTTAATATAGTGTACCATAATATATAGTGTACACCAATCAGGCATAACATTCTGACCACCTCCTTGTTTCTATGCTCATTGTCCATTTTATCAGCAACACTTACTATATAGGTGCACTTTGTAGTTCTACAGTTACAGACTGTAGTCCATCTGTTTCTCTGATACTTTGTTAGCCCCCTTTTACCCTGTTCTTCAGTGGTCAGGACCCCCATGGACCCTCACAGAGCAGGTACTATTTGGGTGGTGGATCATTCTCAGCACTGCAGTAACAATGATGTGGTGGTGGTGTGTTAGTGTGTGTTGTGCTGGTCTGAGTGGATCAGACACAGCAGTGCTGCTGGAGTTTTTAAACACCTCAGTGTCACTGCTGGACTGAGAAGAGTCCACCAACCAAAAACATCCAGCCAACAGCGTCCTGTGGGCAGCGTCCTGTGACCACTGATGAAGGACTAGAGGATGACCGACATAATCTGTGCAGCAGCAGATGAGCTATCGTCTCTGACTTTACATCTACAAGGTGGACTGACAAGGTAGGAGTGTCTAATAGAGTGGACAGTGAGTGGACACAGTGTTTAAAAACTCCAGCAGCACTGCTGTGTCTGATCCACTCGTACCAGCACAGCACACACTAACACACCACCACCACATCATTGTTACTGCAGTGCTGAGAATGATCCACCACCCAAATAGTACCTGCTCTGTGAGGGTCCACGGGGGGCTGATAAAATGGACAGTGAGCGTAGAAACAAGGAGGTGGTCGTAATCTTACGCCTGATTGGTGTGTATAGTTAACATAGTTTATTTACACTTTACAATGGAAAATATTTATTTATTCATGTTTATGTTTATTGCCTTTAGTTCATTGTTTTTTTAGGCAGATCATTATAAGGGTTGTCATAATAAGCCTTTCTTTAAAACGAGGTGGATAAAATTAGATTGAACCCTTTCTTTAGGTGGATTTAGCAGACGTTGATGACTTAATATGGAGCGGTCATTCAGATGTAGGTCATCAGTACCAAACATTTTTGCTTTTATTTGTCAGTGTGAGTCACAGCCATGGACTTCGTCTTGTTACACTCAGCACTGCTGATTACACGTCACAGGAATTGAGATATAGACAGGATGCAGATGTTGCCCCATGGCAACAGGTACTTCAGTTTCATTTGTGTGAAGAATCCAGTGATGATACACAACTTGAAGAGGGAAAAACCACTGAAACACAATCTGTTATGTAATTGTTGCCATACAGTGGCAGTAAATGGACGCAACACCACACTAGAGCTGAACGATTAATCGTTTTTTTGTATCGAAATCGCAATTTTCAAATCGGAAGAGCTGCAATTTTCTTTAATTATAGCCTACACTCTTAAAAAGTATAGTCCTTCAAAGTTCTTAAAAAAAGATGGTTATTTCGTAAAGACAGTCGTTCTATATAGAGCCATGAACACTCAGACCCATTTGCATGCATAAAAGGTTCTTTGCATGGTGAAATGGTTCTTCAGATTGGAGAACGTCTTGTATGTGGTTCTGTATAGCATCAAAAAAGGGTTCTGGTACTGTTTCTTTGTTGTGTGTTGATGTCAAGCTTATAACAACAGATGAACATTTTGGTCCTATAGAGAACTCTCTTCAAAAAGGTTCTATATAGAACCATATACAACACATTCTCCATCAATCTGAAGAACCATTTCACCACGCAGAGAACTTTCTATGAATGCAAATGGGTCTAAGTGTTCATGATTCTATATAGAACGACTGGCTTTACTAAAGAACCATCTTTTTTTGAACCTTGAAGAACCTTATGGTCCTTATGGTTCTACACAGAACCATTGTCTTTACAAAAGAACCATCTTTATTCAGTGTGTATGTTAGCAAAACCAGTGTTTTAGGTTTTAAGAGGGGAAACGGAACCTAATAAGAGTTTGTGAACTGCCTGTAGGTGAGTTAGACCAATCAGAGGCAACCAAATCTCCATGTGTTGTGACATCACAACCACAACTTACTGGCAGTTTGACACACTGCGTTCAGGAGTCGAGCCTCAAGCCAAAAAAGGTGGATGTTCTGGTGTTCTTGGCCAAAAAAAAACAGGCCTGAATCTCAATTTAAAAAAGAAATCGCAATTTAATTTGCAGTCGCAATAATTGTTGGAAAAATCGCAATTAGATATTTTCCACAAATCGTTCAGCCCTACACCACACTACCTTTTTCACTTTCTTTATATTCCAAGTTAAGTTTTTTGTGAGTCATTATAATTATTGTCATACTTATCTGTGTTTTTAAAACATTTATGAACAAATTACTCTTATGCACGTTAATTTTTCCCAATGCCTGGATGATAAATGGGTCCTGTGGTACTGCAGTCATTTACTTCAACTGTATGCATTGCAGATTGTCACGTGCTCTTGCCATATGCAACAAAATGCAACAGTAACAGAAATAGAAAAACATTTGTTATATATTTATATTTTTACTAATTATGCTATAAAAAAATGTGAAAACTATGAGATAAAAGATTAAAAACACTTATCATCTGTGAACCCTGCGGTTATTTGGCTGGACACAGAAAAGTAGTCAAATTGTTACGGCTTAATTGATTAATTCATCTGAATTTTGAGTTCAATCAATACAAAACTCTTCAAATGTTAGAATATTCTGCTCATCCAAGTCAAATTAGTGTGTAGCACAAATTAGCACAGTTTAATTCACCTATAGGAAGATCACAACATCAACATAGTGTTAGTCTATTTATATGAATAATGAAAAATATAGAAAGTTACAGTATCACATTTTATGACACTAGGATTGGTTCCCTGGCTTAGTAGAATAAAGTGGGCTTTGTTAAGGGGTCCTCAGACACTGAGCTGAAAGGTGTGAATTATTCTGGGGGTCTCTTAAAACCTAAACGTGCTGTGTTTTCTCTGCAGTGAGTGACGAGGTGATGTGGGAGTATAAATGGGACAATGAGGAAAGCTCAGAGCTCTACGGACCCTTCAGCAGCCAGCAGATGCAGGTCAGAATCTTCTGGATTTAGCTATAAACTCTCAGAGCTTAATTACCTCGTTAGGCCTTAAATGACTCATCAGAACTGGTTAGGCAGATCAAGATTTGTCATTATGAGTTGTCATCTGATGATGATTCCAGAACGAAATAAATACTCTGACTCCTTAAACCTTGTGCCAACACTCAAGAACCATGAGCTCCACTAAGCAGCTGGATCTGAAAGTGAAGCTAAGGCTGCATTTACACAGCAGGTAAAAGTGGCCCAGATCTGATTTTCTCACCAAATCCAATTTTTTTGTTTGGCTGTTCCCAATATATTTTAAATGTGATCTGTGTGCGACATCAGTCTGAACAGATCAGCTCCTAAACCAACCCACAAGCACAAAAGAACAGAGCTTCACATGGCGGCTCGTCCAGAGGTAAACAGTCATGACGGCCAGTGAATGCCAGTCGCTCCCAGAGGATCAGTTTCGTCTTCACCAGCATAACAGGAGCGAGTATAAAGTTCCAGTGGTTGACAGCTGGACTCATCACCCACAGTGAGTTCGAGTTCACCGTAAAAAGGGCTCGTTATTAAGCCACGGGCACTTCTTCAGTTCGTGTCCTCATATTCTTCAAACTTTTTTTTGACGCTGCAGCCTCGGTCTCCTCCGGCCGCATTCGGCCGTTTCATTCAAAACCTCTTCGAACACGTAGCGGTTGCGATACATCTCTTCTAATTTTTGGTACAGAAACATCAGCTGAAATGTTTGAGTCTCAGCAGTGCAAAATTATAACGAATGTCGAGTTGGATTGACATAAAAGCCGCATGAATTCTGATCTGGCTGTTCAGAGTCACATTGCCGCAGATCGGATACGTATCGGATTTCAGTACCACATTTGAAAGCGTTGCAAATCAGAATTGAAAATGTCAGATTCAGTGTGTTTATCTGTTCACACTGACACACAGACACACATCTGTGTCACATTTGAGGATAAAGATCGGATTTGGGCCACTTTTACCTGCTGTGTAAACATAGCCTAATTCTCCTACAAAGCAGGAGAAAACTATAAAAGCAGATTAAGCCGTTTCCAGCTTGCAGTTTTCGCTGAGATTTTATTAAGAATTGGCAGTTAAGGGAAACTGTGGAAGTCAAGGCAAGATCTGGAAAACCAAGAAGACACTCAGATAGCGCTGCTCGTGTGCTGGCTAGAAAGGCAAAGCAAAACCCCCATATGACAGCGAAGGACCTGCAGGAAGGTTTCACTGACACAGGCCTGGTGGTGCAGCGTTAAACTGTGCAGCACTGCTTGCACAAACATGATCTGCATGGAGGAGTCATCAGAAGGAAACTTTACCTGCAGTCTGAAAAAAGTGAAAATATATAAACACATTCTCTACAGTGGACAAAACATGCATATTCTGCACATTTTTTGCACAATTTCTGCTTATTTGCATTTATTTTCTGTTTAGTTGAACATGTAGGGAAGAAAATCTAAAATGGGTTCTTTTATTGTAGCAAGCTTGACATGGTAACAACAGAAGAACGCTTTTTGGTGCTATATAGTACCATTTCCTATATATATATATATATATAGAGAGAGAGAGAGAGAGAGAGAGAGAGAGAGAGTCTGTGCTGAGTTTATTCAGCTGTTGTTCTCTGCAGTCTCTGTAAATGTAGCTTTTACTGTACGAGGAAACTCAGTGTCAGTTTGAGTCACTAAGAGCAGAATCATGTTTGATTTTGAGAAGCGACACTCCGTCTCTACATTTCAATCCAAGATCAACGTAAATTCAGTGAGCTGCTCCGTCTCTGAGCTTAAGCAAAGCACAGCTTTTGCATGCAAATGCAAACTGTTTGCATTGTAACGCAAAACATTAACTTTTTTCTTTATTTATTTATTTTTAAAACCACAGCCACTTAGGGGCTCCGTAGAAAACAGTTGGGTGTGGTTACTCTTTAAAATGCATTTCATATCAAACCACTCTGACCTCCCAACTTCACTTACATCCTAACAATTTAATCATGCAAACATTTTTCAAAATCAATTTAAGCAAAAGGCAACAAAGAGACAGTAACATTTATGTTTCTGTTTCTGAAGCTCACGCTTCTGTGGCTAAATTGAACACACTGATATGAAGCAGGAGCGTCTCGCTTGTGTTTCAACTCAAGTTTGACTGATCTAGCATCAGCGTTCTAGTGTAGAACGTTTGTACATAACTGACTCACATTATTTACACCATAAAATCACATTACAGATTAGCTATAAATAAAAAAGTGCACGTTAGGCCGATATGTGCTGATTCTGATCGAGCACCCCTAAGAAAATTTGCAGATCTTAAATTTGGTTCATGTTTCTCTTCCTTTCTGCAGGACTGGGTGGATCAGGGCTACTTTAAGGACGGCGTGTACTGCAGACGGATCGACCAGGAGGGCGCACAGTTCTACAACTCCAGAAGACTGGACTTCGACCTTTATACGTGATTCGACTTTACGTTTCCAAACCTTCATTTTTCCCCGTTCATCAGCTGTGAGAGAGATTTCCGGAATCAGCATTTGCTCAGTGTTTCTCTGAAATTCGAACATGATGGAAACCCTGATTAAGTGTTTGTTCTCTTGTCTAACTATTTGATACCTGAGCGTGTATCTTTGTTTTAAAATAAATTTTGGTGACTCACCAGATCAGTGGCTTTTTTTTGAGACTGAAAGTGATTACTGGAATCTGACCTGATCTGAATCTGACCATTAATCAAAACTACAAAACAACAATTTGTGCATTGCATGTAGTATCAGTTGCTTCAGTGTTTAATAAACTAAATTTGGATCTTTACAGATAAAACTGACTCTTCCTATTAAGAACCTGGGGCTACTAGAAGTGCTGTTCTGTTTCCATATCACAACAGCAGTTTTGCCATTTTAGATAGATAGATAGTTATATAGGCAAGCAGATAGACAGACAGACAGACAGACAGACAGACAGACAGAGACAGACACTTTATTGATCCCAAAGGAAATTTAGCAGCCAGTATCAGTCACACAACACAGGACAGTTATAATAATAAGGGTGATACAATATAAAAAGAAGAATAAATACAAATAAAAAACAATCTACAGGCATATATACAAAAATCTACAATAAGATCTATAACCTGAGATGAACCAGGCAGTGCAATAATGACTGTACAAGGAGGCGCAGGTTACGGCATATAATGACCATACTGAATAAATATGTGCAGATATTGGTGTCCAGGTGTGGAGTGTCCAGATGTGCAAGATGTGCTATAAGGTGTGCAGAAAGTGCAATATGTACAGATAGATAATATAAACCTATGATTTAGCATTAGAGTTTCAGTCCTCATCTCTCCTCTTCCTTCTCTCTTCTCTTCTGGCCCCACTGGGAAGAGTTGAAGAGCCTGATGGCTGGAGGGACAAAGGATCTCCTTAATGTGTCGGTTGAGCAGCTCTGTGACAGCAACCTGCCACTAAACATGCTCCTGTTGTCCGTGATGATGGTGTGCAACGGGTGGCCGTCATCCTCCATAATGGAGAGCAGTTTAACTGCAAGACAGCAGCAATACTTAAATGAGATGTTTGGTTCCATAGAGCTGTAATGGTTTGGCTGCATCAAGTACAATATTGCCAAAGTATGAAGGGAACTATTTACAGTTTACTTGTTTGTTGCTAACATGTTCATCCATGGTAATAGAAAAAGTAGACAAACTTTTTCACGTTTCCTCCATAATTCAGTGTGTGAGATGGTTCAAATGTCTTTACAGTGGTCGTGATAGGAACCGGGGGTCGCCATGACTACAACACAAATATAGACATTTTATTTACTATCCAGAACCACCAGTGAACCTACACGAGTCTTCTGAGTTGTAATGTTTAAAATGTTGAAACAATAAATGCAAAAAAAGAAGATTAAAAATATGTTTTAGGCCAAAATCATCTCAAAACTTTTGTAAAACAATGTCTCAACCGTCAGGCTGTGTATTTATAAACATCTTAACGATCTAATTGTGAAAAAATGTTCATGATTTTATGCAGAAAATGTCCAATTATGTCTGATTATGCAGAAAAGTTAGTGGAATTCCCCTTTAAAATGTAAACAGAGTCGTTCAGAGTGGTTTGGTGTGAAACGCTCTGTTCTAGAGAAACTTACAGAGTCAGAACTGTTCACAGTGGTGGTGATGGGAACCAGACGTCCACCTCTAAAAGCTCCCTCACAGAAAGTTACTACATGAAATGGTTATGAATTCACTGTCTGATGACTGAGACACTGTTTTATGAGAGTTTTGAGAAGATTTTGGCCTTAAACTCCATTCATGGTGAAGGGATACATAACATGCAGGGTGCTATGAGGCAAAATAGTCCCCAAAGAAAACTTATTATTTCAGATTTTCCACTATTTTCCATCATCAACATTCCATATAAACTCAGAAGACTCGTGTAGGTTCACTGGTGGTTCTGGATAGTAAATAAAATGTCTATATTTGTGTTGTAGTCATGGCGACCCCTGGTTCCTATCACCACCACTGTAAAGACATCTGAACCATTTCACACCAAACCACTCTGAATCTCTCTGTTTACACCTCACACACTGAGTTATGGAGAACTCTTAAAAATATCAGTTCCCCTTTAAGAACAACAGTAACAGTAACAATAACAACAGACTCATCGTCCAGTTCATCAGAAACCCTCCACTGAGAGTCTGCAGTCTGTTATTGCACTCCTATACAGTGTACACACTTAAAAAAGGTGGTTCTTCAAAGGTTCTATTTAGAACCATGAGTTCTATATAGAGGCATTTCATGCTTAAATAGTTCATGGTGAAATGGTTCTTTAGATTGATGGAGAACATGTAGTATATGGTTATTTATAGAACCTTTTTGAAAATGGTTTTATATAGCACCAAAAAGGGTTCTGCTGTTGTTGCGATGTCAAGGCTGTCACATTAGAGGAACCTTTTCAGTGCTATACAGAACCATTTTGTAAAAAAAAAAAAATCTATATATAACCATATATAACACATTCTCCATCAATCTAAAGAACCATTTCACCGTGCAAATAACCAATTAAGCATGAAATGGTTCTACATAGAACTCATGGTTATAAATAGAACCACTGTCTTAGCTAAAGAACCCTTGAAGAACCATCTTTTTTAAGAGTGTAGGTGGACCTCATAAAGTGGCTACGGAGCCCGAAGTTGACATGGTTAGTGTTTTTAATAAGGCGTGGCCACAAATTAACATATTGAGGCCACAAATTAATTTTCTCATAACCTGCGGCCTCAATATAGTAAATATAGCAAAATATTTACGCCCCTGTCCAGTTCACCAGCCTCTTACGGAGCCCCTAAGGTGGCATGGTGATTATTTTTTTAATAAGGTGTGGCCACAAATTACTATATTAAGGCCACAAGTTAATTTTCTCATAACTCGGGGCCTCAATATAGTAAATAAAGCACAGTATTTATGCTCCCGTCCAGTTCACCGATCACTTATGGATCCCCTAAGGTGACATGGAGATTATTTTTTACTAAGGCGTGGCCACAAATTACTGTATTGAGGCCACAAGTAAATTTTCTCATAACTCACGGTTTCAATATAGTAAATGTAGCAAAAATATTTACGCTCCCATCCAGTTCACCAGCCTCTTACGGAGCCCCTAGGTGACATGGTGATTATTTTTAATAAGGGGTAGCCACAAGTTAATTTTCTCATAACTCATGGCTTCAGTATAGTAAATAAAGCTAAATATTTACGCTTCCATCCAGTTCACCAGCCTCTTACGGAGCCCCTAGGGTGACATGGTGATTATTTTTAATAAGGCATGGCCACAAATTGCTATATTGAGGCCACGAGTTATGAGAAAATTAACTTGTGGCCTCAATATATTAATTCGTGGCCACGCCTTATTAAAAATGATTACCATGTCGCCCTCGGGGCTCCGTCAGAGGCCGGTGAGCGTAAATATTTCGCTCTGCTGCTCGAAGTTCACTCGGGGATAAGCGTGGGCGGGGCGACTTGCTGTGGAGCTATTGGCTGCTTGCCCAAGACAATCTGCATACTACGATCGCATTGGTCAGATCGGCGTTCCTATTGGTTCGTTCTCAGGAGGCGGACCGTTTTCGAGTAAGCTCCTTCGTGCGAAGCTCTGATTGGTCGGCGCGGTTCGGCGCTCTGTGCTTGATGGAGCGGATTGAAATGGCGAAAGTTGGGCGGCGTGGAGATGTCATACAAACAACGACTCCCAGGATCTGAACAAATAAATACCGAAACCGAGCCGGAGTCGTGCTTTCTCAGTGGAGCTGAATGCTCGATTAAGGTTGTGGGTAAGCGAGCAATTTTATTTATTTTATACACGGCACGGGCGGAGTTATGATGAGGGAAGTTGGATTCCTATTCGCCAGCTTCTTGTTCGAAGTTTGCCGTTCCACCTTAAATGGTGCAGCGGTTGCATTCTAGTGTCTGAAGCGCCAGAATGTAGCTGCTGCACCATTTAAGGTGGAACGGAAAAATTCGAACAAGAAGCCGAGCGTCGGTACAGTAATGTAGGTTCACCGGCTGCACCGGTTACAGAACACAGCCCCAGTTAGATTCAAAATATTCTCTCTAAATGCTTCAAAGAAAGGGTTTAGATGCCATGAATCTAAATTTGAGCTTTGTTTTGATACTAGATAACGTTACTACTACTGAATTTTAGAGAAAAAAATTAGGTCTTAAAATGTAATAAATTTGTTTTCAGTTTAAAAAAATCCGTTTTTGCCTATAATGGAAACACTTGATACACGTACATGTCGATTAATCATTTCATTCTTCATCTTAAATGACCAACAATCCCATCGTGAATAACAAAACACCGGCTTCTTATTGGAATTATCCGTTCCACCTTAAATGGTGCATTAGTTACATTCTGGTGCCTGAGCCGCCAGACTGTAACTGCTGCACTGTTTAAGGTGGAACGGACAATTCCAAAAAAGAAGTCAAGTTCGGCACCGTAAACGTTTCTTTCTCTGCACTTTTCGACTCTGAACCCCTTGTGGTGGCGGTGTTTCTCAAAAAATAGTTAAATATCTATTCTTCATTATTTTTCGAGCAAGAAAGTCCTCATTAAAATGCTCCACAAGATGTTTACTTACATAGCAGCCGCTGGCTTTTAGCTTTTAACGACCAAACGTACGAGTTAACGTAGCTAGCGCCGCTAAGCTAAAGCTAACTGTTTAACAAAGTATACAAACGTTGAATCACGTTACTTATACGTATTAAGGGACGAATCACCGGTATTGTTCACATGTGCGACGACTCTGTGACTTATGCAGACTAAAATGTCACCTAGGTTAGCTAAAATAAATCCAATTTTAATTATTTTTCGGCGGGTAATGTTAGCTAGCATTAGCATTAGCATGAGCTAACGTTAATGTATCTAACTTGTCAAGATAAACGGAATGTCCCCCAGACAGGCTGGATTTTGAGATACTGACGTATTAAAGTGTAAACCTTAATTTTATTGTGTAGATTATTAGTTAATTATACTTCCTAACCAATTATATTAAGCCTCGTATGTTTTCTGTTGAAACAGTATCTGTCTGCACACTTAGATTGTTTCTCAAGGGCTCTTCATGAAGGGAATGGTTCTATTTGGAAAGACGAGTTCTGTATATAGACATTTTATGCTTAAATGGTTCTTTGCATGGTGAAACTGTTCTTCAGACTGATGGAGAGTGTGTTGTATCTGCGGAGCGTTTCGCATCAGTACACTGGAAATGGCTTTGTTTACATCTTAGCCAAATAATTATGCAGAAATGTTGAGATTTTCCCTGTAAATAAAATAAAATAAAATACTAACTCTCTCATTCTGTCTCATGTGGCAGAAGCAAAAAGTTCCTATCCTGAACATTTATTTGCTACAATAAGTTCTTCATATTAAGCTCACTGGTTGGAGAAACACTCTGCCGGCCTTTAATGAGTGTCTCTTGCTTTTCTTGCAGATTGAGGAGTTCAGAGGGATTAGCGGGGGTCATGCTGACCTCTTCCCAAGAGCGTGTCCCTCGCAGTGTCTCACCAATGGAGGAAGATGTCCTTTGTGCCGTCCATCACGCTGAACCACAACCCCAAACCGTCCACTGTTCTTCAGTTTTGCACAGGTGCACAGTGTTGAGTTATATATGATCTGATGTTCTTTGTTTTGAATGCATGTTCCAGAGTTATAGTTTTGGCATTAAATCAAAAGTGTAGGAATTAGTTTTGTATTATGGGTTTTGAGGGTCTTTGCTGTTTCTCTGGTTTTTCCTCTTCAACCTCGACGACTAATCTTGCAAGTACCCTCACTCAGATCGCCCATCTTGCCCTGTTTGTCGTTCCACGCCAACTCACCTAGGCCTTCTCTGATCACGTCATAGACTTCCGTGAAAGAAAAATCAAGCCCAAACAACCTAATTCATGCAGGAATTCAACATGTCAAAGCTGTGCTCCTTAGTATTTTTTTAGTTTGGAGTTTTAAAGCCATGCTGAGTCTAAATTGCATCTTAAATATTGAATTCAACTGCTGACAGTTAAATCTGACTGATCTGAGCTGAAATTCAGGGTGATTCAAAAAGATTCATCCGATCTCAATGATTTATTTCACTTGTAAATCATTACAAAACAATGCAGTAAACTGTAACTGGTTTAATTGAGCATAAAGTTTATGTAATTGTACAAGTGCTCAATATGAACCTTCTCCAGCTGTACGGACATCAATGCCATAGTCAATTCATCCCGTACTCGATTGAGCATGTCGGGTGTCGCTGCACTCACGGCTCTTTCAGTGAGATTTCGGAGATCATCCAGTGTTGTTGGGAGCGGCACGTGAATAGAATCCTTAACGTACCCCCCCACAAAAAAGTCACACGGTGTGAGATCTGGTGATGCTGGTGACCTTTTACTTGGAACTATTGGTACCAACGACAAATGCTCTGAGCTGTTGGAGGTTTACTGCCAGACTGACAGTCAGAAACTCTATGACTTCCTCTTTCAATTAGTATGTGATTGGTTCCTTGGCACCCCACAGTTGTAAAAATATGGCGCTTTGAAATCGGATGAATCTTTTTTGAATCACCCCGTATATCGAGTGCTAATAAAACACTAAAGCACTATTCAGATGGAAATAGTTTTCCACGGGGAGGTACAGCATTGAGTTTGCAACAGGACGTCTGTAATGTTTAAGAACAGTTCGCATATATATATATATATATATATATATATATAGTATATATATATATATATATATATATATATATGTATGTAATGTAAATGACAGAGATGGGAGTGGCTGCTTGATTTAGATGCTGCCTTTAATCCAGAAAAGAGTAGAAAACATGTCAGAACGTTTATTTAGCTGTTATTCCGTTTACTGTAACCATCTGTTTTGCTTTCTTAAGTGAAGGCAGTGTGTCATTAGCATTGTTGTTGGCTTGGGAATTCAGTCAACATCCCACATTGCTGCATAAAAACTTTTTTCCTGTACGTTTACATGTTTTAATGATTTGTATTGTACCATTGAGGTAGGTCAGTAAATATGCTTTTTGTATGTGAAAATGCTTCTTTGAGTGCTTCTGTACTCAAACTCCTTTTACACAGGATATACACCAATCAGGCATAACATTCTGACCACCTCCTTGTCTCTGCACTCATTGTCCATTTTATCAGCTCCACTTACTATATAGGTGCACTTTGTAGTTCTACAGTTACAGACTGTAGTCCATCTGTTTCTCTGATACTTTGTTAGCCCCCTTTTACCCTGTTCTTCAGTGGTCAGGACCCCCATGGACCCTCACAGAGCAGGTACTATTTGGGTAGTGGGTCATTCTCAGCACCGCAGTAACACTGACGTGGTGGTGGTGTGTTAGTGTGTGTTGCGCTGGTACAAGCACTGCTGTGTCTGATCCACTCGTACCAGCGCAACACACACTAACACATTATTTTATTTACAAAATTGGAATGCCAGTTTGGCTCATTAGAAAGCAAATAATGTACTGTTACAGCTTTGGCTAGTACTGTATAGAATGTCATCATGGATATAATGTCTATCAGTGATTCCACAAACTGAAAATCAGTCACAGTGATCATTGAAAAGCCTTTTTATCCTTGAATTAACCGCTTTAGTTTTATCACACACCTTTATAAGCTAAAAAAGCTCAGCCAGTTTGCATTGAAGTCCCTGTAGTTACTGAATAATAAGCCTTAGTATGTAATAAACCTGAGATTTCAAGAGGTTAACCTTAATCTGGGTGTGAGAAACCGACTTTTATGTACTCTAGAGAGCATCTCGTCACATCTGCGGCGTAAACCTAAGCCTGTGATCTTTGTTGACCTGTGCTGTGCTTTTTTTGCAGCTGCGATGAAGTCGGAAGGTCATCTCCACGCAGAAGAAGTGGACGGCTTCTCAAGGGAAAAGGCCAGACTGAGGAGAGAATCAAGCCTGAGAACAGCGTCAGAACACCAAAACAGCAGCAGAAGAACACGTCCCTCGTTATGAAGGAGAGGGACAGCTGGGTAATATCTCCGTCTGTTTGCTGGGGGTGGGACTATGGGACGATTTGCGGTTATTCTCAGATATACTGGTCAAAATTCTCACTCATGGTTCGAGCTTTGTCATCACCGTAATGCCACAAAGCCACAAATAAGCACAGATAACATGACATACAAACAGAGCAACCACGCTCACGTTACACCGTTGAGCTGAGTGTCTGAGTCAGGGATGTTTGTCACATTTCAAGTGAAAATGGAAGCGCGGCAGACCCTCGATCACCTCCTGCTGTCTAGTCTGTTGCGGTCTGATTGGTTTTGAGACAGTGGACATAAAGAATTAAATCGTTTTTTAGTTAGCATCAGCCTAACGTGGAAACCAGACCGCTTGCCGCACTTCTGTATCCTCGTAGCGATTGAGGCACTGCCTCACTCGGTGGGCTGCATGTGGCAACGCTGCACTCTCAGGGCTGGTCTGTGCAACAAGACAGCTGGTAGGCAAAGCAAGTTTATTTACAAAGCACCTTTCCTGGACTGGTCATTCAAAGCGCTTTACAAATGTGAAAATACAGAGATAATTCTTCGCAAATTTTAAAAAGATGTAGGACGTGTTGTTGGCACCCCAAATGTTAAGAAGAGCCAATTTGTCCTTTCAATAAAAATTAAACCACCTTGGGAGCCACAACATTTTATGTCCATTTTACCTTCTTCGCTTTAAATATGTCTCAGTATGTGCTAAAGTGCTCGTATAGGCTTAAAGGTATAATATAGTCAAAAACACAGACTTACTTTGCTCTGCTTTAAGCTTTAGCTCAGCTATAGCCGCTTTTCTCACATCTCCAGCAGGAAACTTTTCCACAAAAGTAGTTTCTTGTAAAATGTGTCTCAAAGTTCAGCTTTTTACGAGGCTGAAGTCGCTTCTCATTCGTCAGCTTCTTGTTTGAATTTTCCCGTTCCACCTTAAATGGTGCCTGAGGCGCCAGAATGTAACTGCTGCACCATTTAAGAAGGAACCTCACAATTTGAACAAAAAGCTGGCAAAAGAGAAACTGACCTCAGTCTTGTGACTTTTTTAGTGTTTGTCAGCTTATCAATGTTCGTCTTAAATCTCTCTCTCTGCCGTTTCGTTAGCGACTAGCTAGGCGAGACTGTTGTCTGCGTTGCCATGGTGACCAGCAGTCTGCGCTGATCTTCAGGGTTAAAGGGTGAATTAGCAGTTCTACATTAACTCCAGAGTTTAAGACCATTTATTGTTAAACTGTGTTGAACGATCAGCAGAGCTTTATTTTACTGTAAAGGAGGATTATTTTATTATTACCTACTAATCTGATTCTGCTGTGGAGCCACAACAGGGCAGTAGAGGAGCCGCATGCAGCTCCGGAGACGCATGTTGCCGACCCCTGATGTAGGAGAATGGAAATTAAAAACACGATTATAAACAATAGATTGAAAAGCGAAGAAATTAAACATGAAATTAAGTCAGGTTAAAACTTACATTAGGATAGTAGTGATGTTATATGAGAGAAGTTCAGCAGAGCTAAACTGAGCTGAAAGCTGCTCAAATAGGAAAGTTTTCAGGCCGGATTTAAGTGTCCACTGCTGATAGCACGAATGGATGATTTCACAACTTCCAGCCATGTCTGGCATGTCTGACTATCAGTAAAAGCCATATGGGACTCAAGCACGAGACAAATGACTTGAGAAACTCAACGACGCTGACATTGGCTTCGTATTCAGATTCGCTGTTCTACCTTAACTGGTGCAGCAGTTACATTCAGGTATTTGTACAGGTGTCAGAATGTAACTGCCGCTCCATTTAAGGTGGAAGGAATATTCGAACTGAAAGCTGACAAAAAAGAAGCCAGTCTTTGAAATTTGGGCAAGACAAGTCAAGACACCCAGGAATAATAAGACACTGTTATCTCACTGTTGTCGGAACAAAACCTCATATCTCCAAAATGGTAGCTTAAAACATGCTTTACTTTTAATGTGAGTCAATGGAACCAGAATTTTTCCCAAGTCATTTTGGACTGTTTCTTTTAGTCTGAATTTACACACAATGTAAAGGCCAACAGGCATTTTCAAATTATGTCAAAAACTGAAAAACATATATAAACACACATGCGCGCACACATACCAAGATGTATATCAAAGCTGTCAGTGTGTAATTATACCATATTCTAAAGTGCTAGTGATGTTCATATTTATTTAAACTGTAGTTGATGTTTTTGGTGTTGTACGGAAATAAGAGGTTCATTATAAACCCTGTATCAGTCAGTTTTAGCTGAGCCTGCTTTTGTTGTCTAAAACACAATTGTATGTTTATGATTTCCTTCCTCGGTTTTTGAACACACCCTTTGTGGCTGTGAATTGCTAGGAAAATGACAGACATCCCTCAAGAAGAGCACCGATTGTAAACACAGGCAATATGGGCTTATAGAGGCCTACGCTGATAATTCTTCACACTGACAGTTGTTTACCTCTATTTCTGTCCAAGCACAGCAGCTTACATCGGTTTGTCAGTGCAGAAGAATTCAGCACGAATCTTACAAACACATTGTTTACTGCTCAGTTGGGTGTGGGCAGCGTATCCTGAATATATGGCCTTGGGCTGTGGTTTATGATTGCTTGTCTGGGTTTAATTGAGTGATCTTAATTCGTCTTCATGGTTCAGTGAGTGACTGTAAACACAGACAAGACCGTTTTCACCCTAATTCATGCATGACCTCAGTTACAGGACAGTCCTAACATGTTGTGCATTCAGTACTCATGCAAAACATATGTCTGCTTTTTTATGGCTTATTTATTGTCTTTTTTTTGTGTATTTATTTAATTTAGTATGTAATAATATACACCGATCAGGCATAACATTCTGACCACCTCCTTGTTTCTACCCTCATTGTCCATTTTATCAGCTCCACTTACTATATAGGTGCACTTTGTAGTTCTACAGTTACAGACTGTAGTCCATCTGTTTCTCTGCATACTTTGTTAGCCCCCTTTTACCCTGTTCTTCAGTGGTCAGGACCCCCATGGACCCTCACAGAGCAGGTACTATTTGGGTGGTGGATCATCCTCAGCACTGCAGTAACACTGACGTGGTGGTGGTGTGTTAGTGTGTGTTGTGTTGGTATGAGTGGATCAGACACAGCAGTGCTGCTGGAGTTTTTTAACACTGTCCACTCTATTAGACACTCCTACCTTGTCGGTCCACCTTGTAGATGTAAAGTCACGATAGCTCATCTGCTGCTGCACAGTTTGTGTTGGTCATCCTCTAGTCCTTCATCAGTGGTCACAGGACGCTGCCCACAGGACGCTGTTGGCTGGATGTTTTTGCTTGGTGGACTATTCTCAGCCCAGCGGTGACACTGAGGTGTTTAAAAACTCCAGCAGCACTGCTGTGTCTGATCCACTCAGACCAGCACAACACACACTAACACACCACCACCACATCAGTGTTGCTGCAGTGCTGAGAATGATCCACCACCCAAATAGTACCTGCTCTGTGAGGGTCCATGGGGGTCCTGACCACTGAAGAACAGGGTAAAAGGGGGCTAACAAAGTATGCAGAGAAACAGATGGACTACAGTCTGTAACTGTAGAACTACAAAGTGCACCTATATAGTAAGTGGAGAAGCGGCACTATAAATGCTAACATGTTCACTTCAGGTTCACGTAGCATAACTTGAAGAACAAAGATTGGTTCCAGATTTCTATGGACGTCCACAGACGTCTCATTAAATGGTTAAATTTAATCATTAGCACTCTTGATTTAAGCACTGATTAGCCAAACCAGCCATTAGATGATACGTTTTGTTTGTATAGTTTTGTGTGGTTGTTGTTGTAGCCTCATCATCATCATAGCTATAAGAATATTCTGAATTATTGACACTATTCGAAATAGTTTCAGAAAAGCTGTACATCCATTTTTATTTTTTTTTTAGTACTGATTTGATAGATCAGATATACAGTATGGACGTCACCAGTGTGTCTTGTGAAATAGAGATTATTTGATGGAACATGGTATGGAAGTATTTTTATTTATTTATTTATTTTTTTTATTTTTTTCAGATGAACCATGAAGACAATGAAGAGACTGCAGACGAGTGGCCTGGGTAAGTGCATTTTGTGTTTTATTGCATTTTAAAGGTTGATAAATTGGCATGCATTGGTGAGGTTAGGCACACATCTGTACTCATTTTATACAGTACTGTGCAAAAGTAAGACACCACCTTTCATTTATTTCATTGCCAAGGCAAGACAGGTAACTTGTATAGCAACTTGCATACACGTCTGTCATTCAAGTGCTTCACAGATGAGAATATAGTCGTTTGAAAAGTAAAGGAGAATAGAAATTAAAAACATGATTAGAAGAGTAGATTAATAAAGAAGATTATTAAATTAAAATCAGACTTGAGATGAAATTAGGATAAACATAATGAAAAATTTAAAAATTACACTAGGGTAGTAAAGTGACGTTAAAGAGGAGATGGGCTAGAAACAATAACAGTGTTTAAACAGAGCTAAAAGCTGCTCAAAGAGGAACGTTTTCAGGCCAAATTTAAGTGTCCAGTGTCGGGGCTCTTCTAATGCTCTCTGTCAACTGGTTCCATTTAATGAATGAATGAATTGAGAATGAATGAATTCAGACCCATCAGCCAATTAGACCTCATCTGCATTTAACCCATCTGTGCAGTGAAACACCCACATACATGCACACTAGTGAACACACTAGAGGGCAGTGAGCACACTTGCCCGGAGCGGTGGGCAGCCCTATCCACGGCGCCCAGGGAGCAGTTGGGGGTCTCTAGGCTGGTTCCCTAACCTCCAGCCCACAACTGCCCCCAAAGCAGCAAATTAAGTACAAGCTATTTGTTTCTTTCATGTCAACATATTTCGCAGAAAATTTAAAAAGCCTCCAACACATAAATACGATCTCAAATCTATCAGTACGTAATTTGTTCACTCTTGCTTTTGTGCACCTGCTGCCACATTGATTCCACTGTTCCTCCGATCTTAAGATGAACAGGTTACGGCTCCAGCAAGTGTCCTCCCAAAGAAAGATTTTCAAAGGAGTCATTGACGTTATGTTCCCCTTCACACAAGCAACAAAATTAGATTTCTAAAGGCATTAAATTTATGATAATTCACTTCCATGAGGAAGAAGTAAGTCATAGGAAAATAAGTGGAAAAAAACAGAAGTTTCCAAAACTGGAGTTCAGAAAGTCTTCAAATTATTGACAAACGTCTTTGAAAGACTGTAAGCAAGTCTCCTAAAAAGAATGGAAGCTGTAATAAAGGTAAAGAGTGGACATATTAAATGCTAAAAAAATTTTTTTTTTAGTTCTTAAGGCTTTTGTGTGATTTTGCTAAATACACATTTTCTGTTTCTTTACCTAGTGCTGAAAAATGAATAAGCCGTACTTAATGGCCATTTTGGCTGGAAATTAATTAAATGAAAGGGTGGTCTCTGACTTTTCAGTGTATATGGAAAAATGTATACATATTTCTGTATGTGAATGTACATTTGTGAAGTTTGTAACAGCTGCTTTTTCTTGCAGAGATAAGACTGTGAGGGGCTGTAAGCGGAAGTTGGAGTTGCCATCTATAACCTCGCAGTCACACGTCTCGAAGGATTCATCCACTGTTCTGGAACACAGCCGTAGCTCACTGGACATGGAGCCAAAATGCCCAGAGAGCCCTCCACCAGCGAAGAGATGGGTGATTGGGCCCCTTTTTCAGTCGTTCAAGTCTAAGATGGCAAGCTTCACGGAGATCGTCATGAGTCCTGTCCGGCTTTTCAAACCCACCGACTCCTCACTTTCAAACTCATTAACTAGCCACCGTGAACAGCTGACTGGTTCCAATACAGAAAGTTCTTCTATAAGTAAAGAGGAACAGCCTGATATAGAATGTGATGTCACGAAAGACTTGTTCTCTAAAGAAGAGACTGTATGTACACCTTCGAAAATATCCATAGTTGTACAGAGACTGAAATTCAACACAAACTCAAGTAATGAAAGTGATTCAGACGAGAATAAAGTTGTGGTTTCGCCAAGTAGATCAGACATTCAAAGAGATGGTGTCCCGGGTTTGTCGCAGTCCATCCAAGAGGGCCACGGTTCTTTGAATTCTTCAAGTGCCAGAGATTTGTCCTGTCACGTGGGGCCTTCAAACGAATGTGAAAACAAAGTCTACGATGCTACCTCAGTTTCTGAACAGAGTGGTTCTAAGTCATCTCAGGAAAAGTCTAGATTTTCAGATCCAAGACTTTTAACGGACACAACAGATACCATTGACTTAAAGCCGGCACGTGCTGAAGTTACTTGTCCAAATACCTTATCCTGTTCGCTGTCTTTGACTAAAGACGCAAATGGAAAAGGCCTGGTGGACAGTGAGGAGTCCTTTTTGAGGATGCCTATCAGGACAAGCCCTAGAAAAGCGTCCAAACTGCTGTCGGAATCTGAAGGATTGTCTCCTTTGAGATCAGCTAAGAAAGTATCCATGACTTCGTCTGAGCAAAAGATTTTGGGTGGTGCAACAAAAGACTCAGAATGTACATATAACAATAAGGCACACGTTCAGCCTTTGTCTAAAGATGATGGAGTTCCCCTCTCCAGGCTGTGGGATGGAGAAAAAAAGGAAAGCAGTACCTAAGACGGAACCGGTGAGAGGCCTGGAGAAAGATGAATTGGTCAAGAAGGTGAAAAGTAGTTCAAGGAGGACCAAAATAGAAAGCAAAGCGAACTTTGAGCAAGAATCCCCTGCTGACATACTAGCAAGAGGTCCTGTGAATGAGACGTCTGTTCAGATTGGTAAACGGAGGAAGGTCCAAGTCTCGGATAACTCGACCCTAAGCAGTCGTGATGGTGTTGAGATGATGAGTTACGCCTCAGAGAAGTCAGGCTCTTGTGAATCCTCAGAGAGAGACAAAATAGGCCAGGAGAGAGTGTCCAGAAGTAGAAGAAGGAGGGGTGCAAAAGGTAGAACACCAGTCGCCTTAGGGATTGAGAACGATACCATTGGCAGCTTGTCTTCCTCAGATGCTTCAAAAAGTGCCTTGGTGGACAACTGTTTGCAGGGTAAGGGCACAAGTGGAATGGATTCGAGTGACTGTAATGATTCCACCCCGGGGGAAGCTCGTCCATCACTCAGATCCAGAGGGATGGTTACTGTTGGTGGTTCAGTCAAGTCTGTTAAACCCTGGAACACAAGACAAAGAAAAACTGATCAGGATTTGAAAGTGGATGTGGAACGCCACTCTGAGTCTGGGGTGCCTCTAGGTTCATCAGCTGAACAGCCTGGGGAACCTTGGGCCAAAGATGGGCATCGAGATCTTGAGGAAGCAAGCAATGCCACTGATCAAGAACAGGCAAAAATTGCACGAAGGAACAATGTTCGTCAGGCTAAGAATAAATTGGATGCCTCAGGAGTTGCTCCAATTCTGTCAGCTTCTAAAAAGCCCCTAGTTCATATCAAGCGGTTGGAAAGTAGAGCAGTTAAAGATATTGATGCAGTTGAAGAGCAGAGGGTATCTATGTCTCTCACTCTGCAGGTTGGCACCGAAACAGATGAACAAAAAGGCAGTTTAATACTGTCGCCTGTTCAGACTGGTTCTATGTCTCGGTGGCAGGCAGGAAGACCCATCGAAAACTGCAGAACAACAAGAAGAATGGGGAAAGGGGGCACCCCTGCAGAGGAGATTAACACCTCCAAAACAGCACTGGTACGCTTAAAAGATCAGAGCTTCGTTGACAAGGAGCTTGGACAGTTGGGCAAAGCAAAAGAGGAGAAAAAGTTAAGCAAAGTAGGCAGACAGAGAAGAAAGTGCGTCTCCTTGGCAAGGAAGAAAGATGCTCGAGATGACGAAGAGCAGACAATGAATCAAACGGAAGAGGCCGTCCCAGTTGTCTCGTCGTCAGGTAGCGGTTCCAGCCGCCTCCTGCGAAGCTTTTCCTGTCCCGACATCCCGTTTCTCCTGCACAGTGACCATGTGCCTTTGGCGCCCTTGCATGACCAGATCCCTCCTTCTCCACCCAAAAAGTCCTGCCCTGCACCACCACATGCTCATCATCCTCACTCTCCGTCCAAACGCGCCCGCAGACACACAGTGTGTAGCATCGAAATAGAGCGGGAAATTGCTCCCCGGTGCCTCCGCAAGGAAGTGCACCCCACTGGTTGGAGCAGTGCTTCCAACCATGTGTACCCACATTCACACTCCAGCTCCCTCACAGCCCTCGCTTCCTGTTTTCTGTCCAGTCCATTAGCGTTCTTGTCCAAGAAATCGAGCCAAGGACGTAGTGATGATGACGTTGACCTTGCCTCCACTTCTTCACGTAGTTTCATCAAATCCCCATCACCCTCTTTCCTGAAATTCCCCACTTCCCCAACCCTCACAGCCAATCCTGCTTTCTCTGCCAGTGTCCCTCCCACACCTGAGCAGTCCTCTGCCTCTGTATCGTCTCCTTGCAGGTAATCTATCACATTCTGTCATCTGTCTCCAAAAGCACATACCCAGATTTGTTTCTAGGTCAAGATCAGTCAAAAATTTGACAATCTTGGATATCTTCAGTGAAATTATGCTTTAATGCTTAACATTTATCTCTAATACAATATATAAATAGCCAAGTTGAGTCCTATTATGGCTGCATGATATGAACATAAAACACGATATGCAGTAAACTGTTGGGAGTTGTGATGATGCTGTTAAATGCAATAAATTATGTATTTACGTTACTTCTTTTTTGCTATGCAATTAAAAAATATTAACTTTTTTTAATTCGATGGTATATAACAGTAGTTTCAATATTTTTCATAACTGATTTGCATTTTGCAGCTGTTATTAGATGAAAAGCATTATTGTGACCTTTTCATTGAGCAAATAGCAAAAGTCTCAAAATTAGATCACAGTTCACTTCTGTGCAAAGTGTTCATAGCTACTTTCAACTTAACTACAAGCATATTTTGTGTATTGTAAAGCTGGAAAAATTCAGCCTTAACTGCTTTTTTTTAAATGGGCATAAAAATAACAAAACTAGTAAATATCTATGTAATGTCCTAAAAATTTCCTATTGGTGATACAGGCCTGACAAGACTCTTTAGCTTGAGAATAATCACAACAGCCCTAGATGATGCGTTTATCATAGGAATTCATATCTTATTAACGATAAAACTGAACTAATCATGCAGCCCTAATGAATTTATTTCCAAGGCTATTTTCACATTTGAAATAATGTAGTAAAATAAAGAAAAATGAGTAGATATACAGTCCTTTTTAACTGATACTGTATATCTGTCTTTTGAGTTTGTATGTAGGTCTGTAAGTTGGAAATCAGTTAGACACATGAGATACATCACTCTTTTTACTCTAACTATATAATTCTTTATCTAAGAGCAGAGAACTGCGCTAATTAATAGTATTCGATTACGTCACTAAGAAGACCACGTCACCATTTTGGTAGGCAGGCTGTAACTCTGACTGTGTTCTGATGGAGCTGTAGTTACGCTGAGGCACCTTAAACGTAGAGCGGATTTCGAAAGTTGGTGAATACGAGGCTAATATCGGCTTAGCTCAATAACTGCATTAATGTATCTCAATAAATGCATTAATTTAGCTCAATAAATACATTAGTTTCTCAATAAATGCATTAATTTAGCTCAACAAATGCATTCATTAATTTATATTACCTCAATAAATAATTTACATTAATAAATGATCCTGAATCAATAAATAACTTACTTGTCAGCCAATGTGCAGTACAGCGATCAGCCATTGGAGCTGCTGAACGAGTTTCATTTGCCAATCTAACGCCACGTCCCAAACCACACACTAATGTACTTCACCTATTGCACTATTGAGTGCACTTCTAATGGTATATGCAATTTTCTTAACACTATTTAGTGAGCTAGTATGCGGTTTGGAACGTGAAAATAATGTGACGGGGAATCTCAGCCGTTTAGACTATAGCTTTCGTTTGTCATCACTACAACCACAAATTACAAGAATTCAGGTCAGTACACTCAAATGCACTGGTTAATGTGCTTCAAAAGTTTCTCATTACACACAGCCACAGCACTGCCGAATGAGTTTAAAGTTGCCGTCCAAAATGGTGGCAGCGCGATTGTGACGCCATCGGAATAGTAATAATATCAGTAGTTGAAGCCGAAACACTGTGTAGTCACAATGCTGCTTATTTTTCAGCTGATGACATACTAAACGATTTAATTCCTACTCCTCCCCAGTGTCTTTGAGCCTGTTCCAATGGAGGCTGATGTGGTCCAGCGAGAACGTGAGGAGGATTCGCCGTCCAACTTCAGTCTTGAGCTTTCATCCAGATCCATTTCGGAGGAGAGAGCTTTGTCAGACTCTGAGATAAAGGTGCCAGTTTTCTTCTTTAAAATGAAATGTGTAAGTGAATTGATAATGTGATCATTTATTTAAAGCCATAAAATAAAGTTTACTCAATTGGCCAAGACATGTTTGGTGTTTGAAGTTCGTACTGATTTAGCACTAGAGCTGTAAGGCTAATTAGATTAAATTACGTGACCCTTATTAGGCCCACAATGGGAGAAATTTCACCTCTGCAAGCTAACCCATCCGTGCAGTGAAACACCACATACACACTAGTGAATGTGCACACACTAGGGGGTCAGTGAGCACACTTGCCTGGAGTGGTGGGCAGCCCTATCCACAGCGCCCGGGGAGCAGTTGGGGGTTAGGTGCCTTGCTCAAGGGCACTTCGGTCACGTACTGTAGGCTCAGGGGATTGAGCCGGCGACCTTCCGGTCACGGGGCTGATTCCCTAACCTGGAGCCCATGACTGCCCCACCTAATGTAGCTAACGAATTAGCCTGGTGCTGACTGCATGCCCTTAATGCCTTAAGGTGTTCGTTATCTCTAATAGACTTAATTATGTGGTTTCTGACACTGTATGACTCACTGTTACCTATAAACATAGACAGAAGTACAGACTGGATTCAGGCTCTGAGAGTGCGGCAGCTGCTGTTTTGTATCTACATGACGTTAATATTTAGCTTTTGTCCGTGTTTATAGACAACAGTATGTCGTACAGTGAGAAACCACACAGTCAACTCAAACTCAGCGTGGCTTTAGACAAGTGCAAAACGGAGTACACATATATGTTTCAGCACTCGCCAATACAGAGTGTGATTCCATAACAAATTACAGTCATTAACATCTAACTCATTCTAAATTGTGTGCATTAGCTAGATATGCTACATTAGATACCTTGGACTGAGTAGCGCTGGTTTTGTTCCACATCATAAAAGCACTTTCGTAAGTAAAGTATGTTTCATAGTTTTGATCCTTCTCTGTGTCCTTTAAGAACAGAGTCTGTAGCACAGCGACAGCAGGAATCACATCCGAGGCTAACGCATCCGAGGATCTCTCTGTGGAGTTTTGTAATGGTAGAAATCTTGTTCTTTGGTGACGCACACTGTACATTTGAATAGACCACACAATAGACCAGGCACATTAGGTACATGCATGTCAACCATCAGCTGTAGTGATTGTGGGGTGATGGAGTGGCAATTTTCACAGGAGATGAGCGGGAACGAACAGTCGGACATAGTTGGTGCTAGTTCCTAAACGTCGGTTTGGTGTGTCCTGGGCTTTAAGGAGATAATCTTGAACACCAAACACTGCTTGGCTGATCGACAGCATTTGGGGAACAAAAAAGTCTTTAAATGTTTTTGTTTGCCAAAATTCCTTCCTTTTACTTGTTTTGAAATGTCCCAGTTTGCCACCAACAGCATGGCGTTTGTTTTTGACTCCTTCCAGACTGATGACAAGCGAGTAGAGAGAAGAAAAGTGTCCTCTATCCGCATTCGGAAAACTCTGCCCAAGCCTCAGTACAACCTCACGCCGATGGGCCTTCCTAAAGCTATCAGGTGTGTCACCACAAGCTTCATTCGTATGTGATGAGTGTAAAATGAGTGCGCATGCATGTTTGTCTGTATTTGTACAGATACAAACGTTTTGTTTTCCCAGGATAAAGAAGAAGGTGTTCAGCGTGGAAGAAATCTACACAAACAAGAACTTCAGCAAACCCCCTGAGGGGTGAGTCTAGAACAAGCTTTACTCAGACCGCATTTTAAACAGGCTGGTTTTACAAGAGTGTAGAGAAATAGTGCACTTAGGTTGACTGTACAAAATATAATTAGAAAGCTACAGTACATACAGTACTGTGCAAAAGTCAGAGACCATAATTTTATTCATTTAGTTACCAGTCAAAGTTGCTATTAAATGGAAACTCCACTGATTTTTACAACTTTCTCCATAATTCAGTGTGTGAAATGTAAACAGAGTGGTTTGGTGTGAAATGGTTCAGATGTCTTTACAGTGGTGGTGATAGGAACCAGGGGTCACCATGACTACAACACAAATATAGACATTTTATTTACTGTCCAGAACCACCAGTGAACCTACACGAGTCTTCTGAGTTTATATGGAATGTTGATGATGGAAAATAGTGGAAAATCTGAAATAATAAGTTTTCTTTGCAGACCCAAAAAAAAAAACATTAGGACAAAACTTTCACAAAACTATTATATAACAGTGTCTCAGTCATCAGACAGTGAATTCATAACCATTTCATGTAGACACTTTCTGTGAGGGAGCTTTTAGAGGTGGACGTCTGGTTCCTATCACCACCACTGTGACTGACTCAGTAAGTTTCTCTAGAATGAAGTGTTTCACACCAAACCACTCTGAACGACTCTGTTTACATCTTAACCGTTTAAAAAGCAGGAAACATATTTAAAAGAAAATTACAAAAAAAGTCAACACTGAATACAATATCAAATCTAGGAGTGAGTGATTGACTCACCTTTAACTCTTCCATCATTCCAATCTTAAAACCAACCTGTTACAGCTGCATCTGCTAACACCTGTTCCCAAAGGAGTCACTGGCATTACGTTCCCCCTCAAACAAACACTAATGTTAACACAAGCAACTACCCAAACACATCTCAGCTGCCTCATACATTTTTCTCTCATGTGCATTTAAAATAAAGGCTAAAGGAGATGTTTCTAAGGAGATTAGATATAAGATAATCCACCTGGAAGACCTGGTACTCCCCAAAACTGTCCCCATTTGATAAACAGCACTTGAAGCTTTAGAAGACAACAGTCTCGCCTAGCTAGTAGCTAACGAAACGGCAAAGAGAGAGATTTAAGATGAACATTGATAATTTGGAGATAAATGGACTTAGTTAGTTAATTAGTGTTTTATAATCACTCCAGCTGGTTTCCTGATACGTTTAATCTGCAACGAGAAACTGACAAAACACTAAAAAGTTGTGGAGATGAAGTCGCTTCTCATTCGCCAGCTTCTTGTTCAGATTGTCCCGTTCCACCTTAAATGGTGCAGCAGTTGCATTCTGGCGTCTCAGACACCATATAAAGTGGAAAAGGAAAATCCGAACAAGAAGCTGGCGAATGAGAAGCGACTTCAGCCTCGTAAAAAGTTGAACGTTGAGAGACATTTTACAAGAAACTGTTCTACTTCTGAGGAAAAGTTTCCTGCTGGAGATGTGAGAAAAGCAGCTATAGCTGAGCTAAAGCTTAAAGCAGAAAGTAAGTCTGTGTTTTTGTTTCTGTTATATTATTTAGCCTATATCCGGACACTAGCTAGCACATATTTTCAGCCAATATGGTAAAATGTTACTTCAATAAAATGGATATAAAATGTTGTGGCTCTCAAGGTGGTTTGATTTTTGTTGAAAGCACAGAATGGCTATTCTTAGCATTTGGGTTGCGACCCCTGAACTAGCCTTAACCAAAACAAAAGGGTTAAACAAAAGACAAACAGCTTAGCTCACGCCTGGACTGACACAATACAGACAAAACCCCAAACCAGACACAGTGGCAGCCAAACATTACACCTGGTGAAGCCATTTACAAAATCTACTAAAAACTAGGGAGTCTACACACAAAATATACAGCAAGCCAACAGGTTTAAATGAGCTACATCAAGGTCAAAACAAAGCAGTCTAAAGGCCAACAGTCGGAGATTAAACGGGCAATAAAAGAGCAACAGCTGTTGGTGGAGCCAGGGAGCCTCTTTAGTTCTTCCTGCCTGATGACGTCATAATCTAACCGGGCAGAAACATGGTGTCCTTGCACTGGTAGTTCAGTGGTAGAATTCTCGCCTGCCACCCGGGAGACCCGGGTCCGATTCCCGGCCAATGCAACCATGCAGTGGCTTGGGGCAGTCGTGGGCTGGAGGTTAGGGAACCAGCCTTGCGACCGGAAGCCTTGTGCCGGTTCGATCCCCTGAGCCGACAGTCTGTGGCTGAAGTGTCTTTGGGCAAGGCACCTAACCCCCAACTGCTCCCTGGGTGCTGCGAATAGGGCTGCCCACCGCTCCAGGCAGGTGTGCTCACTGCCCCCTAGTGTGTGTCTTCACTAGTGTGTATGTGGTGTTTCACTGCATGGATGGGCTAAATGCAGAGGTGAAATTTCCCCACTGTGGGACTAATAAGGGTCTCTTAATCTTAATCTTAACTGTATTATGGACTGTAGTATTAACTACTATGGACTGGAGCGAGTGTTGATGAGCTGAAAACAAGGACTGGATCATGGAATGAGGCTACAACTGGGAAGACAGAACAGAGGAGTTCATGCTCTGTGTACCACATGTGTAGTCACGTGACTCCGTCCCGTCCAGTCTGTGACATGGTAACTCAAACACTGAGCCATCTGAGCAAATCAAGCAGCTTGTACCACAGAAAAATGCCGTGTCCGGTATGGGGACACATTTTGGCTTTAGTGAAGACAAGACCAAAGTCAAATGTAAACACTGTGGAAAAACAATTTTAGCGACCAAAGGCAATGTCACTAATCTGTTTCAACACTTGGAGCGCAATCGTGTTACCGAATATGAGCAGTGCATGGCTCTCACCGATAGACAGACTGACAAGTGCTCGGCAACAAGCAGCTGTCTAACACATTATTTACAAATGCTACACGATAAGAAGAGGATTCAACAAGAAGGAAAGAAGTAGGTGATGCCATTTCCGACTACATCGCGAAGGATATGGCTCCCGTAGCTACAGTGGAGCACAGTGGGTTTAGACACCTCGTTAAAACCCTCGACAGAAGATCTTATATTTTTCCCAAACTGCGCTGCCCAACATGTTGTACGAAGGCAGCTGCTGAACTCTGAAATCTGTTCAGCACTTTCAGCCATATCTGATCTGTGGTCAAGTAGTATGGTGGACCCATATTTGAGCCTTACTTTGCACTACATTTCTTTTTCTCACATTTAATTATTAATTATTTTAATAATTAATGTGAATTATTAATTATTTTAAATAAATTTTTTAAAGTAATATTTGTTTACTGTATATTTTATGTGTATATTTAGATTCAAGTTCTTTTCTACTTCAAGTTATTTATTTCCTACTTATTTAGGGAACTTTTTTTTACATTAAAACCAAAATTTGACCTTTTTCATGAGATCACAGATACTCTTTTATTATGCACTCTTTTATTAGAAAAAATATCCCAGTTGTAATAAGTGAGCATATTTAAAGTACAGACCTTGTCAATGAACTGTGAGGGCAAAAAAACAAACAAAATAATCCATTCATTAATCGTAATCAAGATAGCATGTTCAGTTAATCGTGATATTGATTTGAGGTCGTATCGCCCAGCACTAACTAGGACTAAAGGCGGTCAAATCTGCATTCTTCTTGCGCAGCTTTGATGAATAGGGGCTGTTATCTTGAAGCACCATATTATATTTTTGCTATATCGTCCACCCCAAGTCCATGTGTAGGTCTTCGTTTGTGAGATTTGTCACTGTCCTTTATTCCTGCAGGCGGTTTGAGACCATATTTGAGGTGCCTCAGAGCCGACAGGACAGCTCCCAGTCCCTGTTTGGTCAGAAACGGATGAAGCGCTTTATTGAATTCCCTGAACTGGGCGTGGCCAGGAAGCCAAGGAAGCCAAGGAAGCCTCTGGTTGGTGGAGCCGGGGTGGGCGGAGCTCAGAGGAAAGCTGCAGGGAATTCTGGGATGGGCAGAACACGCAGAGGCGTCTGGGCCTCCTCCAGAGACGAAGATGCACTGAATCTGCAGGACCTGGATTCGCTCTTGTGCTCGAAGCTGAACGAGCTGGACTCCTGGATGGCGCTGGAGCAGCTGGCCTACTGAACACCTTTGTGTAGTTTTTCTTTTGTTTGTTTGTTTGTTTATTTTTGTGCGCTCTTCTATCTTGTAGTTCTTTTTTGGTGTACAACCACTCGAGAATATTAAGCACATCCAAGTAATATTAAAACCCTGCAGAAATGTACATTTTTGTACTTTATGTATACATAAGCTGTATGTTTGTATATTTGTATAGGTCGGGTCTAGTAATGCCATTATCTGTGTTTGAAGTGTGCTCGTGCTTATTTGTTGCGGGTTTGTGTTTATATCGTCGCTGTCAAAGAAAAACTTTATCTCCTTTCTTTTGGTTTTGTTTTTTTACTCCTCAGCTGCCCTTTATATCGTGTGAGCGTTTCACGATGAATGGACCGGCGGAAATGGTGCAGAATTACTCTGAATAAAATCGTTACGTTAGCATCCATTAAAATTAAGAACTTTTTCCCTTCATCCTGTGAAATAATCATATTGGAGGTGTGAGTTTTTCTTATGGCAGTGACACATCCAGTCATACATACCTGTTGTCGGAAAAAAAATCTCGTATCTCCATTTTTCCTTTTCTGTTTTTATCATAACTTAAAAATACCTGTTGTCCTTTATATTGTGTGTAAATTTCATGATGAAAAGACCAAAAGAAACGACCCAGAATGACTTGGGAAAATGTCTGGTTCCATCGACTTACATTAAAAGTAAAGTATGTTTTTTCTTCTCCTGTAAAGTTACCATTTTGGAGATACGAGTTTTTTTTTTTTTCCGACAACAACGATATGTAAAAGTCAAGGCACCCCTGGTCAAATGACGTGTTCTGAATATACGAGAACACATCCACTACACAGAACTGTACATTTTAATACATAATTACTGTTTATTTACTGAATTTCACATATTTTGGGGGGATAAAACATAAAATATGGCAAAGTGTTAAGCCAAATCATATATTCTATGTTTTTTCCCACCAATTTGTTAAGCTGACAAATAAATGGGAGCTGCGCACTGAAATTTATCATTTGTTTGTTCCTTGCAGAGGAACTTTTACTTTGAAAATCAACATTTGATCAGTGGTGCCTAAACTTGCATAGAACTCTGTGTGTGTGTGTGTGTGTATATATATATATATATATATATATATATATATATATATATATATATATATATATATATATATACACACACACACACACACACACACGCATACATACATACATGTCCCATCACTGTCAGAGCAAAACCTCATATCTTCTTTATTTATTTATTTAATTTACTCTTTTTGAAAACACCAGCTGTTTACATTGTGTAAAAATGAACTGGACTGATAGAAATAGTCCAAAATGACCTTAAATCTAATGGCATTAACCAGGGTTGAGATTAAATGTAAACATATTATTGCTTTTCCAGAAAAGATGCCGTTATGGAGATTTGGAGGAGTTTTTCTTATGACAGCGACAGTTTATTTTATTTTTATATATATATTAATACAAGCTCTCGTTTTATTATCCTGAATGTTTGAAAACAAGAGCACTTCATTTCGAGTGTTTCAGCCCAGAATTTCCCCGTTTCCTCTTTGGATAAAAGGAAAGATTTTACCTGTTGAGTTTCCAGACCCCTAAACATGCATTAGGAGACATTTTTTAAGAGCGATTTCACAGAATTTTCAAAATTTCTGCATAATTAGATGGTTAAGATGTACACAGAGTCATTCAGAGTGGTTTTATAGGCAATGGTCTGTTCTAGAGTCAGAATTGCTCACAGTGGTGGTGATGGGAACCAGGCGTCTGAAGAGTTTAATGCTTAATATGTTCAGTAGTTTTTTGATACAAGCTTTTTGGCCAAAACATTTTATATATATAAATAAATGAGGTGTTGTGAGGCAAATTAGTCCCCAAAGAAAACTTATTATTTCAGATTTTCCACTATTTTCCATCATCAACATTCCATATAAACTCAGAAGACTCGTGTAGGTTCACTGGTGGTTCCGGATAGTAAATAAAATGTCTGTGTTGTAGTCATGGCGACACCTGAGGCCAGATTCACGAAAGTGTCTTAAGAAAGAAAATCTTAAATGTGTTTTTTTTTCCTCTTTACGACAGACTCACACTCGTCTCAGGCTGTAAGAGTCGATGAGTTGATCATCCGTATTTATCTCGGACGCAGCTTCTGCTGCTCCTCATCCTCATCAGTTTCCCCACAATTATCATATTTTTTCTAAGGCAGATTTTTTTTCCTGTCAGCTGTTTCTTCTTCCATCACTTCTAGATCTTGTTTGCTAAATTTTTTAAATGCTTGGTTTGATGTTTTTCCTCCATTTTGCTCCTCTGAGTGGATTAAATAATGGAAATAACCATTAATACAAATTCAAACTGTATCTCATGACGTTTATGGTACATGATAAAATGCTGTGAAGATTATCTTAACCCTTTAATGTTCTGTTCAGCCATTAGGGGGGCACATTTTGAGTCACTATATATGCCACAAAGTACCATCTTGACCGTTTTGGTAGACGTGAATATTTTTGAAATTGTGGGGTCAAAAAAAAATGACAAAAAAAACTGTTTTTATTATTTCCCCAAACAAACAATATTTTATATATATTCTATTATATATAATACTCAGTATATGATGTTTTTCCAGTTTTTGACATAATTTGAAAATACCTGTTGCTCTTTGTATTGTTTGTAAATTTCATGATGAATGGACCAAAAGAAATGACCCAAAATGACTTGGAAAAAATTCTGGTTCCATTGACTTACATTAAAAGTAAAGTATGTTTTTTCCTTCTCCTGTAAAGTTACCATTTTGGAGATACAAAATTCTTTCAACAACTGCTATATATATATATATAAATCCATTGCTTTTCTCTTGGTGAGGACATTAAAGGGTTAAGAAAATAATTAAGATTATCTTAAAGAACATTTCAGAACTTCTTTCTCGAGAATTGCCTTTAAGAACCTTCTTACGAACTTCTTAGCGTTAATCTTAATAACCTTCGCAAGTTTTTTCTTTAAGCTTTCGTGAATCCGGCCCCTGGTTCCTCTCACCACCACTGTAAAGAATCTCTACCACCAAGAATTTCACACCAGACCTCTCCGAATGACTTTCCGTCTCGACCATGGCCAGGAACGTGTAGATAAACCTGTGGAATTCCTCTGTAACATGTTCGGTGAGCTTCACTGATCGGAAAGTGCAGAATGGATCTGAATGCTGGTCATGAAGTGCCTTTAACGCTTCACTCTCTCAGGGTACTCATGTTTATATGACCATGTTCTCTTTAAACGTGCCATATGTTCGTGTAAACTCTTGTATAGGTGGATCTGAGAGCGTTTATACTGGTCTTGTTTTCAACTGCATGAGGCAGCAATAATGTTTCCGTTTCCCAGTGATGGATTTCTAGTTTGTGACTTGTTCATCATGGGAATGTTCGCTGTTTTGCTGCGTAACACAGATTTCCACTGTTTGTTTCTGTGGTTTCGCTCAGGCAGAATCCAGATTAAATCCAGACCACTTCGTCCATCATGGGGAGTATTTTCTCAGTTTAATAGTTTTGTAGTTACCAAAGTAATGCTGTGGCTTGGAAATTGGTGTTTGTGATTGGTTTTGCTTTGTATGGAATGTTTTTGGATCCTTTTTTTTATTCCCCTCCAACAAAAGTTCAAGGATTTGCATCCAGATGCAGCTGCAAAGCTTTGACTGTTACACGTTTTATTAAGAAGCATTTTCACATCAACATTTTCATTGTACAAAAATACAGAAGCACAGTCCGGCACGGATAAAGTTTTTAAAGAAGCTTAAAACTAAATAGTAATAATGTAAAAATATTGTAACAAAGCCTTTTTTTAAAGGTAGTTTGATCAGAAAGCTTGTATTAACGATGTTTGTCCATCCTTGTTGTTTACTGTCCAGAATACAGAGTATGAATAAAAGACTTCACAGCAAATTAATGTATACGTTTAAAACTGTCTCATGTTATTTTAGCACGTTTTGTATCAGACACAGTGTATTTCAGACACTGTGTGTGATTAGAACTCAAAAGTAGCACAGAATGTGTCCTTAAGTGGACACAAGGAAGGGGAATTTCACCGGTTTTCCAAAATTTCTGTATAAAGCAGTGATTGATACGAAGCCCTGCTGGTGACATGCTTTATAAATAAAAATAATGCGTGGCCACGACTTAGTAAGGCATGGGAGCGAGATAATTAAGTTGTGACCATGACTTAATAATGCATGGGAAGGAGATAATTAAGTCGGGCCGCGCCATATTAATGTGTGGGAAAAATCCTAATGCGTGGCCACAACTTAGTAAGGCTTGGGAATGAGATAATTAGGTCATGGCCACGACTTAGTAAGGCATTGGAACAAGATAATTAAGTCATGGCCATGACTTAGTAAGGTGTGGGAATGAGATCCTAATGTGTGGCCACGACTTAGCAAGGCATGGGAACGAGATAATTAAGTCATGGCCATGACATAGTAAGGCATAGGAACAAGACAATTTGTGGCAACGGCATATTAATGCATGGGTATTAGATCATAATGCGTGGCTACATCTTAGTAAGTCATGGGAACGATTTAGTAAGGCGTGGGAACGAGATAACAAATTCATGGCCATGCCATATTTATGTCGGGCCATGACTTAGTAAGGTGTGGGCTCCTAATGCATGGCCATGACTTATTAAGGCATGGGAACAAGATAATTAAATTGTTGCCTTGACTTAGTAAGGCATAGGAACGAGATAATTATTTTGTTACAACGACATACTAATGTGTGGGAAGAAGATCCTAATGTGTGGCTACAACTTAGTAAGGCATGGGAACAAAATAATTAAGCCATGGCCACGACTTAGTAAGGAGTTGGAAAGAGATAATTCGTGGCCATGCCATATTAATGCATGTGTACAAAATAATTAAGTTGTGGCCATGACTTATTAAGGCATGGAATCGAGTTAATTAAGTCATGGCCATGACTTAGTAAGGTGTGGGAACGGGATCCTAATGCATAGCTATGCATTAGTAAGGCATGGGAATGAGATAATTAAGTCGTGGCAACGACATCCTAATGCTTGGTCATGACTTAGTAAGGTGTAGCCACAAGATAGTCAAGCCTTGACCACAGCTTTATAAGGCATGATCTTGTGGCCACGACTTAACTCGCTCCCACGACTTAACTCAGTTGTGGCCATGCATTAGTTTTATTTATATGGGACGTCACCAGCAGGGCTCTGTAGAGTAAACAGACTGGTTTGGTGTGAAATGGTTCAGATGTCTTTACAGTGGTGGTGATGGGCAATCAGGGGTTGCCATGACTACAACACAAACTATCATAAACAGCATCTCAGTCATCAGGCAGTGAATTCATAACCATTTCATGTAGTAACTTTCTGTGAGGGAGCTTTTAGAGGTGGACGTCTGGTTCCTATCACCACCACTGTGAACAGTTCTGACTCGGTCAGTTTCTCTAGAACGGAGCGTTTCACACCAAACCACTCTGAACGACTCTGTTTACATCTTAACCAGTTAATCATACAGGAGTTTTAAAAACAGTGGAATTCCTCTTTACATGTTAGTGTTGGTTTGTTTTGTTCAGTTTGCAGAAGGTGCTTTAAATCCCTCGTTCACTCTCACTGACTGAACGATAATGGAATTCCTGGCCTTTATTCCAATATAGAATCCGTTTCCTGGACGCTTTAGTATGAGCTGGGCCAGACAGATGGTTGGCTACTATTCTGAGTTTGTTGATGGACGTGTCCACTTATAGTTCATAGTCCAGAAATCTGGAACCCGTGTCCATAGCAACAAGTCACGTCTCCCTTGGTTTTCCAGGCTCACTGCTCAGTGTTTCTGTGGTTTTCTCTCAGTTTATTAAGGTCAGGAGGTACGACACCAGTCCCGTCAGCAGAGGGATGAGAATCAGCAGGGCCACCCAGGCCACAATGGCGAATATCCCATAATTCCGAGCTTTCTTAGAGTACTCCTTGCCTTTCTTTGCTCTGTCTGCTTCTGGTATGTTAAGCTTTCCCTTGTTCATCGCCCGAGTCTGGTGGGAATTGGGAGACACATTAGGACATATAGGGACACAGACAGGTGAACTGCATGATGGAATTAAGCTATTAACATCCTAAAATCCTTTATGACCCTCAGAACTGCTCAGCTGCCCCTCGTGTATCAATAAGAACAGTGACTAAAGTGACGTCTGCATTTAGTAAACAGGGCTGGTCACATTCAGTGTGCGTGATGTTCGTGCATTAGCGCCATATATCAGCAAGAACAGTCCATCCACAACCACATACAGGGGGATATTATAGCAGGGCAGCACCTCATTATAGAGACGAATGACCGTCTGAGAGGTCAGTGGTGTAAAAACCATCAGCACTGGTCTCCGAGATGTGGAAAGCAGTGATCTGGTCAGATGAGTCCTCCTTCACCATGTTCCCCTCAAGTGGGAGAGTGCATGTGCAACTTACTATCTCATAATAATGATCCCAGAATAATTACTCACTTTCTTAAAATGTACTAACTCTTTAACATAGTATCCTCAAATCTTGAGAACATAAGTGCATTATATAAGTATATATCTCGAGTATATATTTTGAGATAAGTAGACATTTCGAGATATTAAAGTAAGACTTTGAGGTCAATGTTTCAAGACAATAAGTCATTATATTGAGAAAAGTTAGTATTTCAAGAAAGGGATTATTTCAAGCGACTAAATTAACATATTGAGAAAATAAGTAATTATGTAGAGATATTAAGTCAATATTTCGAGAAAATAAGTAATTAGAGGTATTAAGTCAGTATTTCAAGAAAATAGGACATTATTTTGAGACATTAAGTCAATATTTCAATAAAAGGTCATTATTTAGAGAAACTAATCAGTCTTTCAAGAAAGTGATTATTTCAAGATACTAAATCGATATTTTGAGACAATAAGTCATTATTTAGACATATAAGTCAATATTTCAAGAATATAGGTCATTATTTTGATATATTAAGCCAATAATTCAAGAAAATGGGTCATTATTTAGACATATTAAGTCATTATTTCAAGAAAATAGATCATTATTTTGAGATATTGTCAATATTCCAAAAAATACATTAGAGTTTAGAGATACTAATCAGTATTTCAAGAAAGTGATTATTTCAAGACACAATCAATATTTTGAGAAAACAAATTCTTTTGAGTTACTAAGTCAATATTGGGAGAACATCATTACTTACAGATATGAAGTTAATATTTCACGAAAGGTCATTATTTTGAGATACCAAGTCAGTACTTTGAGGACGTCTGGAGGACGGCTTACACAAAATGTGCATAAACAGTGTCCAGCTGTCCACCACTGAGGTGAGGGGGTTTCTAATAAAGCGGCCGGGAGAGTATTAGAAGTTGTAGATTGGTGTACAAGATCATGAGAATGTTTATTTATATATGGAGGATGTATGTATGTATATATGGAGCGTGATTACCTTGACAGAGTAAATCAGGGACATGATGCCGAGGCAGGAAAGGCCGCAGATGATGCTGCCGATGGCCAGTTTCCTGTAGTCTCTGTGCTGACCGCCAGAGGAAGCCATGAGGCCGCATTCCACATCCTGTGAGTGATTTAGTTTTGTACTCATTTCGCCCGGCGGAGAGGAGTTGGGCAGGTTGGCTCACGCAGCGACTGAGATGCTTCTGCAGAGACAGAAGAAACCACAATGACATCACAGCACAGTCTGCATTTAGAGACGTGATGAGCGTCATCGATAAGCTGCACTGTGACACAATCATGGAAACATTGAGCAACTACCCTCAAACCTTCCCAACTTAACTTCCCAAAATGAAGAAATAGTTTCACATTTACACAGTCACACCCCCACCTCTTAAACCAATGCAGGCAATCAGGACAGTCAGTCAAGGCATGTTTGCTTCTTTAGCTTTAGCACTGGAGCTATAAGGCTAATGTAGCTAACAACCCTGCTGAAAAACACATAAAAGCCATTGTTTCTGTCGGTTTCTTGAGTTTTGTAATGTGTTTTGGCCTTTTAAATGGGTTGGTAACACAATGTAAACAGTCTAATGGTCATTTTTTAGCACTGTGCTAACATAAAAATGGTCAAATGTGTGTTACATGGCCAAAAACATTAGCAGCCATCTTGAAGTCTGGATTTACTCTCAAACTATCCCAATTTATGAAGAGAAGAATAGTTTCCCTCCCCACCCAAACCAATGCAGACAGTGAGTGAAGACATATTTGGTGTCTGAAAGTTTGCCTCTTTAGCTTTAGCACTCGAGCTACAAGGCTAATGTTGCTAACAGCCCTGCTGAAAAAAAAACAATAGAAACCATTAAGTGTTCGGTTCCTGATAGTTTTGTAATGTGTTTTGGCTTTTTTAACAGGTTGGTATCACAATGTAAATAGTCTAATGGTCATTTTTTAGCACTATGCTAACATAAAAATTGTCAAAAATATGTTACATAGCTAAAAACAGTAGCAGTCGTCTTCAAGTCTGAATTTTGTCTGTATTTCAGTCCATGTTCATAGATAACCAGATGTCAGAAACCACATAATTAAGTCTATTAGAGATGTTACAGATCACAGTCTTTTAAAACATTTTGGATCAGCTGTTTTGCTACCTGGCTGACTTACATGCTCTAAAAACTACAAGTTAGCCACCAGTCTCAAGCTGTTTAGCCTCTTACCTTTAAACACTGTGTTTACTGCATGCAGTGCTTCAGTTCCAGCTTTCAGACTGAAGGCGTTTTTATAAGAAGTAGTTCCTTATTTGAAGCCGTCAGTGCCTGCAGCTAATAACGTGACCAAACAGCCAGATTATGTGGTTTCTGACGCTGTACGACACTGTAATCTACAAAGATGGACTAAAGTAGACAAAATTCAAAGTAAATGATGAGCGCTACTGTTTTAACTATGCTAATGTACTTCAGTCCATGTTTATGGATAACAGTGAGTTTATCAGAAATGCTGAACAACTCTGAACAACAGACTTAGCCATGTTATTTGAGAGGCTACACATTTCCACTAGCCTCATGCTAGCTGCCTGATAGCAAGAGTGTAGTGGACCACTGTTGGCCTGCTGATGGCAAAGCTGACGGTTCGCTAGCATTTTGCTCAGCGTTTTCCAGGCGGCCCACCGGTGTTATGGACAAAATTTCACTTATCAGCGTTTATTTTCCACTCACAGTCCACCAACGTTTTCCTTCCCTCCTTCCTTGTTTAGTTATACTTTGTAAATTAGTTTATTAAATAATTTTAATCTAGCACAGTGTCAACAACATTTTCTATAAAACCATTTTATATCAGGCCGAGTCATGAATTTTTTCTCTCAGTTGTTTGTAATATTTTTGTCTTAGCCTTTTATTTTAGAAAATACTCTACGTTGATTTAAAATCTGTTTGGCGAGATTAAAAATAGGTAGAGCTTGTATGCAGGACAGTAATCTGGGTGGTCCGAGGGTGGTCCGGCAGTGGCAAACAGTCAGTGGAGTGCCGACCTTATCAAGAAAGCGGACCGATATATGCTCGCTAGCTGGGCTGCTAGGGGCAATATGGTCATATATGAGGTTTGATATGTCAGAACAGACAAAAAACTGAACAGTTTTGGGCAATGAAGTGTGCAATGATAGGCCTGCTGTTAGCACAGTGCTAATTTCTAAGCTTTCCATTATTTGTTAGCTATTCTAGCCTTGTAGCTACACTGTGAACAGGCCTTTCACAATTATTACATAAACGCCTGTTCACAATCTTTTACGATTATCACTATTATTTATGTTTTCTTCACAATCATATTGTGACACAACAGTCACAATGTGAATTAGGAATGAAGTCTTTTAACTGGGTGCTCTGTGCTGGTACTCTGAGTGATGTTCCTTGTTAGCTAATGCTAATATTGTTAGCATCTACTCTTGGCATGTTAGCATGTTTTCACACTCAGAAGAGAATCAGAGGCTTTGCTTGACTCCACACATGATCCTGTGTAACTGTAATCATTTAATTGTGCACATTTGCACAACAGTGCATATATAATTTCATGTTAGTACCAGAGAACTTATATAGAGGAGGATTACACTCTGTAATCTCCTCCGGGTTTCTCAAACAGGGGGCGCTCCCAAGTGAGTCCAAAATGAATGGGTTGATATGGAGCGTTTGAGCAAAATTATAGTTTATAAATGCTGAAACATTTTTAATATAAAAGAATTCATTCATGACGTCAGTGAGTGCGAACAGCCAATCAGCGCTCAGTAGCAGTAATGTTATCGTCCTGCTGCCCAAAACCCATTTACTGTAGATAAAAGGAAACATACAGGTGAGTTTTCTTTGCTTTTTTAGTGAAATACAAATTTCTACTTTCTAACATTAAAGGAAAGTTCTGGTTCAGTGATTAGAAACTATTTTAACTTTTTCGTTTTTAGCCGTTGAGCTCCATTTACCTCCATTCATTGAGGACTCGCTCGCGGGCGCCCTCTGCTGTTATGCAGTCCTGTTTTTGATACAGCGGTGGAAATAGGAAGTGGCCAGACTCCTCATAAACCAGCTCTTTTATTACAACCATAGACGTTATAAAGGAGGAGACGGTCACTGGTGGAAATACGAAATGGGAACGCTTGTAACGTCCTGCCCCTCAAAGAAAAAGAGTCAACTTGCTTGCTGGTTAAGCTGTGAGCGGGAAAAGCCCCCTCGTGGTGGAGATCTGCGCAAGTGCAGTAGCCAGAAAAACCCAAAAAACACGTTTTTAAGGGTTACTGAGCCAAACGCTACAAACTGATTATGAGGTTGTTGTCAGATTTTATCTGTGATTTAAAATGTATTTTTGAAACAGTAATTTGACCTTCAGAGAACTTTGGTGCACCGTAATATCAGCTACAAAGTAGACCTAGCTAAGACGCGAGGTAGCTAATCAGCCAAATTTGGCCACTTCACTTTAGGCTTGTACTTTAATATTTAGTAGTCAGATCAAGTCAAAGTTTATTTATATACTGATCTTTACAACAGGCAGTTTTGCAAAGCAGCTTTACAGAAAAGCCCAGGTCTGAGTCCCCATGAGCGTCGCCAGTGGCAACAGTGGCAAGGAAAACTCCCTAAGAGTAAGAGGAAGAAACCTTGAGAGGACCCAAGACTCCAAAGGAGAACCCATCCTCCTTTTGTTGCATGCAGTGAACAAAAAAGACAATGCAATTGTTAATCACACGTCATTTGATTATTGGCAAAAATCTCACGATCGTGAGAGGCCTAAGTGCAAAACTAAAGACGGAAACTTGTCTTGGTTATTTGACTATATTTTGAAATTAAAACTATTGGCCAAACTATTCCTTTAATTTTGTGTAAGATATGCTTTACTGTGAGATTCTTAAAGATATAGAATGTCAGTATTGTGATAAATCCAGGGACTGTTAAATGTCAAACTCATACTTTCAGAATTTGGGATCTTACAGTGCAGTTTTTAATATAGAACCTAATTTTTTTAAACAAATAAAATAGATAGAAATGACATTTTATAGAGAACCTATTTATTATTAGGATTAAGTGACCCCTATTAGTCCCACAATGGGGAAATTTCACCTCCACTTTTAACCCATCCGTGCAGTGGAACACCACATACACACTAGTGAACATGCACTAGGGGGCAGTGAGCACACTTGCCCTGGAGTGGTGGGCAGCCCTATCCACGGCGCCCGGGGAGCAGTTGGGGGTTAGGTGCCTTGCTCAAGGGCACTTCAGTCATGTACTGTCAGCTCAGGGGATTGAGCCAGTGGCCTTCCAGTCACAAGGCTGGTTCACTAACCTCCAGCCCATTACTGCCCCCTTAGGCTGAGTACAACATTTTCAATCCTAAAGGGCCCATATTTTGGAAAACCACCACCTTTTCTCACGTTTTTTGATATAAAAGTAGTTTAATGTGATACTTAAACATTGATAAAGTTCACTCTTCTGTCATTAAAGTCCATATATGTGAAAACTAAGCTGCTTTGAATTCAATGTTTTTGCGATGTCAGATGTATGTACATGTAACTACCTATTCAGCCTAGAGTGGTTTAGCTCCGCCCACTCATTCTGAAGTTATAAGGAGTGCTTCAGCCTGGACGGCTTTCTGAATACAGGGAAAGCCAATCAGAACAGAGCTCATTTACATATATCAGTCTTAAAGGCACAGTAACAAAAGCAGCCTGTTTAATTCTATGGGACAGAGATGCTGGAAAATGGCCACGTAAAATGAATTATGGCAGTTTTTGGTGCATACGTGAACCTAAAGATAGAGAGAAATAAATAATTAAATAACTAAAATGCAGGATATAGTCCCTCTAACCAAACTGAAAGCTTTTCAGTGGCTTATCTGTTGAATTAAACCACTGAAGCAGTTTTGGGGAGCAAATCAGTGTCAGATTTTGTTTTGAACAGTAAAGAATAACTGTGGTTGATGAACAGTTAGTTTTGTTTTTGTCTCCAGGTGCTATTGTGATGACATGCGGAGGATGTTCTTTTACAGCGTGCCAGGGATTTTCCTGAGAATTAAGCTGCTCTCGGGCTGAGTGACTCTCTGTATTGTGGCAGAAAAAGCCTGATGGACTGGAAGAACCACAGAGAGTCACGGTTTGGTGGAGTGCCTGGCATCAGAGGTATGAAACTGAGGGCTGATACAAAAGGGTCCGATTACAGCTCACATGAACACACATTCAACACCTCTCTCTCTCTCTCTCTCTCTCTCTCTCTCTCTCTCTCTAATCCTAGCTTTCTTTATCTGCTTCTCTCTGTCGTTCTGTTATGTATAGAACATACACCGACTGGCCACCTCCTCTGTCCATTTTATCAGCTCCACTGACCATATAGGAGCACTTTGTAGTTCTACAGTTACAGACTGTAGTCCATCTGTTTCTCTGCATACTCTGTTACCCTGTTCTTCAGTGGTCAGGTACTATTTGGGTGGTGGGTCATTCTCAGCAGTGCAGTAACACTGACGTGGTGGTGGTGTGTTAGTGTGTGTTGCGCTGGTCTGAGTGGATCAGACACAGCAGTGCTGCTGGAGTTTTTAAACACCTCAGTGTCGCTGCTGGACTGAGAACAGTCCACCAACCAAAAATATCCAGCCAACAGCGTCCTGTGACCACTGATGAAGGACTAGAGGATGACCAACATAAACTGTGCAGCAGCAGATGAGCTATCGTCTCTGACTTTACATCTACAAGGTGGACTGACAAGGTAGGAGTGTCTAATAGAGTGGACAGTGAGTGGACACAGTGTTTAAAAACTCCAGCAGCACTGCTGTGTCTGATCAACTCGTACCAGCACAACACACACTAACACACCACCACCATATCAGTGTTACTGCAGTGCTGAGAATGATCCACCACCCAAATAGTACCTGCTCTGTGAGGGTCCATGGGGGTCCTGACCACTGAAGAACGGGCTAACAAAGTATGCAGAGAAACAGATGGACTACAGTCTGTAACTGTAGAACTACAAAGTGCTCCTATATGGTCAGTGGAGCTGATAAAATGGACAGTGAGTGTAAATACAAGAAAGTGGACTCACTAAAGTGGCTGGTCATTTATACAGTAGTGCAGTAAACATAACAAACACTCAATTAGAGTAAAACTAAAAACTTTATCTTATCAGAAATTCATTAAATCAAATTAGATCTGAACAAATAAATCTGTCGCAGTGTTTCCGACAATAAAGGCAGCGAGATGTTTGGCTTGATAGAGTCAAAATACATCTTTAAACCTAGTTTAGCCCTTTTACACAAGAACCGGCCGCACAGCACAGACTGGATGCCGGTGCCCTCTGAGTACCTGCATGTAACAGTCTTCAGATAAGCTTTCTTTGTCTCTACGATCTTATCAGTTTCTGAAGGTGTTTCTACAGGAATAGCCCCAACCTTCACTTACAGCCTGCTTTAGACTCAGTCAGGCCCTCGGGAAGAAAATAATCTGTTTCACTCAATGTTACGGTCATCAGCACGTTGATTATGATAAATATCATCTGTGATGATGATTAAGTTGGTAATTGAGGGGTCAGACAGTTACTGTCAAGAACTTAATAACATTTTTAAGAGCAGAGCTGCGTCAAAAAGTGCAAACTACCAAACTAAACTGTTTTCTAGACTACATAGCACTTTAATTTTCTAACAAAATCTCAGTGATGTACACACGAAATGAAATAACAGCACAGTTAGAATTAAAAGAAGGAAACTCTCCGTTACTCATTTTCCTCTAATACTCCAAGCATAATCAAATATGTTTTTAACTGCATTCAAAATTAGGCTGTTTATTCTGCTTATTATTCAGTTATTTATCTTATAGCTTATTATTCAGTATCTACGATGAATTTTTCAGTATCTACGATGAATTTTTCTATATCTACTATACTGAATGCTAAATAATAAATAGTAGATACTGAAAAATTCATAGTAGATACTGAAAAATTCATAGTAGATACTGAATAATTCATAGTAGATACTGAATAATTCATAGTAGATACTGAATGTTTTGTAGTAGATACTAAATAATTCACAGTAGATACTGAATAATTCGTAGTAGTTACTGAATAATTCACAGTAGAGACTGAATAATTCATAGTAGATACCAAATAATTCAAAGTAGATGCTGAATAATTCACAGTAGTTATTTAATAACGCATAGTAGATACTAATAATAAGCAGTTTGAACAGCTTTATTTTGAATACATTCAAAAATATATTTGATAATGTTTAGAGTACTAGAGGAGAATGAGTGAAGGAGAGTTTTCTCCTTTTGATTGTTACTGTGTTTTTATTTCATTTCGTGTGTAAACCTCTCTGAGATTTTGTCACAAATGAAAATGCTCTAAAAATACAGTTTATCAGAGTGCTGTAGATGTTCGCTGTGCCACTGCAACAGAAACAATCAAGTCTGCCCCTCTGCCCGTCTGCCCGTCTGCCCACCTGCCCGTCTGCCCGTCTGCCCACTGTAACAGAAAGAGTAGCAGATTATATCTCAGCACTTACAGACTCGTCCAGGCTTGAGTAGATCAAAGCTGCTCTAGATTCCTCAGCCTTCAGTCGCCTCCGGTCAGAGGTGATATAACACCCGGTTCAAGATGTTTTTCCTCACCAGCTCTGATAGACCTTGAGCTTCTGTACCTCTTTTTCAGGCTGTATAAAGAAGGTTTATGGTGTAACTGAGTGAAATGAAGCAGAAAATAAATAAATAAGTCCTCGGTTTGATTCCGGTTCCCTTCCCAGCAGTAGGTTTGCGCTGGTTTCTGTGGTAGAAGTGCTGGTAGAAGGTTGTTTCACTTCCTTTCTTCTCTTCTCAGTGTGCAGTGTTGTCGCTGCTAATGTTCAACCTGAGAGTGAAAACACACCTCTGGACCTGCAGCTACAGTAAAGACAGAGCCTTCCTTCTCTCTCTCTCTCTCTCTCTCTCTCTCTCTCTCTCTCTCTCTCTCTGTCTCTCTCTCTCTCTCTCTCTCTCTCTCTCGCCCAGCCCATTCCTACGTCCCTCCCACACCTTCAATTCATGCCCAGGTTCCTCCTTTACTCGCTGCATTCCTGAGAGCTGAGTAGCCCGGCTGAGATTGCTCAGCACAGACGCACAGCTTTCTCTGGAGTTGTTATGTCTAATAAAAACAAAACGTTGTTCAGTGGTTTTCAGTTTCTCAAAGGAATCTGCAGACACACCTCCAAAGTTCAGGTTTAGAAGTTGGTTTATCATTTTCTGAAATAATCCAAACACATTCAGCAATGTTGAGGTCTGGACCCTGGGGTGGTCTGTGTGATGTGATTTATCTGATAGGGATCGTTTTAGCGGCCTTGCAGGCTTTTATTCTTTTTTAGAGTTTTCAGAATCTCTTGTTTTTTTCACTTGTCTCACATCTTCTAATCTCCCACAGTACTGTATGTATTGTGGCGTCCCACCACTGGCCATGCTGCCATAGGAGCGCAAGAGGCGTGGTCATGCAAAGAGACCATGCGGAGAGGCTCTGGGAGGCGCCTCACTCCCGGTAAGAAAAAAGGTGCACACCCTGTTGCTGCTGTATGATTGTTATTAGTGTAGATGTGTTAAATGTCACTGTTGTCAGAGTAAAATCTAACTTTACAGGAGGAGGAAAAAACATACTTTACTTTTAATATAAGTCAATGGAACCAGAATTCCAACCAAGTCATTTTGGGTCATTTCTTTCAGTCCATTCATCATGAAATGGACAAAGAAGGTTAAGGGTAACAGGTACTTTCAAATTATGTTAAAAACTGAAAAACGTCAAAAATGGAGATAAGAGGTTTTCTTCCGATGACAGCGATATGCTGTTCTGTGCTGGGCTGTGGGTTCGTGCCTACCATCAAGAGAAAGTGTATGGCTAGAAGTGACCTGCCTGCTGTCCTGACCACTTGAATAGCACTGAGCAACAGAGCTGCCTATTCAATAAAAGAGCACACACACACACACACACACACACACACACACACACACACACACACACATATTTATCTCTCTTTGTCTCTTTCTCTCTCTCTCTCCTCATTCTCTGAAGCTATCTTTCTCTCCTTTCTGTCTTTCATTTTTTTCTCTCTCTTCTTTCTCTTTAGCCTGGTCTCCCTGTCTCTTTCCTCTCTCTAATTTCTCTTTATCTAACTCTCTCTCCCTCTCTTTTCTCTTTCTGTCTACTTTTAAAGCTTCCTTGCCTCCACCTCTGAAGGCTTTTGTGGCTGGTGGATTGGCCGAAATGTCATTCCAGAGTTATTTGTCAGCCCCTCTGTTTCCGAACCTGGGATTACTGAGGGGCAGCTTCTCTCTGTAAGTGGGATACGGAAGCTGCCTTTCTCAACAGCTGGAAAGAAGGCTTTGTACCAGAGCTGTGTTAAATACTTGCACTTTCATGAGCTGAAGGAGAGACGTGACTCTAAATGAAGAGCCCATCTCTCTGTCCCTGAGGGTCTGGAAATGGGTTTGTGTCAAAATTTACCCCGGCTGTTCAACCACTCTGCATTTTCTGTAATAATCCTGATACTGTTTTTCATGCTTTTTCTGACTGTCAAAGACTGATTCCTCTGTTCGAGCTCCTGGACAGGGCGCTCAGAGGGCTGGTTGCTCTGTTTGAGCTCCTGGACAGGGCACTCAGAGGGCTGGTTCCTCTGTTCGAGCTCCTGGACAGGGCGCTCAGAGGGCTGGTTCCTCTGTCCGAGCTCCTGGACAGGGGCGCTCAGAGGGCTGGTTGCTCTGTTCGAGCTCCTGGACAGGGCACTCAGAGGGCTGGTTCCTCTGTTTGAGCTCCTGGACAGGGGCGCTCAGAGGGCTGGTTCCTCTGTTTGAGCTCCTGGACAGGGCGCTCAGAGGGCTGGTTCCTCTGTTCGAGCTCCTGGACAGGGCGCTCAGAGGGCTCTGTTCCTCTGTTCGAGCTCCTGGACAGGGGCGCTCAGAGGGCTGGTTCCTCTGTTTGAGCTCCTGGACAGAGCACTCAGAGGGCTGGTTCCTCTGTTCGAGCTCCTGGTCAGAGCGCTCAGAGGGCTGGTTCCTCTGTTCGAGCTCCTGGACAGAGCACTCAGAGGGCTGGTTCCTCTGTTCGAGCTCCTGGACAGAGTGCTCAGAGGGCTGGTCCTCTGGACAGAGTGCTCAGAGGGCTGGTCCTCTGTTCCTGATCAAAAGTAAATGTTTTCATTCTTGCATACAAAATAAAAATAATACACTTGCATTATTTTATTGTCTAAAATAACTATTTTGGCCATAAGTTTTCCCTTCACTCTGAGTGAACTATGCACATTTTCTTCAAGGAAAGTGAAAAAAGATTCATAACTGTAAAAGTTTTGGGACCGTAAGAGGCTGCTCACATAAATCTGACAATAATAATTCAATTTTTTTCACTTTAAAGAATTTTTTCATGCAGCTCACTTAAGATGAAGGAATGTTTACATGAAAACTTCAGTTGGACTGTTGAACCATCAATTTTTCAATATTTCTGCATAACTCAGTGTTTGAGGTGTAAACAGAGAGATTCAGAGTGGTTTGGTGTGAAATGGTTCAGATGTCTTTACAGTGGTGGTGATAGGAACCAGGGGTCGCCATGACTACAACACAAATATAGACATTTTATTTACTATCCAGAACCACCAGTGAACCTACACGAGTCTTCTGAGTTTATATGGAACATTGATGATGGAAAATAGTGGAAAATCTGAAATAATAAGTTTTCCTTGGGGACTATTTTGCCTCACAGCACCCTGCATATTATGTATCCCTCCACCATGAATGGAGTTTAAGGCCAAAGTCTTCTCAAAACTCTCATAAAACAGAGTCTCAGTCATGTTTGAGCTCCTGGACAGGGCGCTCAGAGGGCTGGTTCCTGGTTCTGTTTATTTTTGGCTGTAAATACTCTAAAGCTCAGCGTTATAAATGTACCTTGGCTAATTTTTTTTTGTGGGACAAGCTGAGTTATCAGTGTGGAAGTCCTTCAGGTTGGTGTCTGAAGGGCAGAAGGTGAATCTGGGTGTGATATCATTTCATTGGTGAATCTTTGTGAATGGGTGATTTTTCTTTGGGGATCCTCATTATTATTAATATAACTAGTAGCTCTCTCTCTCTCTCTCTCTCTCTCTCTCTCTCTCTCCCCTGTATAACCTGTAGTATGTTGTTACTGTTACTGTAGGGTGTGTTGGGGCAGTGATGGGATAGCTGAGTCCGGATGATCTGCTGTCTGGAATTCACCGTGAACTCCACCAAACTCAGTAACTTCACAGTGAAACTCGGTGAATTATGACTCATCAGCGCTCCGCCCACCAGCGCTTCGCCCACAAGCGCCCCGTCACCGCCGTTCAGACTAATAGGACCTGCGGCGCCTACATTACAGGGCAGAGCGCCCCCTGCTGACCGACTCTACATTAATTAGAATTAGATGTGATACGGGTTGTACAGCAGAACAGACAGTCTTACCCCTTTATCAGTTCTGTCTGAGACGAGGCGAGTTTGTTTATATAACCTATTTCATACACAAAGGAAATTCAGCGCGTTTTACATAAATAAAAGCAACTTGCAGAGGCATCAGAAACATAAGATGGAAAAATATTTGAAGACAAGGGCTTCCAAACAGTGAAACACACTGACATGGTAAAGAGTGTGATAAACACGCTGATTAAACTCCCAATAAACAGCAAATAAAGTTTATTTTGGTTATTTATTATTAGTATTTAAATAATTTAATATTTCTTTATTCTATTTCCTCCATATTTAATTATACATTATTTACTGTGTCTACATTAGAGATTTTTAAAAAAATTTTCCCTGATCAAAAGTAAATGTTTTCATTCTTGCATACAAAATAAAAATAATACACTTGCATTATTTTATTGTCTAAAATAACTATTTTGGCCATAAGTTTTCCCTTCACTCTGAGTGAACTATGTACATTTTCTTCAAGGAAAGTGAAAAAAGATTCATAACTGTAAAAGTTTTGGGACCGTAAGAGGCTGCTCACATAAATCTGACAATAATAATTCAATTTTTTTCACTTTAAAGAATTTTTTCATGCAGCTCACTTAAGATGAAGGAATGTTTACATGAAAACTTCAGTTGGACTGTTGAACCATCAATTTTTCAATATTTCTGCATAACTCAGTGTGTGAGATGTAAACAGAGTGATTCAGAGTGGTTTGGTGTGAAATGGTTCAGATGTCTTTACAGTGGTGGTGATGGGAACCAGGGGTCGCCATGACTACAACACAAATATAGACATTTTATTTACTATCCAGAACCACCAGTGAACCTACACGAGTCTTCTGAGTTTATATGGAATGTTGATGATGGAAAATAGTGGAAAATCTGAAATAATACGTTTTCCTTGGGGACTATTTTGCCTCACAACACCCTGCATATTATGTATCCCTCCACTATGAATGGAGTTTAAGTCCAAAATCTTCCCAAAACTATCATAAAACAGTGTCTCAGTCATCAGGCAGTGAATTCATAACCATTTCATGTAGTAACTTTCTGTGAGGGAGCTTTTAGAGGTGGACGTCTGGTTCCTATCACCACCACTGTGAACAGTTCTGACTTTCTCTAGAACAGAGCGTTTCACACCAAACCACTCTGAACAGTAGAAATTGTATGTAGAAATTTTGAAAAACTGGTGACATTTCCGTTTAAAAAGGAGCTTTTTTCTTTTCTTTCTTTTTATTTTCTTTCTTTATTTTACCGTTTACGTTTATCTGTAATACTTTTAGCTGCTTTTCTATGAATGAGAGCAGCAACACAAAATAAATATATAAAAAAGAACTTTATTTAAATATTCCACGCTTTCCTGTCTTATGATTGGCTCATTTGTGTCCAAGCCACACCCCCCGGAAAGATTCTGTCGACCAATCGGAGCGAGCCGTGTCGATGACGTGGCGGTGGAAGTAAACAGAGGAAGCTGCTGCAGGGTGAGTGTGTGTTCGTGGCGATTTAGTTACAGATGATTTTATTAAACACAGCTTTTCAGAATGAAATATAAGAAATATGAAAAGTAAAAACGCCTTTGTGCTGATAATCGCGTCATTTGAGCGTGTTTGATGGGATTTTTCAGGGCAGTAAAGCGGTGCTGAATGTGAACGAGAGCAGATGTGCCTAAATGAACTACAGCAACACCATTGAATTCAGATTTCTGAGGTTTTGGTTTGATTTTAGTGTATTTTTGTGCGTCTAAAGTAAAATACAGCTAAAAAGATGAGGCTGCTCCACACAGACCTGATAGAATGGAGCATCAGCTTTCCAGTAAAGCAAGTTACAGTAGCATGAAAAACATGCGATGGAAATAAAAGACATAACTGTGCATTATATACATAAATATTTAAAAAGAAGTGTTTCCAAACCTTGAAATACCCTGGCATTTTAAAGAACATGATACACATGTGGCTTACATTTTTTATTTAAATCATTAATTATTTCTTTATTCTATTTTCCCCTCATATAGTTACATATTGTTATATATATTTTTTCTGATCAAAATGAAATATTTTAATTCTTTTTTTATTCTTGCATACAAAACAGTATGTTGAGAAACGGCCCTGTGGTCACTTGCATCTTGACTAAATTTTAGCCATAAGGTTTTCCTTTACCTTGAAGGTGCAGTGTGTAAGATTTTTAGTGGCATCTAGTGGTGAGGTTGGAGATTACAACCAGCTGAATCCCCCTACCTCACTCCTCCCTTTCCAAGAGTATAGTAGAACCTGCACTGGCCGTTTTGCTTCTTCATGTTTTCGCTTATTTGATGAAAAAGATTCAACCTCTCTTGCTTTCTCTCCTATAAATCAAGCTAAAAAGCTCTTAAAAATATAACAGCAATGTTAAAATGTTTTATGCTATTCAGTGTTCGGGATATAAATGCTTTCTTTTACATTCAAAATGTTCAAGCATTTATAAACTATGATTTTGCTCAAGTGCTCCATATCAACCCATTCATTTTGGACTGGCTTGGGAGCGCCCTCTAGCGTCTGATAAACCTGGAGGACATTACAGAGTGTAATTCTCCTCTCTACAAGTTCTCTGCTTCAACGCCACCAAATTCAAGCTGCCGCTTTAACATAAAAGCACGAAAGGCGCCTTCTAGAGCCAGAGTTTGGTTTGTCCGTTCTGGGCTACTGTAGAAACATGGCGGCAGCCTCAGTTGGACGAGGAGCTGCTCCTCATGTAGATATGAAGGGCTCATTCTAAGATAACGAAAACAAAAAACGATTCATAGTTACAGGTGATTATACACTACTTTGAAGGAGACGCATTAGACTTTTCCACATTTGTTTTGGTGTGAAATGGTTGATTACAGAGACTCAGATTTCTTTACAGTGGTGGTGATAGGAACCAGGGGTCGCCATGACTACAACACAGATATAGAGATTTTATTTACTATCCAGAACCACCAGTGAACCTACACGAGTCTTCTGAGTTTATATGGAATGTTGATGATGGAAAATAGTGGAAAATCTGAAATAATAAGTTTTCCTTGGGGACTATTTTGCCTCACAGCGCCCTGCATATAATGTATCCCTCCACCATGAATGGAGTTTAAGGCCAAAATCTTCTCAAAACTATCATAAACAGTGTCTCAGTCATCAGGCAGTGAATTCATAACCATTTCATGTAGTAACTTTCTGTGAGGGAGCTTTTAGAGGTGGACGTTTGGTTCCTATCACCACCACTGTGAACAGTTCTGACTCGCGTTTGACACCAAACCACTCTGATTACATTTCAGCCATTTTGGGAATTCTCCTTTAATACAGTGCAGCTGGAGTGTTTTGCTGAATCCCCTCTTTGTTTCTTTACAGCAGCTGTGTGGAGATGGAGACGGAAGGCGCTGAAGGGCTGATTGCAACAGAGAAGTTTGGCTCTCAGGAGACATGGAGGTACCGGATGAAGAGCGGAGGGATGAAGAGAGAGAGAGTGGGAGAGGACGGAGAGAAGCCAAGCAGTTCCATCACCGCAGCTTTCAAAGTGCATCACAGTCTCTTTTGCTTCGGGGGTGCATCCAGTGGCGTGTCCAGACCAGTTTTAGAAGGGGGGGCGTCCATGTCGAGCACAGAATATGGGTTTTGGGCCGGGGATACAATATTATTATATACCTAATATAACAAGGAATGCTTTGAATTAACAGTTAAATTGGCAAAACCAAAAAGTCTTTAACCACAGTTTATAAATATTCTGGAAAAAAAAAGTGTTTTAGCGCTTTTTATCTTACACTTGACCTCTTCCATCTTATGTTGAAACGACTGAATAGCTCAAACTGGTCAGAATGAGCCGCAAAGTCAAAAGAAAAGATGTTATCCCAGTCCGTTTCACACCGACACCGGTGTGGCTTAGCAGGTGTATTAAAGCTCCACATTACTGTGCTTCTCTAAAATGACCATCTGTTTACTAACTGTAACTTAAATCAATACCAAACTACACAATGTGACTTTACTAATTGGTGACATTTCCACATAATTAAATGTTTAAGATGTAAAGCGAGTCATTCAGAGTGGTTTGGTGTGAAACGCTCCGTTCTAGAGAAGCTTACAGAGTCAGAACTGTTCACAGTGGTGGTGATAAGAACCAGACGTCCACCTCTAAAAGCTCCCTCACAGAAAGTTACTACATGAAATGGTTATGAATTCACTGTCTGATGACTGAGACACTGTTTTATGAGAGTTTTGAGAAGGTTTTGGCCTTAAACTCCATTCATGGTGGAGGGATACATAACATGCAGGGCGCTGTGAGGCAAAATAGTCCCCAAAGAAAACTTACTATTTCAGATTTTCCTCTATTTTCCATCATCAACATTCCATATAAACTCAGAAGACTCGTGTAGGTTCACTGGTGGTTCTGGATAGTAAATAAAATGTCTATATGTGTGTTGTAGTCATGGCGACCCCTGGTTCCTATCACCACCACTGTAAAGACATCTGAACCATTTCACACCAAACCGCTCTGAATCACTCTGTTTACATCTCACACACTGAGTTATGCAGTAAATGGAAAATCAGTGGTTTTCCCCTTTGGCACATCATCAGCCCAGTCAGTTCTAGGCCTCATAATCTAATTAATAATCTATCATCTTCAGATAGATGGGGTCACTCATGATGACCAGTGAAATTTCTCTGGGGCGGTGTCGCCTCACTGCTCCCTCTTAAACACGCCACTGGGTACATCTGCTGCTGTACTGTATTTATAACACCCCAGCGCTGTTTGCAGTGTCATATGCTTTAACACAAGCCTGATTTCTTCCCCGCAGAGCGTCTTCCTGCCCCAGGGTTATCCTGAGAGTGTCAGTGAGGACTACCTGCAGTATCAGCTGTGGGACACACTACAGGTCAGTCTGCATGCAGAACAGAAACATTAACATGAACATGCAGTTCAAATAGAATCTCCTATAATTTTATTAATTGTTGTTTATTCAGTAATCAGGTTTACATTGTATACTGAATTGTAAACTAGAAACCAGTAGCTGTTTTTAGATGTTTTATTTAATATTACAAGTTTTTTTGGGGACAACAAGCGTAAGTAATAATTAATAAACTGCAATTTTTTGTCACATTATCTGACTTTCAAAATTACTGTTATTTTCTGTTTAACTTTCATTAGAACATCATTCTGGATATTAGTTCTATTTGTTCTTCTACAGATTTCTCAGTTATTGTAGAATCTTCTACAGCTCTGTTCATCATTCTGGACACACCTAGCATTTCTAGGCTTTTCTGCTTCCTTATGTTGTGGTGATGTAGAGTAGCATTATATTAGAATCAATGAATATGCTAAGTGAAAATTAGTAAAAACGTCCTCTACAGAGAACATACTTAACATGGTATTTTCTCTGCACATTTTACTGCACAATATCTATTTATTTGCTGAGTTTTATATACTGGGGAAAAAAATAAACATTGTATATTATAATAAGCACAGGCAAAAAAGCATACCTGTAAAATCATACCTGTTTTAGACCATAAGAGGTTGCTCACAGAAAACATCTTAAATATATCATCAGTAAATAATATACTGGAATACAGGAATATACTGGAATATACTGACAGCCTATAACAATATCTTTCATTTTCATGATGGAAAACTCTGGAAACAGAACGGCTTTTGATAGAGAAGCATTAGACTTTTCCACATTTGGTGTGAAATGGTTGTTTGTTGAGACTCAGATCTCTTTACAGTGGTGGTGATAGGAACCAGACATCGCCATGACTACAACACAGATATAGACATTTTATTTACTATCCAGAACCACCAGTGAACCTACACGAGTCTTCTGAGTTTATATGGAATGTTGATGATGAAAAATAGTGGAAAATCTGAAATAATAAGTTTTCTTTGGGGACTATTTTTGCTTAAAACAATAGTTCCACAAAAAACGATTATACTGTATTATTAAAATATTCAATGTTTTTTTTGTTCCAATATATAAAACTCAGCAAATAAATTAACATTTTATGTTTTATTTATTTTCTAATATGTTAAATTCAGCAAATAAACAGTAATTGTGCACTAAAATGGACAGACGCGTGTTCTCTGTAGATGAGGTTTTGTGCAAGATGTTTCATAAAGCTGCTTATTGAAATTACCCATGGATACAAGCTGCTCAGGATCAGACACATCAGTGCAGTCTAGAAAACAGTTTATAAAATGTGTCTAAAAGGAAATTTTGGAATAATTCAATTGTTGAGACGTGTCATTCAGAGTGTTTTACTGAGAAATAGAGCATTGTACGGGAACTTACAGGCTCGGATTACTTCACAGAGGTGGTGATAGGAACCAGGTGTTGCCATGACAACACAAATATAGACATTTTATTTACTATCCAGAACCAAAAAAAATTGGTTTAGATCTTCTCAAAACTATCATAAAACAGTGTCTCAGTCATCAGGCAGTGAATTCATAACCATTTCATGTAGTAACTTTCTGTGAGGGAGCTTTTAGAGGTGGACGTCTGGTTCCTATCACCACCACTGTGAACAGCTCTGACTCGGTAAGTTTCTCTAGAACAGAGCGTTTCTTTTTCTTTCCGTAAGGCGTTCTCCAGCTCCCTCTCCGGCACTCTGGCTACTCAGGCCTCACTGAGGGGCGTCGGAGTCGGAAATCAAGAAGCAACGGTTGCTGCAGCTACAGTTACCTGGTTACTCAGAGGTGTGTGTGATTTTATTGGTGCTGATCTGTGAAAAACACAGGTTTCAGTGTTTTCTACCCTATGAAACTCACTGTTCTCTCTCTGCTCAGATGGGACGGGGATGTTGGGTAGAATTATTTTTGCCTGGCTTAAAGGGTGAGTCACTGTAAGCATTTTGATTTTCAGATTATATGATCTGATTGTGTTTACAGTGTACAGTACTGTGCAAAAGTCAGAGATTATGCTTTCATTTATTTAATGTTCAGTCAAAACTGACATTAAGTACAAGTTTATTCATCATTCAATTTCAGCATCAGGGAGAAATTACAGCTTCCGCTCTCTTCAGGAGACTCACTTTCAGCTCCTCAAAGAATCTGCAGACACACCTCCGAAGTTCAGTCTTAGAAGCTGGTTGATCATTTTCTGAAGTAATCAAACACATTCAGTGGTGTTGAGATCTGGACTCTGGGGTGGTCAGTCCATCGTTCAGCTTCTTTGTTTGATGTGTCCGTCTCCTTTTCTCAGTGAGGTTCTTCTTGACAGCTACACATCCTTTCAGACCCACAGCGCTGAGTCGTCTTCTCACAGGAAACTCTTATTTTTATATTGATTTTCTCCTGAAAAAATGAATAACTTGTACTTAATGGCTGTTTGACTGGAATTGAAATAAACTAGAGGGTGTTCTTTGACTGTCTTCTCTATTTTCCAGGAGTAAGTTGGATTCTGAGGCCAAAAAGTGGAGGTAAAGTGTACACAATGATTTTAAAGTTTCCTGCTTTAAATATTTACATAACAAACTTTCTAAATCATGCTGTTAAATCTGTTTCAGGCTTTTCGCTGACATTCTGAATGACATTGCGATGTTTATGGAGATTGCAGCTCCACATTTTCCTCCCTTTTTTACTCTCATTGTGTGCATCGCTGGAATATTTAAGGTATAACATACAAACTGTGACATAAATGATATAAATACTTTAAGAGGAACTCCACCAATTTTCCAAAATATCTGTATAGTTAAATGGTTAAGAGTGGTTCAGAGAGGTTTGGTGTGAAGTGCTTCGTTCTAGAGAAACTTACCGAGTCAGAACTGTTCACAGTGGTGGTGATAGGAACCAGACGTCCACCTCTAAAAGCTCCCTCACAGAAAGTGTCTACATGAAATGGTTATGAATTCACTGCCTGATGACTGAGACACTGTTTTATGATAGTTTTGAGAACTTGAACTCATGGTGGAGGGATACATAACATGGAGAGCGCTGTGAGGCAAAATAGTCCCCAAAGAAAACCTATTATTTCAGATTTTCCACTATTTTCCATCATCGACATTCATATAAACTCAGAAGACTCGTGTAGGTTCACTGGTGGTTCTGGATAGTAAATAAAATGTCTATATGTGTGTTGTAGTCATGGCGACCCCTGGTTCCTATCACCACCACTGTAAAGACATCTGAACCATTTCACACCAAACCACTCCGAATGACTTTGTCTGACTTTTTTCTGTCTTTATTCCACTCAAGTCTATTGTAGGCGTGGCCGGAGGCGCCACTAGAGCTGCCTTAACTGTTCACCAGGCTCGCAGGAACAATATGGCTGACATTTCTGCCAAAGACGGCAGTCAGGTTGGTGCTTTTACTCTCTTGAAATAATTCGGTTAGTTCTCTGCTCCACTGCAGATTTCTACCCAGACTGCAGTGAATGTGTTGTTAGGACAGTGAAATAAACACACAAGTAGATGTAAAAGAAGCTACCAAAACCCAACACGGAGTCAGAAAAGTCTGAGGTCCAGAACTGTAGAACCACAGTGGAACTTCTTACTTCATCAAGCTTCCATCAGAACTGAACTGTGCTTTGCTTTGTACAGCTCTGTTTTTCTCTGTTTGGATTCTTTTGGTCTAAAATAAAATGCTGCCACTCCAAAGTGAGAGATGTTGGCAGTCCTACACTCTTAGAAATGATGGTTCTTCAAGAGTACGTTAGTAAAGAAAAGAGTTTTATGTAACACCTAAAGGGGTTCTTCCCTTTTTGGTGCCACATAGAACCCTTTTCAAAAAAGTCCCATATAGAACCATATAAAACACATTCTTCATCAATCTGAAGAACAAAGAACCCTTTAATCATGCAAAGCGCTTTGAGTGTTCTTTGAGTCTATATAGAACCATTTTTTAGTGAAGAACCCTTGAAGAACCATCTTTTTTTAAGTGTGTATGAGCTGAACCAACAAAATTAAATGAAACCAAAAAAGAGAATTAGGCTACGTTCACATTACAAGCTTCATTACTCAAATCCGATTCTTTGCTCAAATCCGATCTCTCTGACACGATGGTTCACGCTCATTTAGGTAAGTGATTCAAATCTGTCATTAATGTGACGAACCGGCGTCCTGAAATGACCCTCATGAGCTCATCCTACTCAGTAACGTTACGTGAATGAATCACGTTCATCATCAGCACAAACTAACGAGCAGAACGAGCTTCGCTGAGAAGATCATTAACTCTGATCAGCTCTCAGCTTCATTATTAGAGCGAGACGAAGGAGAAAAAGGTGAGATGAGCTGCTTTTCCACCATTTACAGGCTTTAACTTCTGTTCGGCGCTGCTGCCATGGTAACGCTGAATGATGGCACAGTGGAAGAAAAGCACATGAATTCCGATCTGAGCATCACATTAAGGTCGCATGGCCACGAATCGGATACGTATCTGATCTAGGACCACATATGAAAGTGGCTGAGGTCGGATTTGAAAAGATCAGATTTGTGTCCACACAGCTCTGAAAACATCAGATCTGAGTCACATTAGGGCAGAAAATCAGATTTGTGCCACTTCAGCCTGGTAATGTGAACACAGCCTTAGGAACTTTCTAGATTTTCCAGTTTAAAGACAGATCATCTTCTGAAGATTTGTCTTGAGGATGGGAGGAACTGCTTTGGGGTGGATCGCTCTGGTTTCACACTGAGAGAAATGAAAGAAATCAGAGTAAGAGTTTACATGCACTGAAAAAAAACATTACTCAGCTCAAGTCCAGAATTTCTTAATCAGATTTCAATCGAAAAAATCAGAGTGCGGTTTACATGACCATTCGATTAATCAGATAACTGCAGAAATCTGACAATGATTGGATTATTAAGGGTATGTAAACACACTCAGTGGAGAGAACGGATTACTCAAAGCACAGAAATGACCAGATGAGGAGGACAGCGAGCTAAAATAATTCTGTCAAACTGTTGAGGCTGAAGGTTGTAGTGTGATGCTGCACTGCACAATCCTGAATAACACCACAAACAACATACTACTAATACAGTGAGGAATGGTGCTGATTGTTTTCCTGCATACATTTTGTGGCCTCATGTGCTTTGTATGTCCATCAGGAGACTCTGGTGAACCTGGCTGGACTGCTGGTCAGCCTGGTGCTCATCCCTCTCGTCACTAATAACCCAGTGTGAGTTTTTCAAGTTATTTTGCCTTTAAAACCACTGAAAAAATATAATGTAGTGAATGTAATGCACTTGATTTACACACACATATATATATATATATATATATATATAGTACACACTGGAAATTATTCTCAGACAGGAGAAAATATTTTAGAGGTGGGCGAAATGACAGAATGCAGTATCACGATAGCAATAAATATTGTCAATATGACCATCTCAAATTTATAAATATGTGCTGTATTATTGATATGTTCCTCTTTTCCACTTACACTCTAGGTTGACCTTCATCCTCTTCTTCTTCTTCACCGTTCTCCACCTGTTTGCCAACTACAAAGCAGTTAGGTCTGTTGTCATGGAGACGCTGAATGAAGCTCGCCTGTCAATCATCCTTCAACAGTATCTGCTTGACGGACGGATTCTGAGTCCTGCAGAGGCCAATCAGAGAGAGCCTGTGGTTCTGGGTACGTACTGATCTGATGCAATACTAAAACTGGACACTTTATCAGAAACCCCTCCACCTCTCTGGAATACAGTTAGAGACTAGCTCATCTGTGGATGCACAGTGTAGTGTTGGCCATCTTCACTTCAGCAGTGGTCAGTTTCTGACCACAGAGCTGCTCTTGTCTGGATATTTTTGGGTGGTCCACTCTCATCTTAGAAGGTATACCACTGTGTCTGATACACTCGTACCAGCACCACCCAAAGCACAAGGTGGGTGTTTCTAATAAAGTGGCCAGTGAGTGGAAGCACAAGGTAGGTGTTTCTAATAAAGTAGCCAGTGAGTGAAAGCACAGGGTAGGTGTTTCTAATAAAGTGGCCAGTTAGTGAACTCACAAGGAGGGTGTTTCTAATAAAGTGGCCAGTGAGTGAACTCACAAGGTGGGTGTTTCTAATAAAGTGGCCAGTGAGTGGAAGCACAAGGTAGGTATTTCTAATAAAGTGGCCAGTGAGTAAAAGCACAGGGTAGGTGTTTCTGATAAAGTGGTCAGTTAGTGGAAGCACAAGATGGGTGTTTCTAATAAAGTGGCCAGTAGGTGGAAGTACAAATTGGGTGTTTCCAATAAAGTGGCCGGTTAGAACACATTAAAACAAGCAGAAGCAATCTATGCCACATCAAAGGCAAAAGTAATTAATTGTGCAACTCACTGTGTAATTACACACGTTATAGCGCAGTTACATTTGAATGGTGTAGTAATATGAAAGTAATAACTCTGAAGTTATAAAGGATAAGAAATCTGAACTTTGATATTCTGTTTCTATTTAAATGTTCTTCTTCTTTTCAGAGTTTAAGAGGAAAGTGCCCGTCAGACTAGGAGTGCGGCTGGGAGACACTGTTAAAGAGTGAGTTCACTTATATTTAAAGTATCCTTTGAACTCAAATTCATTCTGAGTGAGTCATAAATGCTCCTGGCCCATTAATGTGGCCGCTCTCTCCGTGTGTTGTAGCCCTCAGGAGCTGCAGCTGGCTTTGAAGAACAACAACAAATCCTACATCATCGGAGTACAAAACGGTACGAGCACAGATCTTCACACAGCCTGTTCAGACTGACTGGGCGTGATGATTTTAGAGAAAAGCTGAGGGGCCGGTTTCACCAGCTGAACGCGAGTTCAGACGCAGCCCAGTTACAACGTCAGTGTTAAATAAGCCCATTTGTTCAGATTCATGCATTATTACATCAAATCGGGTTGCACCACACAAACCAGTCTTTATGATGAAGTTAATAGTTGCTCAACATCTACACCTCCCCCTCAGCAGGGGTACAGTCGTGTGCAAAAGTTTGTGCACCCCGGTCCATGTTTTGTCGATTTTCTAAGTGTAAATAAGTGAACACATCCTCTACAGAGACACACTACTGCCCATTAAAATGCCCAAGCAGAGTGCGTTTACATGCACTTAATAATCAGACGCCTGCAGAAAATCAGATTTTGTCAGTAATCCGATCAACGTGTTTACATGCACTTGAGTAATCAGAGAATGGGGAAACTCCAGGTCAGACAGTAATCAGATTTCTGCTTTACAACCAGCCAATAGACTCTCAGAAGAAGACGAGACGTAAATGTAACGTAAACCTCACTTCGCGCCGAGCCACTTCACCTCAAAATATGAACATACATCATCTAGAAGATGAAGATTATTTACATCCTTCATTTCTTCAAGCATGTCTTTGGTTTCAGCGTCGCTCCAAAAGTGTTTCTCACGGTGACGCTGCTCGCTTATTTCCAGTACCACTGTCTGTTTCACACATGCTCAGACTGAGAAATGCGAAAGAAATCAGAGTAAGAGTTCACATGCACTGAGAAATCTGATAACTGAGCTAAAATCCAGCCTCTTTATCAGATTTATTAATCGGATTTCTAGATTGGAGTATGGTGTTTACATGGCCATTTAAATAATCGGATAACTGCAGAAATCCGATTATGAGCAGATTATTGAGTGCATGTAAACTCACTCACTGTTTATTCACCGAATTTAACATATTCAAGGAAAAAATAAAACATGAAAAGTGGAACTCAGGACATTTTCTTTTTATTTTGTGTTTTATTTTTTCCAGTTTGTTAAATATGTAGAAATGTTGCATGAAAATTAGCAAAAAGCTAAAACTGTCTACCCTGTTGAGGATGTTTTAACTTATTTTTATTTAGAAAATTAACAAAACATGGAATTTGACCAGGTCCAAACCAGGTCCAAACTTTTGCATGCCTGTATGTGTTGGGGAAAACCAATGGGAACCAGAGATGCAGCACAAGAAAGACCAGAAACACGACCAGAATACAAATTGCTGGTGTATTTTTGTGTGTAAGCCAACAAAACACTAAATTCTGCGGTTTGGTTTTCAGCTCTAATCAGGACTCTGATTTAACCCTTTAACAAGCCAGTTTTATTACACACTTCTACAACCTAAGAATAGCTCCATTAGTTTGCAATGGAGTCCCTGTAGTTACTGAGTAATAAAGCTTATTGTTAACAAATAAATAGTGACTACAGGTGTTCAGTTTCATATTTGCACATTTAAGTAGGTCTCAACGGTCTTCCCTATAAATAAATAAATAAATAAATAAATGAATAAATAAATTGTGCTACAAAATCTAAACTGGTAACATTGTTTTTCTCTATACTGGATATTTTTTCAGTGGAACCTAAAAAGTCAGCACAAACTGACCTACCTGTTTCCACAGCAACAGGTTTATAGATTCATTCTGAACTTGTTGTCATGCTAAAGCTGTAGTGTTTAGCGTTCGTAGTTGTTTGTTAGATACAAACTAACTAGTGTTAACTGAGGACTTCGTACAGAATTTAAGCACAAACTGCAGTACAAACATATCACTGTTGTCGGAAGAAAACCTCGTATCTCCAAAATAGTAACTTTACAGGAGAAGGAAAAAACATACTTTACTTTCAATGTAAGTCAATGGAACCAGAATTCTTTTCAAGTCATTTTGGGCCGTTTCTTTTGGTCCATTCATCATAAAATTTACACACAATGTAAAAGACAACAGGTATTTCCAAATTACGACCAAAAACTGAAAAATGACAAAAATGGAGAGCAAAACCAGTACAACCCAGTTCAGGACTGTTTTTGAACATTCAGGGGGCTTTCCACTTGATGAAATATATGAAAAATGAAAAAGTAGTTAATACTTTATTTTTCAATGTTTGTGTTTAGAAATATTCTTTTTTTGTGATATTTGTATCGGTAAACCATTTGTTTTAAGATAAAGCAAAATTAAATGAATAAACAAATAAAAATACATTAAATTAGTAATTACAAATTCAGATGAATTATAAAAAGATATGCCTCATTTCTGCTCTCTTGATATATTTCCCTGCCAATATCACTTGATTTTTTTGCTTTTTTTATTTGTAATTGTTTATTTTGTTAATTTTTGTGAATAGAGTTTATGTGAAAGATAGAGTTCATATTTTTTCTTATATTTTTTATCTTTAATATTGTATATATATATATATATATATATATATATATAGTGTTTACAGTAATAAGTAACAAACCGTAAGCGTGTTGAGTAATTAACCAGGTTAATTACTTTGTTAATTCTCTTCTTGTTACTTCTTTTCTTGATTGCCTTGTTTTCTCCCTTTGCTGCTGTAGCACTGAGAATTTCCCCGCTGTGGGACTAATAAAGGATCATCTTATCTTATCTTAAAAGCTACAGAAAGGGTGTTTAAATAGCAGTAACAAGGTTTTTTAATGAACATGAGAGTGGAGCTCACTAAAACCACAGTGTGTTGATGGTTCATGTCCTCTGTAGGGAGTGTGTGTGTTTGTCTGGCGGCGGATGCTTCAGTTGGTGATGAGATCATGGCAGCCTGTCAGGCTGTGTGTATCAGCGCCATGTTACACAAACCACAGCACGACGGCGCACTGAGACAGCTGTGTAACACCAGAGGTACCAGCGTTTATCATCATCATAGCACAGAAATAGTTTCCGTAATTTACACTGCCTGTAAAAAATTGCTTAATGTTTAAAATTTAATTGAAATTACTTTTCAACACCTGCAGGCTCATCAGAGAGTCTTCCTTGGTATAAAAAGAGGTTTTGCCTAAATCAGGAGTCGCAGCCCAAATGTTAAGAAGAGCCATTTTGTCCTTTCAACAAAAATCAAACCACCTTATGTCCATTTTACTGATGTAACATTTTACCATCTTGGCTGTAAATGTGTATCAGTATGTGCTGATGAACTAGAATAGAGTAAAAATATAAAGTAAATGAAAACACAGACTGACTTTGCTCTGCTTTAAGCTTTAGATCAGCTATAGCTGCTTTTCTCACATCTCCAGCAGGAAACTTTTCCTCAAAAGTAGAAGAGTTTCTTATCAAATGTCTCTCAACGATTATTTTTCCCCGTTCCACCTTAAACGGGGCAGCAGTTACATTCTGGCGCCTCAGGCACCGTTTAAGGTGGAACGGGAAAGTTAGAACGAGAAGCTGGCGAATAAGAAACTGACTTCAGTGACTTTTTAGTGTATCAGGAAACCAGCTGGAGTGATTATAAACACTAATCAGTCCATTCATCTCCAAATTATCGATGTTCATCTTAAATCTCTCTCTTTGCCGTTTCGTAGCTACTAGCTAGGCGAGACTGTTGTCTGTGTTGCTATGGTGACCAGCAGTCTGCGCTGATCTTCAGCGTTAAAGGGTGAATCAGCAGTTCTACATTAACTCCAGAGTTTAAGACCATTTACTGTTAAACTGTGTTGAACGATCAGCAGAGCTTTATTTTACTGTAAAGGAGGATTATTTTATTTTTACCTACTAATCTGATTCAGCTGTGGAGCCACAACAGGGCAGTGAAAGAGCTGCATGTTGCCGAACCCTGGACTAAATAATGATTCTTTTCCAAACTACTGTTAAAAGGAAACACACTGATGTCTGCATAACTCAGTGTGAGATGTAACCAGAGAGATTCAGAGTGGTTTGGTGTGAAATGGTTCAGATGTCTTTACAGTGGTGATGATAGGAACCAGGGGTCGCCATGACTACAACACAAATATAGACATTTTATTTACTATCCAGAACCACCAGTGAACCTACACGAGTCTTCTGAGTTTATATGGAATGTTGATGATGGAAAATAGTGGAAAGTTTTCTTTGGGGACTATTTTGCGTCACAAGTACATTTCTCTGGATCAGAGGATTTCACACCAAACCACTCTGAATGACTTTGTTTATTTACATCTTAATCCTTTAATTATGCAGAAATTCTTAAAAATGTGTGATATTTTCTTTTCTAAATAAATCAGATTAGGCTTAAATATGGTAAATTACTGCAAACTGATAAAGAAAACATGGTAATTTGGTTTAAAACACTTCAAAAATCTTAATGTACACAAACTACTGACAGGCAGTGGATATCATGTGGCAGGTTTTTGCTTGCTACAGTAACTGTTCACTCATATATCCAAACAGATATATGATTATTGTTTTCTTGGTCTTTTACAGACTCTTGGGAGTTGGTTTCAGAAAGCCATAAGCTGATTGACCGAATTTTCCAGCCATTCCTTACAGGTAGGAAAGGAACCTGTTTGTCTGTATTACTCAGTGTTAGTGCTCATATAAGATAACCAGCACCAAAGCACTGCTGCCTCTCTGTGGCTAATAGAGTGAAACAGTGCCTCCATCTGAAGTTGGCAGTTCAGTTGCACTGATTTTTAAGTGTTGGCTGAGTCCAAAGCACTATTAGGACAGAATTAATATTTAATGGGTTGGTGGTTTAATGTAGTAATAAGTGTTTCTCACTGCTTTCAGTCGTGTCTGAATCCACATCAGTAAAATGTCGTGTTTTTAACCTCCTATAAAACAAGGTGTGGAAATAACCCCATTTATATCAGTCCTGTGCTATTAAATGAACTGTAGTGATAATTCCTGGGTGTGTTAATCCCAGACTGTGAAACAAACTGTAGAAATAACCCCAGGTTTAAGTAATCCTGTACCAAAAAACAAAGCATGGAAATAAACATTACATTAATTCTGTGCTGTAAAACAAACCGTAGTGATAATCCTGTGTTATATTATTCCCATACTATCAAACCATAGTGATAATCCCGGGTTATGTTAATCCCATACTATAAAACAAACCATAGTGATAATACCGTGTTATATTAATCCCATACTGTAAAACAAACCATAATGATAATCCCGTGTTATATTAATCCCATACTGTAAAACAAACCATAATGATAATCCCGTGTTATATTAATTCCATACTGTAAAACAAACCATAATGATAATCCCGTGTTATATTAATTCCATACTGTAAAACAAACCATAATGATAATTCCGTGTTATATTAATTCCATACTGTAAAACAAACCATAATGATAATCCCGTGTTATATTAATCCCATACTGTAAAACAAACCATAGTGATAATCCCGTGTTATATTAATTCCATACTGTAAAACAAACCATAATGATAATTCCGTGTTATATTAATCCCATACTATAAAACAAACATAGTGATAATCCTGAGTTATATTATTCCCATACTATCAAACCATAATGATAATCCCGGGTTATGTTAATCCCGTACTATAAAACAAACCATAATGATAATCCCGTGTTATATTAATTCCATACTGTAAAACAAACCATAATGATAATTCCGTGTTATATTAATTCCATACTGTAAAACAAACCATAATGATAATCCCGTGTTATATTAATCCCATACTGTAAAACAAACCATAGTGATAATCCCGTGTTATATTAATTCCCATACTGTAAAACAAACCATAATGATAATTCCGTGTTATATTAATCCCATACTATAAAACAAACATAGTGATAATCCTGAGTTATATTATTCCCATACTATCAAACCATAATGATAATCCCGGGTTATGTTAATCCCGTACTATAAAACAAACCATAGTGATAATCCCAGGTTATGTTAATCCTGCACTGTAAAACAAACCATAGTGATAATCCTGTGTTATATTAATCCCATACTGTAAAACAAACCATAGTGATAATCCTGTGTTATATTAATCCTATACTATAAAACATAGTGATAATTCTGAGTTATATTATTCCCATACTATCAAACCATAATGATAATCCCGGGTTATGTTAAACCTGTACTCTAAAACAAACCATAGTGATAATCCCAGGTTATATTAATCCCATACTTTAAAACAAACCATGGTGATAATCCTGTGTTATATTAATCCCATACTGTAAAACAAAACATAGTGATAATCCCAGGTTATATTAATCCCAAACTATAAAACATAGTGATAATCCCAGGTTATATTAATCCCAAACTATAAAACATAGTGATAACCCCAGGTTATATTAATCCTGTGCCATAGATAGAACTGTAGAAACAACCCAAAGTCATAATAATACATTAATAAAGAAGTCACAGTACCTTTACTGGATGGTGGATTTCAGACCCTCTGCTGATGTGCGACAGTGTAACGTTCCTTTATTGTTCTTTTTTGAAACATGATATTATGTGTATTATGTGTGTATCTGTATTATGTTCTGCTCAGTAACTCTGTGTGGGTTCTGCTGTGTTCCTCTCAGGCCTAGAACGAGCAAAATGGCAAACTGACCAGACGCTGCTGGACTGGGACGAATGGAGGGTGGAGTGGAGGAAGAAGAGCCACTAGAGGAGCAGTGGAAATGAAGCGGAGGACAAAAACAAACAAGGAGAATAAAAGAGCTTTTTTTTTTAATCTGAAATTCGTGTTTCATTGGACATTATTATCATTTTTATCAGTTCATGTATTCCAGCTGTGTGAAAGATGTTCTGATTTGTTTTTATTAAACATAAGAAAACGTCTTATGAATGTGTGTGTATATTATCACACCAACATAAATTAAAGTTCTCTTCACACAGTCACTGCACACAGTTACAAACAGCCCTTTTCTGTAGGCGTTCCCGACTGTAGTCTGGTCTTCCTGTCCAGGCTCCGCCCACAGATGCGTTCTTTCATAGCAACTGTTGCTAGGTTGAACGAGGTTTACAAACCGCTGATTTCAAAAAAAGAAATCTCATTCAACCTAAAGAGAAACAGCAGCACACAGTTTATATCAGAATATGTCCATTTAGAATAATTGAGGGCAATATGACTATATTGTTATTGTGATCATATAGAATTTATACATTTCTGTGCATATTGTGGATATCATTACTAAAGAACACTGACCGACTGCATGTTTCCTGACAAAGAGAGCAGAATGAGTGCTGTTTAAGTACACTTAGCACAGCGAGGGGGGTCAAATATGGACGTAAAGTCGTTGTATTCATAGTTTTATAGTATTTTTAAATGTGGCTTTTTCTCAATTCCAACTTACCAAACATATCACGGAATATCATGATAGATATATATATATATATATATATATATATATATCTCGTAAAACTGAGTCCGTTCTACAGTTTCTCATTAGGCTGAATGAATAACTGACTCTAAATGTAGGTATTGTGATATAAACTGTGTTAAGTGGGATATTTGCTAATGTTTTCCAAATCTTAGTGCAACAGTATCTACAGTAGAATGCATTTGTGGGCAGAGCCTGGACAGGTCAGTCCACTCTCTAGAGCATTGCTCCATGGTGGACTTTCCTCAGGTGGCGTCGCAGGTTCTCCGTGCGGTTAAACCTCCTTCCGCACAGGCTGCAGTTGTACGGTCTTTCTCCGGTGTGGATCCGTTCGTGCTTCTTCAGATCTGCCAGACGGCTGAACCTGAAGTTACAGCACTTGCATGCGAAGGGTCTTTCGTTAGAATGGCATACAAAGTGCGCGCCAAGGCTGGAGGACGTCGCAAACGTTTTGCCGCAAATGTGGCAGGCGTGCAAGCTTTCTCTCCTCATGTTTAGGCGGGAAGGGTTGGGAATATCCAGCATGTTGTCCACTCTGGAGCTGAGGATGTTTGTATGCGGTAAGGCGTACTGGTCTTGTACGATATAGCTGGGCTCAGAGTGGTCTGGGCTGTAGGGCTGCTGGTTTTGTCCATCTTCTAGAGTCGTACGGTTAAAAACAGCATCACTTGCCATGAATCCATCTGAATGGCCTGCTAGGACACATTCTGGAGGCTCTGGGTTTAACTCCATTTTAACGTTATTTGAAATCGTATACCGTGGCGTTTCAAACTCACCGTTTTCCGGTGCTGCGGGGATGTTTGGTGAAGCTGGGGTGGTTTTCCTCGGCCTTGAGAAAGGCCTCCTACTCTTTGGAGAAGAGTTGCATATTGGAGATGTGGGTTTAGGAAGCCATGCATTGTTTACAGCCTGTTCTTCTGGTTCCAGCTGGATTTCGCTTGTTTTCTCCTCTTTGAATGACTGGTTCTGGGGCTCAGGATGTTTATGCTCCTCCTCTGAGACCATCGGCTCCTGTTCCATTCCACAGCCCAACATCTGCTGATGGTGCATCTCGAAGGAAGACTCTTCAGCAGATCCAGAGGATGAGACCTGCTGCACTGCGTCTGCAGAAGATGGAAGTTGTTAGCGTTTATTTGGATTTTAGTGAAGTAAACGAATAGATTTGACTACAAATACCCCCCAACACACGAATGCTGCTAGTTAGTCGACAACGTTGACAAGTCAGCACATTATATAGCCGTGTCCAAAAGTTTGGGCACTCAACTTACTTTAACATATTGAAAAAAACAACATAAAACATGGCCTGTGTGAAGGTTAGGGCATACTGTATGTTGTATTATTTCTATTATGTTAGACTCGGCAAATAAATACAAATTATGCACTAAAATACCAGATTTAAGTGTGTTCCCTATAGAGCCCATGTGTCAAACACAAGGCCCGCGGGGAAAATCAGGCCTGTAGCACAATCTCATCCAGCCAAAATTATTCATCATCATCATCATTAACCACTTAGTCCAGATAGGGTCGCGGTAGCAGTTGGGAGAGCAGAGAATCCCAAACGACCCTGTCCCCCGCAACTTCCTCCAGCTCATTCCCGGGGACCCCAAGCCGCTCCCAGGCCAACTTGGAGATATAATCCCTCCAGCGGGTCCTAGGACGACCCCGGTCTTGTTCCGGTAGGCCGTGTCTGGTACACCCCCACCGGGAAGCGTACAGGGGGCATCTGGATCAGATGCCCAAACGACCTCAGCTGGGTCCTCTCAATGCAGAGGAGTAGCGGCTCTACTCCGAGCTCCTCACCCTATCAAATAGAGTGTAGCCTGCCACCCTGCGAAGAAAGCTCATTTCCGCCGCTTGTATTCGCAATTCCTTCAATTCATTCTTTCGGTCATTACCCACAGCTCGTGACCATAGGTGAGGGTCGGGATGTAGACGGACCGGTAAACAGAGAGCCTCGCCTTACGGCTCAGCTCCCTCTTCTCCACTACGGTCCGGTACAGCGACCGCATACTGCGGTCGATCTCACGATCCCTCTTCCCATCACTCGTGAACAAGACCCCGAGATACTTAAACTCCTCCACCTGGGGCAGTCCTTTCCCCCTACCTGGAGTGGGCATGCCATCCTTTTCCAGGCTAAGACCATGGACTCAGACTTGGAGGTGCTGATACACATACCAACCGCTTCACACTCAGCTGCACACCGCTCCAGTGCGCGCTGGAGGCATCCATGTGATCCAGCCAAAAGAACAACATCGTCTGCAAATAGCAGAGACGCCACCCTCCGGCCTCCAGACACAATGCCCTCCTGACCCCGGCTACGCCTTGACACCCTGTCCATGAATATCACGAACAGGACTGGAGACAGGGCACAACCCTGGCAGAGTCCACCTGCAAGGTCCAGCATGGGGGAGCGGTGCAGTGCCATATAGGCAGTGCGAGATTGCAGGGGGGCCCTTGGTGGCCTAGGCCCCTGCGGCAGAAACTGGAGAAATTATTTTGATTTTCTATTAATATTAGCCTATTTCACAATGCACTGCACTACAATCCCCAGCATACACAGCAATGTAATGTAGCCTAAAATGTGTGTCATTAATTAATTAATTAATTAGGTATAAACTTGTAATATTTGAAGGTTTATTACAAGTGCCTATATTTTGCTGTTGACGGTTCTCTGGCCCACAGATTTACTGATTTAATATGGCCCTTTTAGTGGTTGAGTCTGACACCCCTGCTGTAGAGGACGTGAACTTATTTTCATTCAGAAAATCAATATAACATGCAAACGTATGCAGACGTAGGCATCAATCTCTAGAGCCAGGAAACCCTCTATTCACAGCCTCCAAACTGTATCAATTAATTGATACCCATATGGAAAATTCCACCATCAAAAAATCATGATCAACGGCAATCAATACATGACATGCTTTCTAATATTACTGATGAATCCTTAGAACCACCAGCCTCTCTCTTTATTTGGTGTGGTATCACAAAATCTACATTAAATAGCAACAAAGTATGTATTTTATCTTTTGCCACATTGGTGACTAGACGACAAATTCTGGTTAGATGAGAAGATAGTCATCCCCCGGTATTTGTACTATGGATTAGGGATATGTTGTATTTCATAAAGCCGGAGAAGATCAGGTACACGGTTAAGGGGTCAGCGGTAATGCTTTCTTAGTTATGTGGAGGCTTTAAGCTCTGCTAATTTTACATGGGAGTAAAGTTGATGGGTTATATGTAGTCAGAAACAAACCCTGGTATTGACATGTCTTGGTTCTTTCCTTTTTTCTGTATTCTCTATATACTTTAGTTAGACTAGATTTTCCGTATCTCAGCCTTTTACCTCCAAAGTGGGCAAACAAATATATTTTATACAAGTAAAAGTATGGGTTTCCACCTAGGACAAATCACTTACTTAAAAAAAAAGAGCTCTATAATGTTCATATGATCCTCACAGTCATTCTGACAGACTGTAATACACCACAGGAAGTGTAGGGGGCGATGTGGCTTCTACTGTTTCATTTAAAAAGCCTCTATAATGTTCATATGATCCACACAGTCACTCTGACAGACTGTAATACACTACAGGAAGTGTAGGGGGCGATATGGCTTCTACTGTTTCATTTAAAAAGCCTCTATAATGTTCATATGATCCTCACAGTCATTCTGACAGACTGTAATACACTACAGGAAGTGTAGGGGGCGATATGGCTTCTACTGTTTCATTTAAAAAGCCTCTATAATACAACTGCATGGTCATTCTGACAGATTAGATTACTTAACTGAATAAAACTCAATATATTAATTATAGATATAATTCCTTCTTGCAGACCTGATACGTCCAGCCTCTTTCGCAGCTCCTCCATTTTACGCTGTAGTTTCTGGTTCTCCTGCCGCATTCTGGCCGACTCTTCTCGGTACTCGGACACGGCCTGACCCATCAGACGCAGAACTTCGTGTACTGCAGTGGCCAAGAGGTCAGCCACGTTGGTGACCAGCAGGTCCATCTGAGTCATCTTCAGTTTAGAGCTTCCTCAGTCACAGGATCTGCTGATGGGCAGATATATTAGCATCTACTGAATATGCATGTGTCAAAATTAACATCCTAAATCCTAACAAGTCCACTCTGCTGGCTGATCCAAGCTGAATATATATGGAAAGTGATGCATTATTTCTTCTATATCAACTCAAAACTGTATTATAAGGCCTGAGAAAAGAAAGAAAAAGATCAGTTATCTAACCAGACAGCAGTCTGCGCTTTCTGAACACAGTGCATTTTACAGGCTGCTCCTCTTTTGTATCTTATCTGTTTGATTGCAGGGCTGCAGAAACCGGCACTGTCAATCAACAGCTCTGAATACATGCACAGGAATTCACAATAACAGCTTTCACACTGTATATACATGTATACATACATATATCGATGTTGTCAGAAGAAAACCTTGTATCTCCATTTATGACGTTTGTCAGTTTTTGACATAATTTGAAAATACTTGTTACCCTTTACTTGTTACCCTAAAATGACTTAGAAAAAACTCTGGTTCCATTGACTTACATTAAAGGTAGAGTAGGTTTTTTCCTTCTTCTGTGAAGCTACCATTTTGGAGATATGAGGTTTTCTTCCAACAACAGCGACAAATACATATACATATATATATATATACATATATATATATATATATATATATTTAGATGTTTTATTCAATACTTTGAGTATTTTGGATGTAATAATAAGTTATTCAATGCTAATTAATATGCTGTAACAATAGTAATAACAAAAAAGTAAACTGCAATGATAATACTGGTTTGTTATTATTATTATTATTATTATTATCATCATCATCATTATAATTTACTGTTTTCTTACTGTAATTATTATGATAACAATAATACTAATAAAACTAATAATAACAATTATTATTATTGTCCTTATAACTTACTGTTTTGTTATTATGATTATAATGAGTATAATAATTATATTATTATTATTATTATTATTCATTACAATTTAATTTGCTATTATAATAATACTAATACCACTAAAAACAACAATCATTATAACTTACTGTTTTGTTATTATAAGTATAACAATAATAATAACACTAGTACTAATAATAACAACAATCATTATGATTATCATTATAATTACAATAACAAAACAGTAAGTTATAAGGACAATAACGATTGTTATTAATATCATTACTTTTACTAGGATTATTGTTATTATTATAATTATAACAATAAGCTATAGTGATAATGATTGGTATTAATACTGTTCGTTTTACAAGTATTGTTTATCGATCATTACAATTATAATTAATACTAGCACTACTAATCATAACAACAATCATTATGATTATGATTATGACAAAACAGTAAATTATAAGGATAATAACAATACAAGTACTTCTAATAACAGTCATACTTTGCTATTGTAACTATAATAATAATACTAATACTACTCAAAAACAACAATAATCATTATAACTTACTGTTTTGTTATAATTATAATGATAATAACACTAGTACTAATAATAACATATAACTTAATGTTTATTATAATGATGATAATGACTGTTATTATTAGAAGTACTAGTATTATTATCATTATAATGTACTGTTTTGTCATAATCATAATGGTTGTTATTATTAGTAGTGCTAGTATCAATTATAATTGCAAGGGTAACAATAATACTAGTAAAACTAACAATATTAATAACAAGAACAATTTTTATTATCATTATAACTTATTGTTATTGTAACTATAATGATAAAACTAATTATTGTCATTATAACTTACTGTTTTGTTATTATGACTAACAATAATAATAATTCTAGTACTAATAATAACAACAACAATAATCATTATTATTCTTATTATTACAATTTACTTCTGCTATTATAATAATACTAATACTACTAAAAACAACAATCATTATAACTTCCAGTATTGTTATTACAATTACAATGATAATAACACTAGTGCTACAAATAACAACAATCATTATTATTATCAATATAACTTACTGCTTATTACAATGATAATAATGACGGTTATTAGAAGTACTAGTATTATTATCATCCTTATAATTTGCTGTTTTGATATAATAATGACTAATTACTTATTATCATCATTATAATTTACATTTATCATTTTATGATTGTTGATATTATTTGTAGTGCTAGTATTAATTATAACTGTAATGATAACAATAATACTATAAAACTAATAAAATTCATAACAATCATTATTGTCATTATAACTCACTGTTTTGTTATTACAACGATAACAATAACACTAGTGAAACTAACAATAATAACAACAACAATCATCATTATTATAACAATAATAATAACACTGGTACTAATACAAACAACAACAAATATAATTATTATCATTATCATTTTACTTTTGCTATTATAACTATAATAATACTAGTACTACTACTAACAACAACAACAACAAACTATATTATTATGGTTTTAGCTTACTGTGTTGTTATTATGATGATAATGACTTATTATTAGAAGTACTAGTATTATTATTATTACTATAATACTGACTGTTATTACTAGTATTATTATCATGGTAATTTACTGTTCAGTCATCATCATAGTTATGACTGTTGTTATTATTAGCAGTGCTAGTATTATGATTATTCTGTGCTGCTCTCTGATGTAAACCAGGCTCTCTGTATCTGTATGATGATAATAAACTGTATTAATATCTGTGTGTGTGTGTGAGTGTGTGTGAATGTGAGTGTGTGTGAATGTGAGTGTGTGTGTGTGAATGTGAGTGAGTGTGAATGTGTGTGAGTGTGTGTGCGAATGTGAGTGAGTGTGTGTGTGTGTGCGAATGTGAGTGTGAATGTGAGTGAGTGTGAGTGTGAATGTGTGTGTGTGTGTGTGTGTGTGTGAGTGTGTGTGTATGTGTGTGTGTGTGAGTGTGTGAATGTGTGTGAGTGTGTGTGCGAATGTGAGTGAGTGTGTGTGTGTGTGAGTGTGTGTGTATGTGTGTGTGTGTGAGTGTGAGTGTGTGAATGTGTGTGAGTGTGTGTGCGAATGTGAGTGAGTGTGTGTGTGTGTGAATGTGTGTGAGTGTGTGTGTGTGTGTGTGTGCGAATGTGAGTGTGTGTGTGTGTGTGTGCGAATGTGAGTGTGAATGTGAGTGAGTGTGAGTGTGTGTGAGTGTGTGTGTGAATGTGTGTGAGTGTGTGTGTGTGTGTGTGTGTGTGCGAATGTGAGTGTGTGTGTGTGTGTGTGAGTGTGTGTGAGTGTGAATGTGTATGTGTGTGTGTGTGTGAGTATGTGTGTGTGAATGTGTGTGAGTGTGTGCGAATGTGAGTGAGTGTGTGTGTGCGAATGTGAGTGTGAATGTGAGTGAGTGTGAGTGAGTGTGAGTGTGTGTGTGAATGTGTGTGAGTGTGTGTGTGTCTGAGTGTGTGTGTGTGAGTGTGAGTGTGTGTGTGAGTGTGTGTGTGAGTGTGAGTGTGTGTGAGTGTGTGTGTATGTGTGTGTGAGTGTGTGTGTATGTGTGTGTGTGTGTGTGAGTGTGTGAGTGTGTGTGAGTGTGTGTGTGAGTGTGTGTGTATGTGTGTGTGTGAGTGTGAGTGTGTGTGTGTGTGTGTGTGTGAGTGTGTGAGTGTGAGTGTGTGTGAGTGTGTGTGTGAGTGTGTGTGTGAGTGTGAGTGTGTGTGAGTGTGAGTGTGAGTGTGTGTGTGTGTGTGAGTGTGTGTGAGTGTGTGTGTGAGTGTGTGTGTGTGTGTGTGAGTGTGAGTGTGTGAGTGTGTGTGAGTGTGAGTGTGAGTGTGTGTGTGTGATGAGGAGCCTCACAGACTCAGAGCTGTGATGAGCGCTGATCCTCAGCTGAGCGGCTGAGCGGCTGTGGGCGCTGGGGCGCTGTGTTTGTGCTGAAGCTCCTCTCCGCGCTCAGATTCCGCTCTTTATTATTTTATTATGGCTTTATTTTCCTACCTTCTCCTCTCGCGCTGTGCTGATCTCTCCTCTTCCTGCTCCGCGACCACGTGCTTCCTCCCGCCCGGGTTGCCAGATTGCACTGCTGTGCACCAAAATCCCCCTAATAAGGACTTCATATTTAGTTAAACGCCTGCAGGCGTTAAATCAACCACACGTTATACCGAGTTACAGAGCTTTTCGCTCGGACCCGTAGTTTGATTCCACCACTGGGCTGCCAAGTCTTTTAAAAATCATTTTTCAACGCTGAAATTGAAAGAATACGTGGATTTAATCTGCCAAAACGTTAACATTTTAGGTACAAAATCTCATTTTTTAATTATTTATTTTTTGAAAAGACGTCCAGAAAATTATCTCGAGATATACTTATCTTGGAATATTTTTTAAGGTTAATTATCTTGAGATAATATTGTCAGGGTAATTTTTGAACGTCCTCTTTTTTCACACGCAGCTTATTCTCTAAACATTTTGCATGTATCATAATTATCTTATAATTTATTCAAGAAAAAAAAGGTCATTTTGCTGGCAGGTGTGTTTTTTACTTAGTGCACATATATACATATATATATATACCGATCAGGCATAACATTATGACCACCTCCTTGTTTCTACGCTCATTGTCCATTTTATCAGCTCCACTTACTATATAGGTGCACTTTGTAGTTCTACAGTTACAGACTGTAGTCCATCTGTTTCTCTGATACTTTGTTAGCCCCCTTTTACCCTGTTCTTCAGTGGTCAGGACCCCCATGGACCCTCACAGAGCAGGTACTATTTGGGTGGTGGATCATTCTCAGCACTGCAGTAGCACTGACGTGGTGCTGGTCTGAGTGGATCAGACACAGCAGTGCTGCTGGAGTTTTTAAACACCTCAGTGTCACTGCTGGACTGATAAAATGGACAATGAGCGTAGAAACAAGGAGGTGGTCAGAATGTTATGCCCGATCGGTGTATGAATATTGCTACGTGTGAGCTAAAGCTACCACACACCAAATTTATATCATTAGACTGACAACCTACTTGAAAACGTGTGTGGTACCTCTTACAAAAGATGGTTCTTTCGAGGGTTCTTCAGTAAAGGCACTGGGCCTCGTTCACCTTTTGTTCTTAAGAGGAAATTTCTTCTTAAAACCCACACAGTTTACGAAGACATTCACCAGTGTTCTCTTATCTGGGGTTTGTTCTCAGGTAAGAACAGAATCTACACACACTCAAGAGCACAAAGGTGAGAACAGTTCCGCGCTTTAAGAACACGTCATGACTTTTTCTTAGAACCTTTCTCAAAAACACATTCAGGAACAAACTTAGGAAGATACTGGAGAATGAGGTCCAATGGTTCTGTATAGAATCACCAACACTTAAAGAACCATGTGCATGACTGAAGGGTTCTCTGCATGGTGAAATGGTTCTTCAGATTGATGGAGAATATGTTGTATGTTCTTCTATATAGAACCTTTTTAAAAAGGGTTCTATACAGCACCAAAAAGGGTTCTGCTATTGTTTACGATGTCAAGCTTGTAATAATAGAAGAACCTTTTTTGGTGCTATACAGAACCATATTCAAAACGCTTCTCTATTGCATGTCATTAAGTATTACGTATTAACGCCACACACAGAGAACGTTCTTCTATTATTACAAGCTTGATTGTAAACAGTAGTAGGACCCTTTTTGGTGCTGTATAGAACCCTTTTTAGAAAGGTTCTACATAGAAGCACATACAGCATATTCTCCATCAATCTGAAGAACCATTTCACCATGCAGAGAACCGTTTAATTGTGCACTAATAGAAGAACCTTTTTGGTGCTATATAGATCCATTTTCAACAAGGTTCTATAGAGAACATCATACATCTTTACGTTTTAACATCACACAGACTCAAAAAGAAGGTCCGGCTCGATGTTTCGGCCTCAAATGATCTCAAAATCAACATCAATTCTGATGAAGATGTGATGACCATAGTAGATAATTCACTCACATCCTCAGAAGACGCTCCTTCACCAAGTTTACACTGAGTTCTCTTTGAATTCTCTTTCAGTCATCAGATTCATCCACTTGGGGAAGGGGTCCGAAACACAACCCACCCTACAAAATGTTTCAATTACACATTGAGAAAATAAGGAACTTTCTTAAGAAGCTCATGTGAATCCAGCGCCACAGCTGTATATAATCACCTGTGTGCATTTATTTGGTAAAAATCAAGCTCTCCAGTAAAGGATCAAGTCAGACTTCACAGACATCATGAACGTACAAGAGCGGCCGCTTTAAACACCTATAACTCGAGTTTAAAAGCTCTTAAAAATATAACAGCTTATCTGTGATCAGGAGATGAAAGAGTTATTTTACATTAAAAATGTTTAAGCATTTATAAACTATGATTTTGCTCAAATGCTCCATCCTAACCCATTCATTTTGGACTCGCTCTGGAGCGCCCTCTAGTGTTTGAGAAACCCAGAAGACATTACGGAGTGGGAATTCTCCTCTCTACAAGTCCTATGGTCGTGTGGGTGTCCTGCTCTTATGCCCATATTAGGAAGTCCGGGTCTAAAAGGAATTTTGTGTGGAATGGAGTTTTTGAAAATCACCGCTGTCGCATGTCGTTTTGTCCTGTGAACATTCTTCTCTCGAAGATCACTGGATCCTCTGAATTACGAGGTCATTAAAGAGTTGAAATATGAATATTGTTACATGTGAGCTAATGCTACCGTGCACTGAACTGACATCATTAGACTGGCAACCTGCTTAAAAAAAAACCTGTGTGTGATACACTCTTAGAAAAGATGGTTCTTCAAGGGTTCTTCAGCGAAGACACTGGGCCTCATTCACCAACCGTCTCAGATGATCTCAGAATCTGTACACAGCAGCTGTACATAATCACCTGCTTGCATTTAACTTAGTATAAACAAAGCTCTCCAGTAAAGGACCGAGTCAGAGACGTGCTGAGAACGACCAACTTTTAAATCCCCCCTAAAAGAATGAGCTCAGTGATGCTGAAGCAGACGAAGGTTAATCAGACAAAAGAACCAAGACTCAGAGGTTTAGATCTGACCGGAGTTTATTTGGGTGGAAGCGAGAGCAAAATGCTGCACAACGACATACTGACATCATCATCAGGCAGGCGTTTGGCGTTTGGCTGTGCAGACAGTGCTGACTAGTGCATTAGGAGAGTTCAGAGGAAGTGAAGGATTCTACTGTACAACCACAAACAACCCAGTACATACATGCTTCAGTCGCCGAGGCCTTCAGTGACCAGAGCTGCCACTTACAGCACTTCACTGTCTGTCATTACGACAGAAGATCTGGGTCCAAGTTAATAAAATTCAGCTAGGTTAACAATAAATATGGTTTATTTAACTGCAACTATAATAATAATAATAATAATGATAATAATAAGTACAATATCTAAAATACAATCCTCATCAAATACAAATGATACCATTCTGAGAAACATTAAATCAAATATTTATTGTTATACAGTCATATGCAAAAGTTTGAACACCCCCAATTAACACCGCAAGTTATGTTGATTCTTTTTTAAAGTTAACACACTTAAATATGGATTTTTTTGCAGATTTTTGTGCACCGTTTCTATTAATTTTCTGAGTTTAACATATTGGAAAAAATAAAAAAATAAAATAATAATAATAATAATAATAATCTTTTCACGCCGGTGGCAGCTCAAAGTGCTTTACAGACAGGTGATAAAGCTTAACAGAAATAGAAGAAATTATGAGTATTAATTTAAAATCATATAAGAAAAAAAACAGATCAGATTGAAAAAATTAATACCAAGAGCTGTAGAGTTTTACTGAAGCGCGGAGTTAAAGAGCTGCGTTTTCAGATGTTTATTAAAAGTGAGCTCTGAGCTCGACTGGCTAATAAAAGCTGAACTGAGCTCCACAGTTTAGAAGCAGAATAGCTGAACGAGTCTCTTCAGGTTTTCCTCTCCAAGGTGTCTGCAGAAGGTCAGAATCTGCAGATCTAAGATCATAAACAGACATTCAGGAACTTTAAGGTCATTTAGAGCTTTAAAAACCAGCAGCTGAGCTTTGAACTCTCTCTAACAGATCCAGGCGGTCAGTGCAGTGTGTAACAGGGTGATATGAGCTCTCTGTGTAGGTGCTGTGAGGATCCGAGCTGCTGCGTTCTGTACGGGTTCTAGAGGGTTGACTGTTTTCTCCAGTAAGAAGATCATTACAGTGATCAACTCTGCTGAAGAAACGCAGCAACGAGTTTCTCTGCGTCGCTCTGAGAGAGAAAAGGCTGAACTTTGGTGATTTTCTCACATGGTAAGAAGCTACTTTAGTGACTGTTTATAAGCAGATAAAACAGAGCTCAGAGTCTAAGATCACAGCCAGGTTTCCTACTTCAGGTGTGGGTTATGAAGCTAAAGAACCGAGTGTCTCATGAAGCATTTTTCTCTGAGTATTTCAGTATTTAAGTATTTTTTTTATTTCCCCAATATGTTAAATTCAGCAAATTAACAGTAATTGATTTAAAATGTACAGAAGTGTGTTCTCTGTAGAGGAGGTTTTAACTTGGGCCCAATCCCATTTCACCCCTCGCCCCTACTGCTCAGCCCTACCCCTCTGTTTTGCGTGTTCATGTCTAGGGGTAGGGGTCCTGATTCTTGTTGAGATAGAGGGGTGGGATGAAGTGTTGGGGCTACATGACCCTCCAAACGGAGGTTTTTCAGAGACTCCAAACAGAGAGTTATGAGAAAAAAAGAAAAACCGGCAAGATGGAGAACAAGAGACCAGAGAAACACACAAATGTGATAATTTTCTCCGTTCAAAAATTACAATAACCATCATATTATCTTAGTTTAATGTTGTTTGTGTATTATGATCCTTTTCTTCATAACAAGCATAAAAAATCACTAATAGCATGCTAACGCCTTGGTAGCTAACTAGCTAATTTTCCTGTCCACCTTAAATGGTCCAGCAGTTCTGACGCCTGAAGAGCCAGAATGTAACTGCTGCTCCATTTAAGGTGGAACGGGAAAATTCGAACAAGAATCTGGTGAATATCTGACTTCAGCTTCATATCACTGAAGAATTAGTGGTGGGCGATAATAAATAATTGCCCCCCTCTTTGAAGGCATATGATGCCCTAAATGTAACTAAAGCCCAGCAGTGAGGAGCTGAACTTTACCCTCCTCTGCTATCACTGCAGACTGGCAGGGTCGCCTACAGAGCAGCGCTGGTAGCTGTTAATGAAGTGATGCTCTTTTTATTTGAGGGTCTCATTTCAGAGGGAAGACTTCAACCACTACCCTGTAACTCAGTTCCAAGGAGCAACACTCGAAAACAAGGGGTAGGGGTAAAAATACAAAATGGGACTGGACCTTATTCTCACTTAGACAATCAACAAAAAACATTTGACCAGGGGTGCACAAACTATTGCGATGCCCAAAAAGTGATGTTAAAGGTTCAGGTCGAGAACCCGCTGCTACATCCCAACATTGTACAATGAGTTATTTCTAGCTATAATAGACCTTTAATCAAACTAGAACCTTTCATACTGACCTACAGGCCCTTCATATCTGATCTCAGCCCTTTTTATACTGTAAAATAAATACAGTACAGACAATGAGAACCTCTTTTAAAGAACTGCTTAGCTTATCTAGTCATTATTAAGTAAAGCATCGGAACCCTTCAGTGACCAACAGCGCTCACGCAAGATTTGAGAACGTAGTAAAACTCACAGTAAAAACAGAGGTAGCTAAAGGAAACATGCTGACTGTTAGAAGGTTGAAACGGTGGACATCAGTAACAAGGCTGAACATTCAGTGGCAGCTGTAGTTCCATGTTTTCCATTCGGTTCCACAGTTTTGCACTGACGGTGTTCTACTGGCTGTTTCACTGACAATAAAAGTAGTAATATTGCTACTGCTGAAGCGTTAGCTGTGCGTATACCGCTAGCTCAGTGTTCCGCAGTCCTGCGTTATTCCTCTACTGTTGTCCTACTGCTCATTTTATTTATTCACGAAAAAGTGAGCCGAGGAAATTGTACTTTTACCTCTCATTCATTTCTATGGAGACAGGCGGACATTATCTGTGGGGGATTGGCACGAAGCACGCTGAGAGAGCGTAAAGGGTTATTTGCATTGTAAAATGGTTCTTCAGATCAATGAAGATAGTGCTCTAGATGGTTCTCTACAGGACCTTTTTGAAAAGGGTTCTATATAACCCCAAAAAGGTTTCTTCTATCGCAACAAGCTTGTATCATAACAATAGCACACACACATTCAAAGCAGTTTGGTGTTAAATGGTTGACTGTAGAGACTCTTTGTCTTTACAGTGGTGGTGATAGGAACCAGGGGTTACTATCCAGAACCACCAGTGAACCTACACAAGTCTTCTGAGTTTATATGGAATGTTGATGATGGGAAAATAGTGGAAAATCTGAAATAATCAGTTTTCTTTGGGGACTATTTTGCCTCACAGCACCCTGCATGTATCCTTTCACCATCAATGGATTAAACTTAATGGATTAACAAGACATTTTAGGCCTAAACTCTATCACAAAACTACTGTAAAACAGTGTCTCAGACATCAGGCAGTGAATTCATAACCATTTCATGTAGTAACTTTCTGTGAGGGAGCTTTTAGAGGTGGACGTCTGGTTCCTATCACCACCACTGTGAACAGCTCTGACTCAGTAATTTTATCTAGAACAGAGCGTTTCACACCAAACCACTCTGAACGACTCTGTTTACATCTTGACCATTTAATTACGTAGAAATTTTGAAAAATTGGTGGAATTCCCCTTTAGATATTCACTTGTTCTTAAGCTTCTGAACCCCACTCCTCAGAGCACTCAATATTTTGCTCTCTATATTTATACTTCTTTGACGGTTTATGATTTTTCATTTAGTTCAGCCTGCACTCCTCCGTCCACGGGGGGTGAAATCGAAGGTTTTGTCGTGCCCGTCGACTCCACGGAGCGGGATGTTGTGCAGGGACTTCAGGAGCAGGACTGTAAAACACTGAACTAGCCTTTTACATGATACGGTTAGCGGTGAGAACATGCTGGCTGTAGCGGAGACAGTGACTACAGCTTGTTATGCAGGAAAACTATTCTAGAGTGACCACAGAGCAGCGGAGGAAGTTTGGGAGAGATGCTGGAGATCCACTATGTCCCTTTAGGTGGGGTCCATTTCAGAGCTGTGGGGTCGATGGTCTTGCTGCTTCCACGCTTCAACTCTTTGGATCTCCATTCATCAATCAGGTCCTGGAGACAGTGTTAGCATGTCAGTGTCATGCACTTGAACTAAGGCTGGGAAATTTATAGATTTAGATTTTATAGAGAGCCAGTAAACAACAACAATCGGTAAAGATTAACTGCATGAAACGTACAGTATTGTGTAGATAACTGGACGGCAGCCCACTCTGCCAATATAAAATTTATCTTGAAATGACAAGTTACTTTCCTAGGCGTCTTAAGAAAAGTTGTTATCTTGAGATCACAAGATAATTAACTCGTTACATGGCTGTCAGTTGACTCGTTATCTTGAGATAACAAGTTAATTATTAGATCTTGAGTCTGTTGATCTTTAATATGGATGTCCTTGTTTGTAGTATATGCGTGTTATATATAAAAAATATATACATGCTCATTTGTCTCCTCTTGGCTTTATATGATAAAACTTTCATGCAACTAGTTTCATGTTGTGCGTTGCCTGCAACATGATCAGTCAACTTCTGTGAGTTTCAAATGAGTTGCAACAAGATTTACTTTCATACAATCTGAATGCAATTAAGTTTCATGTAAGTTTCAAGCAACTAAAGTTGCATGTAAGTTTCACCACGTAAAGCCAGACAGATTTTCCTCTTAAATAAATAATGATCACAGTGCTCCTGGCTTTTCATCGCTTCGCTGGTGCAATTTATTTGTGTGCAGACATCAGAAAAACTATCATGATTGTGTTTTGTGAAAACGCCCTGAAGTATCGTGATGTTGTAATTTAGCCCAATCACCCACTTTTATGTTGCATATGAATGAAAGAATGTAGGATGGGCTGTGGTTACCTGTCTCTTTAAGACCAGGTGTTTCCCTTTCCAGTACTTGAGCATTTGGAGAGACTGCAGGGTGCTGACGATGTCGACAGGGTTCACAGCCGTTTCCTGGCTGATCTCTGATCAGAAAGAGTGAAAGTATATTAGGAAAAAGGGAATAGAAAACGTGGACACATCCAAACAGATTATGAACTAGAGGTTGTATAGACTAATCGACTAACATATTTAATAGTCGGCACTGTGGGCAGCTGTTGACTAGTCCAGAACTTAGTAATGAAACACAATGGGGTGGGGCTCCCAAGTAGCACGTCTAAGCGTGGGCCAGGCTATGATCAGGAGATCGCGAGTTTGATCCCTGTTGATGTTACAGCCGTCCAAGGAGAGCACAGTTAGGCTCGCTCTCTGGGTGGGTAAGATGGCCTCCCTCGTCTCCTCCCATCACTCAGCGCGATGCTAGCCAGCGCATCTCTTCGCTGAAGTAACAGAACTGGCGCTTAGTGTTCTCCTCCGAGCGCGTTCAGCTGTCCAATGACATTGCGCTAGCAGCAGTTCAAAAAGATGTGATGGTGCTTCACAGCACTTGGAGGAAGCCTGTACTAGCTTTCACCCTACTAGTGCTGGTGGTATCTTGTGACTGGAGGGGTCCTAACTAGTGAGTGGAATTGGATACGACTAAACTGGGGAGAAAACTAGGAAAAAAAAGTACACAATGGCTGGAAAAAACAGTTGTTACCAGAGAGTTTGATGGGTTTCATCGCTCAACGTGAGCCAGAACCGCCTACTTTGACAGGAAGGGGAATGTCATACTGTTCTTACCATGTGAAGAGCGGACTACTGCTTGCTACTGGTGACTAGATTGAGGAAAGCTTGTTTATCATACTGATGATACTGATGCACAGCTGTGGCTGCCATAGTGTACAATATACATTAAACGATCAGTAGAACTCTGTGGGTAGAGCGTCTGAGTCTGAGAGAAGCTGAAACACATAAAAATTCTACCTAAAAAAAGTATTAAGTATTAAGCTATCAAAAAATATGGTGCTGTTTTTTTGTTGTAAGATAAATGACGACTAGTCAAGTATGGGGCTGCAACTAGTGAATATTTTCATTTTTTAAATATTCTGACTGTAAAAGCAATATGTTTCACTAATGACAAAATTAATAAAAATGAAAAAGTATTAACCAAACTTAAAATTCTCCAAGAAAAGCCAAACATGATAAACACTTATTGTCATATAAACAGGCATAAAATGCCAATCCAGGGGATCCTGCCTAATCTGGCAACCCAGGTTGCTGAGACTCAGTGTGTCAGTGATAAGTGGTGCAGGAGTGCAGTGGAAACAGCATCTTTACAACCGTTATCCTCTTAAAAACTGATAACAGCTTTCTGGTTAATTCAGTGACTAAGATTCTACATCAATTCTATATAAGCCCATCAAATAATGCTGTATAATCGCACATGTGCTAAACTCTGCTGGTCAGGAATCCAGAGCAGCAGGAAACGTATTTTGACTGAAACAGATGATCAGAACCAACAGTATCACCTAAGATTAGAGCTCTGATACAGACAGTTATGAACAGAGTCTCGTCATCTCTATGTTTGACTGCATCTGAAGGGAAAAGGACGTTGGACCGACACGAAAAGGGAAACCATAAGTCACTGTTTTTGCGTCACGTGCAGGCAGGTTACCTCTCTATGCTACCACTGTGCGCACCTGCTGACGTGGTAATGTTTAGCTCCATAAACAAAACCCTGTTTCCTCTCAGACTGATAAAAACTGAAGCACGTGCTTTAATAAAAAAACGAGCAAAAGTCCCAGTTATTAAAACTTTTCCATTTATAAATATTTTAATTATCAAAGGTGTCTAATTTTAGTGATTATTTGTTGCGGCTTTATGGAGTAATTCATGAACAGAAATGCCTTTTATGAAGTCAGTGGAAACAAGTATTGCACTGCGCTGTGTTTAACTGTTTCTTTTCTCTCGGTATCAACATGGACTTTTGTTTCCAGCAGTGTCTGAGCTCAGGACTGGCTTTCTCTCCAACCTATTGGTAACTAGCAAAGATACTTTCTCTGGATAGACAAAGCACTTTTTGTAAGTTGCTCTGGATAAGAACATCTGCTCAATGCTGTAAATGTAACTGATAATTATAACAATAACAGGATTCCTCATGTGATCTGCTCTTACCTTTGATGGAGATCTCTTTACCCTGGAAGTTATGCAGGTAACGCAGCAGCACTTCCTTCCAGTAGCTCCTGTAGCTGATGAGGCCGAGGTCAGACAGGGGCCGCTCAGGGGAGCCCACCTTCTCCTCCACTTTAGACAGCAGGTAGCCTGAAAATACGATGTTCCTTTAAACACTTCAATCACATATGGACCCCAGAAACACGAGTAAAAATGCATTGAGATGCATTAATCTGGAGGTTTAACTGCATTGATTTTGGGATGTTAGAATCGTTTATAATCTGTCATAATAATATTCAATAAAGTGTGCATTATTTTTTTTCCGAAATAAAAAATTCAGGCTATTTTTGAACATAAGAAGAGACTCATTTACAACTCATTTACATATATGCATCTATTCAGCTTACAGAGTTTAGCTCCCTCCATTCACACGAGTTATAAGGTAATTCAGCCCAGACTGAGGGAAAATACAGGACAACCAATCAGAACAGGGCTCATTTACAAATAGCCGTCTTAGGCTACGTTCACATTACCAGGCTGAAGTGGCACAAATTTGATTTTCTGCCCTGATGTGACCCAGATCTGATGTTTTCAGAGCTGTGTGGACACAAAAATCTGATCTTTTCAAATCCGACCTGAGTCACTTTCATATGTGGTCCTAGATCGGATACGTATCTGATTCGTGGCCATGCGACCTTAATGTGACGCTCAGATCGGAATTCAAGTGCTTTTTCCACTGCTCCATCATTCAGCGTTATCATGGCAGCAGCGCCGAACAGAAGTTAAAGCCTGTAAACGGTGGAAAAGCAGCTCATCTCACCTTTTTCTCCTTCGTCTCGCTCTAATAATGAAGCTGAGAGCTGATCAGAGTTAATGATCTTCTCAGTGAAGCTCGTTCTGCTCGTTAGTTTGTGCTGATGATGAACGTGATTCATTCACGTGACGTTACTGAGTAGGATGAGCTCATGAGGGTCATTTCAGGACGCCGGTTCGTCACATTAATGACAGATTTGAGTCACTTACCTAAACGAGTGTGAACAAACGCGTTAGAGTAAAGATTTGAACAACGAGGTTTGTAATGTGAACGTAGCCTGAAAGGCACAGTAACTAATTGTAAGGTGTAAAGTGAGGCTGAAAAATGGACATGTATAAATAAAGTACCACTGTTTTGGTATTTAAACCACACCAACACTATAAATGCACCTCAAAGGGGGAAAACAATAAAATACAAGAATAATGCAGGATATGGGTCCTTTAAATACATTTTCAATTAACTTCAATCGCAATAATTATGATATCATGTAAATTAAATGCATGGCCTGGACAGTTAAAACTGGTTTTGCTGTTGTCGTCTGTACTCACTGAAGTCGATCAGCATTTTGCCGTAGCCCTGTCGCATGTACTGCGGCATGGTCAGAATGCAGGACACGTTGTAGTTCAGGAAGGAGTTCTTTTCCTGCGTGAAGAAAAGATTTATGATCATCTCAAAAGCAAAACAATCTCAGAGTTGATTTCACTGAAAGCTTCGCGTGTCGTTTACCTTGGAGAAATATCCCACCAGGTGGCAGCCCGTGTTGTCTGCTTCAGTCATCACGTAGAAGAGAAAGGGCTCCACGTCGTAGTACAGAGTTTTGTGGTCCAGGAAAAGCTTAGCTAGGAGGCACAGGTTCTGGCAGTATATCTGTCGGGGTGAGAACAGAGACGGATTTCAGCGTATTTGAACTACTTTTCAACTGATACTTTATCTGTATTCTAGATTTTGATTCTTTTCTTTAATTTTGACTTTTATTATACTGAATTTCATTATGTTGTTTTTGCCACTGCATTTTCAACCAGTCTGTGTTTTAACTGTACTGGCCCAGTTTAAGCTTATGCATGTATATTATTACTGTTTTATGTTGTCTTTTGAGGGTGCTATAACACATTCCTAGTGGCTGATGTGGCAATACACCACTCCAACATGAATTATTATTTTATATCCATCTATGCATCTATATCTATATGGACAGAAGTATTAGGACACATCTTAATCGTTGCATTCAGGTGTTTCATTCAGTCTCATTGCCACAGGTGTAAAAAAACAAACACATAGCCGTGCAGTCTGCCTTTACACACATTAGTGAAAGAATGTGTCGTTCTAAAGAGCTCACTGAACTCGAGTGTGGTTCTGTAATAGGACGCCACCATCGCAACATGTCAGTTCACAAAATTTTTCCCTCCTATATCCTATAGATACTCCACAATCAACTGTAGAGTTTGGTGGAGGAGGGATGATGCGATGGGGTTGTTTTTCAGGGGTTGATCTAGAACCCTTAGTTCCAGTGAAGGGGAATCTTAATGCTTCAGCACCAAGACATTTTGGACAATTGTACACTTCCAACTTTGTGGAACAGTTCGGGGAAGAACCTTTCCTGTTCCAGCATGACTGAGCCCCAGTGCACAAAGCAGCTCCATAAAGGCCTGACTGGGTGAGTTTGGTGTGGAAGAACTTGACTGGCCCTCACAGAGCCCTGACCTCAACCCCATCACACACCTTTGGGATGAATTAGAACGGAGATTGTGAGCCAGGACCTCTCATCAACATCAGCGTCTGACCTCACAAATGCTCTTCTGGATGAATGGGCAGAAATTCCCACAGACTCTCTCTAACATCGTGTAGAAGCTTCCCAGAAGAGTGGAAGCTGTTAGAGCTGCAAAGGGGGACCAACTCCATATTAATGCCTATGGGTTTCATAAAAGCTCCTGTAGGTGTGATGTGTAGGTGTCCCAATACTTTTGTCTATTTATTTATTTATTTATTTAGAACATAGATGGTTATATCTAATAAATCCCAACTTGAATTATTTTCTAGCATTTTGCAGTGGTCCTTTAATTGTACGTGCCATTAAAATGAACTGACTGTAGTGCTGATTACATGGGGAGGGTAATCTCATATTGACACTGAAAAGTCTGTCATGTTTATGACCGATTCACGCGGGATAAGAAATCTACAGTTGCGTGCAAAAGTTTGTGCACCCTTGGTCAAATTCCATGTTGCTGTTAATTTTAAGTGTAAATGCGTTAATAAGGGAACATGCTTATGCTAACGCAAATTTTAATACACAATTACGGTTTATTTGCGTTATTTAGCGTATTACGCAAAAAAATAAAACGTTGTGGCACATTTTAATGTTTTTTGGTAATTTTTCTTTTAATATTTAAAATTCAGCAAATTATGTATTAAAATGTGCAAATGAGTGTCCACTTATTAAGTTAATTACACTTAGAAAATCAACAACAACATGGAACTTGACCAGGGGTGCTCAAACTTTTGCACACAACTGTATCCCACCTCCCCGTGTAAAACGAATCCAGTCCCAAAAGTCCTTAAGTTTGAAAATTCCTCTGACGTTAAATGAGGTCAGGATGCATTTTGCTGAAATGTAACTTTTACACTGTGCTGTTAAAAACTGCTTCTTGTAAAAGGGCTTTACTAAGAAAGACTAATCTTCACATAAGAGCCTTCAACCACACCTAAAGTAAAAGTACATTGCATTTGATGTTTTGTTTAATGTATGTGGCTAGAACAGCCCCCGTGTTTAAGACTCTCTTTCTACCTTGTTCTTCTTGCCGTCCACTTCAAAAACGGAGATGGCGGCCTTCCTGTAGATCTCATCGCCCGGCGGATGCTTCCACACACATTTCGCCTGCACAAAACAGAGGAGCATGTCGGCACAACACATCACACTTCTATCTGCATGCTGGCTGAAGGCAGTAACGGGTCAAGGTTTGGTGTCCTTGGTGTATCGGAGAGTTTTCTGTACATACTGGAGCTCTGCACTCACTGAACCTCAGTCTTGTGTCACACACTGCACATCAGTCATTACGTATCCCTATCTAATGGCGCATGGCATCTGAGAGATATTGTTTTAAGACTGACTGTAATACACTACAGAAAGTGTAGGGGGCGATATGGCTTCTACTGTTTCATTTAAAAAGCTCTATAATGTTCATATGATCCACACAGTCACTCTGACAGACTGTAGTACACTACAGGAAGTGTAGGGGGCGATATGGCTTCTACTGTTTCATTTAAAAAGCACTCTGTAATGTTCATATGATCCACACAGTCACTCTGGCAGACTGTAATACACTACAGGAAGTGTAGGGGGCGATATGGCTTCTACTGTTTCATTTAAAAAGTGCTCTATAATGTTCATATGATCATCACAGTCACTCTGACAGACTGTAATACACTACAGGAAGTGTAGGGGGCGATATGGCTTCTATTGTTTCATTTAAAAAGCCTCTATAATGTTCATATGATCCACACAGTCAATCTGACAGACTGTAATACACTACAGGAAGCATAGGGGGCGATATGGCTTCTACCACATGCTGCTTTACCATGTGTCGTCTGAGGATGGTCTGACTCTTCATGTATTTGAGGCAGAATTCACACATGTAGAGGCGTCCCAGCCGGGCGTACTCCTCAGGGTAGGGCGAGTGGTACCAGGTGTCCAGCTCGTAGCGTCCAAACACGATGGTTTTGATCATGTTACTGCCCTCGGTCACCTGACCCTGGAGCCGCAGCTTCTCCTACAGGCCGGACAGGCCAGAGAGAGAGAGAGGGAGAGAGAGGCTTTACTGACAGTTACAGAGACCACCCGCCAGAGAGAAACCAAGCTGAGACAAGAAACTGCAGAGTGAGTTATGGGGAGAATATGGAGGTAATGAATGCAGAATTAAGTCGCTCTTCTACCTCTAAGTGATAAAGTGATAAAGGGCCTAAACAGAAACTGCAGAATAAAAAGCTGAAAAAGGCTGAATGAGAGGAAAATGCACGTAATGTCATGTTCTGTCCTTTACTGTCCGTTAGAAAACAAGGGACCGTGACTAATAACATGGACTTTATCATGGAGTAATACTGTAGAGCTACTGTACAAACACAATGAGTGAGAGAGAATCAGACCCAGGGAGCACGAGAGAGAGAGAGAGAGAGAGAGAGAGAGAGAGAGAGAGAGGAAGACAGAGACAGAGAGAGAGACAGAGAGAGAGAGAGAGAGAGAGAGGAAGACAGAGACAGAGAGAGAGACAGAGAGGGGGAGAGAGAGAGAAATAAAGAAACAGAGAGAGAGAGATAGAGACAGCGACAGAGAGGGGGAGAGAACGACAGAAACAGAGACAGAGAGAGAGAAAGACAGAGTGGGGGGGGTGGAGACAGAGAGAGAGGGAGCGAGACAGAGAAAGATACTGGCAGAGGCAGAAAGAGGGAGACAGAAAGAACAAGAAAGAAAGATAAAGACACAAAAGGGGGAGAAAGAAAGACAGACAAAGAAAGAAGGAGGGAGAGAGAGAGAGACAGAGAGAGAGTCACAGAGAAAGAGACAAAGATAGACAGAGACAGAAAGAGAGAGGTGGGAAGAAAAAGAGAGAGAGAGAGAGATACACATAAAGCGGGAAAGACAAAGAGAAAGAGAGAGAGAGAGAGAGAGAGAAAGAGAGAGGGAGAGAGAGAGAAAGATAGAGAGAGATTAAGACAGAGCAAGAGAGAGTGAGAGAGAAAGAGAAAGAAAAAAGATGAAGACACAAAAAGGGGGAGAGAGAGAGAAAGATAGAGGCAGAAAGAGGGAGAGAGAAAGAGAAGAGAGAGAGAGAGAGAGAGAGAGAGAGACAGAGACAGAGACAGAGAGAGAGAGAGAGACAGAGACAGAGAGAGAGAGAGAGAGAGAGAGGTAAAGACAGAGACAGAGAGAGAGAGAGAGAGAGAGAAAGGTAAAGACAGAGACAGACAGACAGAGAGAGGAGGAGTTCCAGCAGGCGTTTAGTGCGGTACAGACTCCAGGTTGAGCAGACGAGGCCTCAGCGCTCTGCTCTGGAGCGAGGGAGGGAGCTGGCCTCGTGGGGAAGAGAAGAAGGGGAGGAAACAAAGAGGGAGAACAGGTGATGAGTTTTCTCTCTTACAAGATCGTCCGAGGCACGTGCCTGCGCTTTCCGAAACAGCTCCAGGTCATAATCACTGGTGATGTTCTCCAGCAGCGGCTCACGAGTCGAGCCATGAGCCTGCCTGTGCTCCTGCAGGACAACAGAGGACGGACAGACGGACAGAGAGGGAGAGAGGACGTGTACAAAGAAAGAGACAGAAAAAAAGAGGAGTTCTTCCCGTACTTTAATGACACGAACACGGCTTGATTGTAAAGATGCTGCAGATCCTCATAGCTACATAACTTACAGATTACTTTCATAGTAGATACTGAATAATTCATAGTAAAAACTGAATAATTTATAGTAGATACTGAATAATTTATTGTAGTTACTGAATAATTCATAGTAGACACTGAATAATTCATAGTAGCTACTGAATAATTCATAGTAAAAACTGAATAATTTATAGTAGATACTGAATAATTCATAGTAGATACTGAATAATTCATAGTAGATGCTGAATAATTTCATTATACAGCAACGTATAAAAGTGTCAGTATAAATTAATGTTAAATAAATCCCTCTTTGCTCTACAGCTCACTGATACGATGGAGCTCACCACGTATTTCTCTTTGTGCTCTTTTACAGGAGTAGAATTCCGCTTCCTCCTCATCTCCGTCACCTTCTCCTTATAGCGCAGCTGACGCTCCACAGGAGCCTGAGAGGAAACACAGAGGATGTAAATAAAGCAGCATCAACTAAGGTGCAGTGCGTACTGTGCGAAAGTCAGAGACCACCCTTCCCTTATTTCACTATGAGTCTTTCATTTTTCAGCATCACAAACAACAGAAAACACATTTAACAGAAAATCACACAGAAGCCTCAACAACTAAATCTGCAGACACACCTCCAGGTCAGTCTGAGAAGCTGGTTGATCATTTTCGGAAGTAATCAAACACATTCAGTGGTGTTGAGGTCTGGACTCTGGGGTGGTCAGTCCATCGTTCAGCTTCTTCGTTTGATGTGTCCGTCTCCTTTTCTCAGTGAGGTTCTTCTTGATCAGCTACACATCCTTTCAGACCCACAGCGCTGAGTCGTCTTCTCACAGTGGAAGGATGGACAGAAACACCTGTGGATGTTTTCAGATCTGAAGCAGCTTGATTTTCTCCTCTCTCTCAGAGATGAAAGCTTTAAGTGCTGTTTATCTGATGGGGGCAGTTTTGGGGTCAATCAGGTCTTCCAGGTGGTTGTTAGGAGCCACATTTTCTCTGTAGCTCACGAACATCTCCCAATAAAAGAATAACTTGTACTTAATGGTTGTTTTGACTGGAAATTAAATAAATGCAGGCTCTAAATTTACTGTACTGCAGGTGATTCACTACGCTTTGCATGGACAAAGATAAACCATAAAAGAACGTCAACAGCCTGAGAATTCTGCCCAAAGGCACAACACAAAAAAATCATCCGAAAGTCTGCAGACGTTTCTTCTGAAAGGAAGGGTTTTAATAGCGAGTTTGCCCCCCTTCACTGCAGTAACAGCCTCTACTCTTCTGGGAAGGCTTTACACTAGATGGTGGATCACAAGCCCTTTTCACATCTCCGCATTTTTTGTGCTGGAAGTAGTTGTTGCAATGACAATTACAGGAATGATGAGTAGAGCTCACTCAAGTGTTCACGCCTGAAGCAAAAACAGCCTCATCTCAGTTTCAGGGGTTTGTCAGCTGATGATGAGCAGAGGAGAAACGAGTTCGTGGAATTAACAAAGGAATAAACTGATAACGTGCAGTTTGTTCCTTAACATTTTTAACTCCTTGAGATCACCAGTGGTTCCAAAACGCACTTCGTCATAGTCTTCATAGCTTTCATATTTCATAAGCTACATTCTAAAGGTGGGGGTCGTATGAGAGCTGTAACTGTCTTCTCTCCAGTCAAATAGATGGGTGATGTCATTTTAAACCCTTATAATAAAAAAGGCTGAACTTCTTCACAAATCTGAGCTATAAACTATAAACAGATGGCGTCTCTTCAGTGATCTGCTCTGTAAACATTATTTTTATAAAATAATACAAAGAGTGTCTAAGATTTTTGGCTTTCAGCTGTAAGCATATTGTAATATGTGTGTGATCATAAAACACGTTCTGTTAATTTGAGGGGAGCTTTTACCAAAAATAAATAAATAAAATTAAAATTTACATTTATTTCATGCAGTTACTGAATAATTTGCCTTACGATTTGGTCACGTAAATTCAGAAGGACAAACCAAAATATACCCTGGAGAATAAGAGGTTAAAGTTGCTGCTGCAGCCGCTTTCAGAGGAACAGTTTTCGCTTTCTCCCTCAAAATCTGTCAGTATTGACAGAAAGATTTAATGAAACATTCCTGATTAATAATCAATAAACTAAATATTAGCGAACTTGAGCATTCGGAGATCTCCTAAAAAAGGTCACATTGGGGAGCAGACTATAGACTGCATGTATTTGGGATACCACCTCTAAAGAGGATGAACTCAATGAACTCTTGAACTGACAGTATAAACTAGAGCTGAA